ACGAAGACTATATCTTCTGTCTTTTTCATTCGTGGAGAATGAAATAGATACATGTTGGCAATGCAGATTAAGATGATCGAGAGGCTTTCTGATTTCGGGAAAGGAACCTAAAGACATACTTAAAAGCAAAGGAACCGAAAGACATACCTAAAACCAAAGGAATCCAAGGAATCCAAAGGCAAGACGGTGTACTTGTCAGCAGTCGCCCGTTCGTGCGCGATGCAACCGGCGAGGCGGCCTCCCTGCATACAGTACTTCTGTCTTGCGTGCATTATGCGATGTCCCTCGTCCATCGCATATGAGCCAAGGGAGGGCTCGAGGCTCTGGCCTCCCAGATGGGAGGCCAGATAGGGACGTTCCGGTTCGTCCAGTTTCTCGCATTCCGAAGTTCATGTTTATTTTACAGCCTCATCCCAGTCGGCGCAGCTCTTTAAAATTGCACCACTCGTGATGGAACGACTCTCCGATGCATGATCCCCATGGGGATTTCCAGCAGTTCGCAACTACGACCTGTGCGATATCCTTCCGCCACTACATGCCAATGCTTTCACAAGTTCATCATAAATTAATCGGGTACGAGTCCTTCTAAAAGGCTCTTTTCATTCTGTATATTTATAGATGACCTTTCGACGGCCTAATGTCGAAGAAAAAAAGGCTACCTTTAATTCTTTATCTTTTCCTTTGGGAACCCTATTTGCATCTACTTTTTTCCAAAGAAATTCGATAGGATTTCAACAGACAGATTTTTTATACGCTGGCTACATGAAATTCAATATAAATTCTGTACACTTTCTAGACAGTGATAAAAAAAAATTCATACAGCCCTATAGAAATTTATTTACAGTGTCTTCGTAGAACTCTCTAGAAATTTGGTAAGATTCTTGATAGGATTTCTATAGAATCTCCACAAATTTCTATACAGTGATTTACTAGAATTCTATTGAGAGAAATAATAGAATTAAATACGACATTATAGAAATTTTTCCTTAGAGAGTCTATAGAATATTTTTGCTTGGGCGTCGCTGGAAATCTTTCCCCCCCCCCCAAAAAAAAAAAAAAATTTCCTTCCTCCCGGAAAAGTGAGATTGCTTTTCATTTTGTGCCACCGAAAACCAAAAAAAGGTTCGCCATGACGGTCTTAGAGCATTTGCGGAGGACCAGCGTTTCCTCAGGAAGTAGCTGGCCGCTGATCCGGTGGTTCTGGGGCATCCAGGGCCGGATTAAGAAGTTACGAGGCCCGGGGCAAGTGAATTCTTGGGGCTCCCCCGGAGGGGGGGGTCGATGAAATGCGTTTATGTTATGGAAAAAAACTTGAATTGCAAAAATTAAAGGAAAGCCCCCGGGGGACCTTCTCTGGGGCCCGGGGCAACTGCCCCCTTTGCCCCCCCCTTAATCCGGCCCTGGGGGCATCCGTGGAGGTTGGAGGTGCGATCCGCGGGGACTCATAAGGAGGCACGCACTTTGCCCTCGTGCGAGCCGAGGCGGATTTATTTGTTCATGAGGCAAGTCTCTTGGGTAAGGGTCATGAGGCAAGTCTCTTGGGTAAGGGTCATGAGGCAAGTCCTCATCTCTGGAATTTGTTGGGATCGCTCGAGGATTCACCGGAAGTCGTTATTGCTCCCGGTGCTCGTCCGGCACCTGAAACCTCGAAAAGGAACACCACCAGGACGAGAGAAGTCCGTCGGCCTCACTTGTCCAAATTTATTTATTTATAATTTTTTTTTTTTTTTTACCTGGCCCCTTGCCAGCGGATTTCCCGGCGATTTCCATTAATGTTTCCAGTGTCTTTCCCTTTCGTTTGACCTGCTTCTTGAGCATAATACGTACTATTCAGTACTTCCTGCAATAGTCCATCGATTCAGGCTGAAAAGTACTTCGGTGCTCGAAGGCAAACCCATTCCCACTTTACATTTTGAAGTCGGACGAGACGCGAAAATATGAAACTCTTAAAAATATAAATAAAATGCAGAGAAGTTCGTCGGCGCGTTCGAGATTGAGCCGTATTGCCGTCGTCTGCTCGCTATTCGACTGGGTCTAACTTAAACACCCAAAAAAAAACTTGTTGGACATTGCAGGAGTTTTGCATTTAAGAGTGAAAGTAGGACGATTTCTTCCGATAAGTTTCCCATCTCGCGCGACTAAGAGAAAGTCCGAAACGAGCCGACATCGCACGGCCGACATCGCACGGCCGACATCGCATGGCCGACATCGCACGTCCGGGATCCTGCCGGGATCCTGCCAGGATCCTGCCAGGATCCTGCCGGAGATCGCCCATTCCGGGTCGCGCGTTCGGGGATGGGCTGCTTTTTTTCTGCGACAATGCTCTCCAGTTCCTTTGAGATGTGGCAGCACAGTTAATGGAAGTTTCGGTAAGAAATGCTCCGCTGCTTCTTACCAGAACGAGAAAAATGATCTCTCCTCCGCGCAATATCTAGCATGCAACAAGATAACAGTGAGTTTTTTTTTTTTTTTGCTGCAGCAAAATTCCACGAAGGCCATTCATCGGCGCGGTAACTCTCTGAGGGAACGAGGAAACTGGGATTCAGCTCGGACCCCACACCATTCCTTGCTCATTCGAGTTTCTCGTTCTGCTGTCGTCGATTTTAATTTAGCTGGATTTAGCTGGATTTAGCTGGATTTCGATCCGATTTTCAGAGCGATCCGATTTTCCCGCTGATGTCGAACTGTTCAAATGGCCGAAGCGACGCCAAGCCAAGCGTGAAGATCTGAATCTCGTCGCAAAGAAAGTGAATTTGCATTTTAATTTTTTTTTTTTTTTTTTAGGCTTGAGATCATTCCTTACTTTCTTCTGACTCCGTTTCGGCCCGAGTAGAAGAATACGCTCAAGTAGGGACGCATAAATTCCTTTCGATACTTTAGATTCCGCTTCGCACCCGCGGGAATCCCTTCGCATCCATCCATCATCGGATCCGCCATCATCCATCCATCCATCCATCAGCGGCGCTGATGGATGGACGCCGAATCGGATCCACGATTCGGCTTTCTTTCCGGACCAGTAAAAAAAAAAAAAAAAATTTTTCAATTGTTTATTTGCTCGGATTCTGAAAAAATTTCCCTCGCACATCTCGAAGCGGACTCGGGAACGACCCATTCACGACGCTCTCTGGAGTGACAAACGGTCTGCCTCGGTCTGCCCGGTCCTCGGTCTGCCGACCAAGCATCGGACGTGAGCTTGGCAGCACTTCCCTAAAGCGCCCGACCGCGAAATAAAGAAATGATATATATATATATATATATATATATGTATATATATATATCCTTTATATATTTATATATATATATAATATATATTATTAGATTATATTAGATTATATTAGATTATATTATATTATATAGATTATATATATATATATAATCCTGCCCTCTGCAGGATCCGTTTGTAACATCTACCTCGGCAAAATGCATTCAGATAACGCCGTGGGGCGTCTCCCGCACCCGAAATTCCGACGTTTAAAAATAAATAAGGGAAATATAATTCTGCCTCGAAGTCCCGGGGGTCTCGCCTCGAGTCGGTCGAAAACGGTCTCATTATAAGTGTAGATCTCGGAAAGGGTAGAACCGTGCGAATTGTGGGCTGCATTGAAATGCAAACTAAGCGAACCCGCTTTTCTTTTTGGGCGGGGGAAGTGGTCTAATTGTTTCGACGCTGGTCTCACAATCTGCAAGACGGTCTTGGATTTTCAATTCCCGACGGTCTTTCACCTCGGTTCTGGTTTCCTCCCCTCTGCAGGACATAATTGGAAAATCTGCTTCGGCAAAACAAGCACGTGCCATCTCTGGGACGAGGATTAAATTCAAAACTTTCATAGATGGTTTTTGAATTTTCGCCCTTTTTTTTACCGGTAATAGTTGCGGAGTAAGCCTGTGTGTGTGTGGGTGCATGTGTGTGTGTGTGTGTGTACGTGAGTGTACGTGTGTATATACGGACATTGTAAAAAATACATTTGAAACCTTTCACTCCGCTTCACCTCGACTTTGTTTCTAGTCACATGAGCTTATCATCGCACAATCTTGGAGCATGAATATCCCCTCCCCACCTTCCTCCCACCTTCCCCCCACCTTCCCCCCACCTTCCCCGCTCTTTGTTGCGTAGAATAAGTGAGAGGGAAGTGAGAGACAGACAGCGAAGGAAAAGGAGAGGGAGACAGGCGAATGAAAATGAAAGTGACGGCGAGGCTGGATTTAGTCAGTCTTCTCCCATTCTTGGCTGGGTGTGCGCTGTCTTCAGGTCCTCTGGCCTACATTCCTGCGGGCAATTTCACTTTTACCTTCTATTTTTACCGTTCACCGGCCCAGGCTTCGAGTTGCTTCTATTCCATTCTCTTCCCTTCGCTCGGTGCCATAGCCTTGTTCTCGTGCCCAGTTTCGACATGAACGTCCGGGAGGTGAGTGTCTTCTCTCGTGGGAGAGGCGCTTGTTCGGATTTTCATTAATATGTTTAGCTCGAGATATTACATGGAAAGTAACGCACTTTGGATGCAAGCCTTTGAGGGTGGTCCATCGACGAGAGGAAATAATTTAATCAAGAAGGAACGTAGTACCAGGAAAGAGGAGATCGCCTCGATAGTTCACACTCTAATGTTCGTTTTTATCAAATCGGAGGACAGGAAAATAATTTGGAAAATAATAAAAAATCTGGCTACGTGCCGGAAAGCAAGTAGGACGCGATATTTTCTTCGGAAAATCGTGACGCTTCCAGCCCGACGGGTCGGCACCCGTCGCGCGTCATCTGCGTCGGCAAGATTTTTTTCCCCTCGATCAAGCTCCAACTGTCGAGCAAAGCCAGGTAGGGTGGAAGAGCTTCCGCGTATATATTCGACATACCTACAGTGGCTAGCGTTCTAGTTGGATGAGGTTTCGAATGAATCCTAGCTCCATGATCACGAAAACGACGCCTGTGGCAATGACTCCGATGACCGCGCAATCAAGTATCACGTAACGATAACTAAGCCGGTGACATCAGGCATGCAAGTGCAGCGATGTCATCCCCTCGGGGCGACGATGGAAAGTGGACTGACTCGGAGGCGAGCAGTGAAAGTGTATGTTATGCATGCGCCCTCGAGCTCCTTCCCTTTCCCGCCGGACACGATCTCGATGCATGCGGGAGCCTCTTGTTTACCGCCGTGCCACATCTCTTCCCCCTTTTCTTTCGCTTCTTCCGGAAAAAAAAAGGCCTTACAATCGATAACGGTCCCTCGTCCTCCGCAGAGATAGGTTAACTGCATCGATCGAGAGGATTAATAGAGCATAAAATTTTGAAGAACAGTGGCGGCCCAGATTTAGTTCCTGTTCCGTTACCATATCTAATAGCAAGACACAGCGAGGAAGTTGAAAACCGAGCAGATGGTAGGCAAACCATGGAATGTCGGTGACCGTGTCCACGTCGCTGGAACTGATGGCGTGTGTGGCTCATTTCACCGAATCTTCCTCGTTCAAGTGCCTTCTGTTCTGTTCTACTCGGATACCCGTCCCACACTGTTGAAAGTTTAGTCCTACTTGTAGCGGCTTCAATTTACGGCCGTCTGGGAATCCCGTATTAGTGTAAAGACATCTGTGAATGAAGCCGTTTGACCTGTCGCTCCTTCTTTCGAAGGTGGAACACCCTCAGTGTCTAGTTGCGGATCGGTTTAAGGAAATGTTTTGGCATCTCGTCGTGACGGAGTGATTCTCTCTCCAGACTCTGCTGCTGCTGATCGTATGCTTCCTGGCCGTGGCGAACTCCAGTCCCCTCTTCGGGATTCTCTTCCCCAACTGGGGCACGGGCAATCAGCTGCAACGGACCTGGGGCGGGCCTTTGAAACCGCTGAAAGGTCTTCACCCGGCTTACCAAAAGTGAGTTCACGTTAAAAGTGCGCATCTTTCTTCCCGACATGTCTGACGGTCAGTAATGAAAACTCCTCACTTGTCCATCCCTGTAGGATCGAGTATCGGGCACCTTACTATGACAAACACGGTTACGGCAGAATCCTTTATGGATATGGTGGAAGGAACGTGTACAAATACACCGAATTTACCCCCATCGAGGGCTTCTACAGATAGAGCCAGCGAGTAAGTGTGACAATTGTGTTCGGAGACTTGTGCATTCTGTGTCTATATTCCACAATTGATTTTATTACTTCCTCCTTGCCCAGGGCAGCCGATTCCAGGAAGCGTGACCAGTCTGCCATTTTAAATTTTTACTTGAAGGGGTCCGCGCTTATTTCGTGTCTGTGATATTGTGCTTCCTTGTCTTTTTTCGGGGGAGAAACGCGTGCATCTTTTCGCGCATGTCGATGTGCCCATTCCATGTTGCTCAGCCTCGCTCTATTTGTTATTCCTTCCATCGTTGACCTATTGTTTTCGAGACTAAATCGGGACTTGCGTATTATTTTTCGCCTTATTTTTCTCGTGTCCATGTATTCGTAATAGAATTGAGAACATGAATGATTGTTTTATTTTCTTCAACAAATCAAGGGAAACGCATCACACGGTGGTGAAACCAGGCCAAAAAAAAGTTACTCAGAAGCAGAAGGGACAGTCACCCGTGAAGCAGCAAGAAAAGAACAAAAATACTTGACTAGACTCGCCATTGCTCTTTTTTGCAAGAATTTTGGCAACGAGCCCCGAGTTACCTTGGGGGGAAATCAAGAAGTGATCTCAACATGTACCTGAAAGCAAGCGTAGAAATGAGCTAGATGGTGGGCAACACACTCGGGGCGACGCATCTACCTCTTGGAAGCCGATACAAAATGAGATCTGGCTGGTTAGGAAGAATGAAATCACTCTTTCTTGGAATTCTTCAAGCCCAGAAATCCCTTCTTGCCGCCGCTATCGTTAACGATCAAATGCTCCTTGTGCTTGTGATTCTTTCCGTAGAAATTGTTATGGTGCGACACGTACCACGGGTAATACGAGCCCTTTCCGTAAGCTGTATCGTACTCTGGGCGCCACTTGGTCAACTTCTTCAATCCCTTTGAGAGTTTCGATGCTCCCTTCTTCAAGTATTTGAAGTTATCCAGTCCAGCATTGACGAAATGAGGATAATAGTAATCGTAATTTTCGTGAAAGATGTACGGCTCGGGATGGGCGTCGTATCCGACGGCAGGATATCTTTTGAACTTGAGGAAAGGTTCCTTCTGCAACTCCGCGGCGCTCTGTCCCCTCTGTCCTTGACCCCGGTAACCTCCTCCTCCTCCTCCGCTCCCGCTGCCACTGCCGGCGTTGCTGGGTCCGTAGCCACTGCCACTTCCACTGCCGCTGCCGCTTCCACTGCCTCCACTTCCGTAGCCGCCGATTAACGTGCTTGGCCCACTACCCGAACCTGAGGCGGGGTGGAAAGAGTTCACCGCTCCTTGACCGTACCCGCTGAATCCATTGTCGAATCCTTGGCTCAGAGCGATTCCCTGAGAAGCCTGAGGCACGAGAACAGTCGCAGGAACCGTGTATGAATTTTCTATGCCTCCATATCCTCTTCCTTGGGCGGGGAGTGGAACGTGGCCTTGTCCGTGACCGACGGGTCCGTTCGACGGGACCGAGTATGTATGGGCAATGTTTGGCACTCCTGGAGCAGGTATCTGTGCTAGTGGAGCAGGACCTGGGACGTGTGCAGGGTTGAAACCACTGTAATCTGGTTCGGGGAAATCGAAGTCTTGATCCAATGCCGGATAGACGGGCACTTCTATTAGACCATCCCTGTTGACAGCTTCGGCCACATTTCTTGAGCCAGATGACGGCTGGACCCTAGAAGGGAAGAAAAACACCTGGATTATTAGTGCTACTATCGGAGACCAGCCATGTAAGCAAGAATTCAAGAAGGGGAGGCTCGGAATCGAGGAAGTTGAATGACGACCAGTTCGAGCCTCTTCACCCAACGCCTTGCATACGCCGCTGTCAGGGAAATGTCTCGTTTCCTCACCTGTCTTCAGCCTGTCCCAACGCCAGCAAGGTCAAAACCAGCCAGAACCCCTGGAAACACGAGCGAAGGTTGTTCAATTAGAGGAGAGAGAGTGGGAGTAAAATATATATATATTCACAATGTAATTGATGATACTTTGAACGCGTCTAGGACTGCCCATAAACTTATTTCGCCGCCGAAACCGTCTCCTATACATCGGTCGTCCCCATCCATCGTTGCACTATTACTTCGAAGTGCATTAATCGCCAGAAATCACATGTCTGCGTCTCCACTAAGGAGAAGGAGAAAGTGCTGGAATAACCCTCGTCTACGTGTTCATTCATCTCCGACTTCGCGGACCCAAAACGTTCCGCTATACCGTGAACCTCATTAGTCATTAGGAAGGGAGCCAATTGGCTGGTTAAATCGAGAGAAGATAGATGACGGAGCCCTCTGATGGGACATGAGAACTCGATTAAAAGTAGAGGACAGTACTCCTTGCTTTTCCGAGGCGAAAATGAGCAAAGTGAAGGATGGAAAAGTTTTCGGGCCGCGAGAGGAAGCTTTACGCTCGGCGAAGCGTAAGGCGAGAGAGCAACAAATCGTGGTTATGCGTGGTTTTTTTTTTTCTGTCTGGTCTGGAAACCGTTCGTTCCTCGAGCACTTACAAAGTGCCGTTTGAAATGTCTGCTGGTTGAAATCCAGACTGCTTTCTACATTGAAAAAAATCTTTACCTGACTCCATGATACTTTTGGAGTGAGGATGATGGCCCCGGAGTACATATATTAGTAAATGGTGACAACTACATAATCACGTGACTCGGATAATCCTCAGGTATAGAGATCTCAGGTGCAACAGAAATTACCTTTAATACGGTTCGAAATCCGGACGTTTTTATGACAACCGAGAGCTCTTCGTAAGCTCATCCCAAGTGCGGCACGGAAGGAATCGACACATCAAGCAAAAGATTTACTGCATCTGAAACCTCTGGTAGAGTACAGAGTACATAGAAGGGAATGGATCCGAAAGGAATTGGTTTCTTCCACGCTACATTTGGAACGAGTGAAAGTCTACAGGCGAGTTTATACATATAAGTATACTTGCACGAAAGTAACTCGCGTGAGAGACTCTTTCCACAACCGATCTATGCCCGTGAGAGAATTTTCGAGAGATCTTTATTTCCATCCAAGTGTGCAAAAAAGGACGGAACGTCTCTCTCCGCGAGCAACTCTCGTGCGAACACGAGCTTGCAGAAATCTACCCTAAGACTCGATCGACTTAATCGTTCCGCCGCCGATTGGATACAGACGAAGAAAATTAGGATGAAGTAAGCAAGAACGGTTCGGGCCCGCAGCTCACCATTGAGACGCGCAGTCGAAGCCACGATGTCTGCAGAAGCGCACGCACGGCGAGATGATGGTGGAAGCGCGCTCTCTCACCCTCTGCTCGCCGCTCCGTCGGGAGTGAAAGTTCCTCTTCGACCTAGTTTACGGAAACGACGGATGCTAAGAGCGAGCATCCGCCTTGAACGTGGCCTCATTTCTTCGTAGAAAGCTGGGGCGAGGAAACGGGGTGGGTAGAGGAACTAGCGTCAAGTTCAGGGCCCGAGCCGTAAATCTCGACTCGTCGGAACGGCGGACTCGTAAACCGATATCGTTTCTGTCGCTAAACGACAGAGAAAATTCCGTCGAGAAGTGTGTAAAAACGCCGAACGAAAAGCAAACCTGCAGAAAGGAGAGTTTGGTCTTTGGTGACAAAAGATGCGGACCTTTATTTTGATCTCTGTCCACCAACTGCGGCCGTCAACAACCCCTCCCCCCCTCCCCCTCCCCCCCCCCCCCCCCCCCCCCTCTTTTTCCTTCTGGAGGGTGGGGGGGTTCCAGCGGGGGGCGACCTGGACACAGTTTGCGCGGTTCACGGTTGGTGATTGGGGCACAGGTAGGGATTCCATCATCCAGTCCCTCTTCTCTCTTCTATCAGAGTTCCAGATTTCCTCATTTATAATGACATTCATTCATTTTTGAACGGAACGTTTCAGGGACTAATTATACAGTATGTCTATCTTCCGGCATCTGTGAGTCGTGGTGAAATTCTCGAGAGTCGAATCATTACTATTTCCCCATTGGCAAAACCCGGACGAAAGCTGGCACGCAGACACGCACAGGTACTACGGGGATGAATCGAGGAACCTCATTTCTTCTTCGAAGAAAGGGGAGTTTCGCTAAAAGCTAGAAAGGGTTTTCGTGCATTGCGGAAAATGCGAGGACCGCTGATTCTCGATGGGACGAGAACGAGGTTCGACCCTCGGGGTTAAATTTACGCGAATCGCAAGACATCGACCTACGAAGCATTAACCTATCTTTGGGATTCATCGTCCCGAGGTTCACCCACATAGATAATTGTCGCGCAGATAATTGCCACACAGATAATTGTCACGGCCCAGGGGGAGTTCAAGGTGCATTTCCAGCCGTTTTGCAATCGAGAGTTCGAAACGCTCGCAATCGAATCCTCCAGGCAAATCTCCTGGAGAATCCACCGATCCATTTCAAATTCGAGCGATTCAAAAGCTAAATGGCCTGCACTAAGTGAAAGGGAAACAGAGATCCAAAATCGCTTCGCATTAAAAAAAAAAGATAAGAACGATGTGGGACGACGCCCTCAAAAGCAAGGAAGCAAGACTCGAAGGGATTCGAATCGCCTGCGAGTCCATGTTCTTAGGAAAGAGTAGAGACGGCATTCGCAGGCTAGAGAGGGTGGGGGGGTTCCAGCGTAAAAACATGCATTTATGCACTTAAGGACATGCATCTATGCATTTAGTGACATGCATCTATGCATTTAGTGACATGCAACTGTGCATTTAGTGACAAGCAACTGTGCATTTAGTGACAAGCATCACTTTCGCTTTTGAATTGGCGAGATCCTAGTTCGCGTTTATTTTCATTCGCGTGCTGCTCGTGTAAGCTCGTGTACTTTCCGGTGATGGAAATTAGCCGAGGGAATCGGCTGAGGAAGATGGCTTCTTTCTCGCCAGAAAGGGAGAAAAGCCCGCGCTTTTCGCGCCGCAATTACGCCGTCGACGCGTCTTACGCCACGTCTGGATTACGCCTTTCCGGCTTTGAACTGCGAAGAAAGTGTTCGAACCAGAATTTCACAAGCATCGGGAAGGAACAAAAATGAATACTCTTGAGGACTTTGAAACTGACATCTAAAAAAAAACGTTTGTGAAGTTACTCCACTCTGGTTGCGACCCCCATCAAAAGATGAGAGAAAGTTTTTCCAAAAAAAAAAAAAAAAAAGACATTGCGGATTGAAAGAAAAACGTGAAAATCCTTCCGTAAAGACTTTCATTGCCACCTAATGAGAGGGGAAATATTTCTCCTCGACGATAAACTATTATCGAGTCAATTGGCTCCTCAAGTCCCATAAGATTTCCCTTTCTTCCTCTCGGCATTCACGGTAGAAAGAAACAAGTGGAAATTCCGAGGAAAACATGAGCAACCCTGCTGCCATCTACAGGGCAGAGAATGGAATTCCGGCGGGATTTTTTTCCATTTTTCTCACACGCAGCGATGCTGTCGACCCCGGAATCTCTTTCTGCCACGTGGCCGGTCGTCATCTCCTGCCCGGAATCGTTCCATTCGAGGAAAGGAGCTTGTCTCTCTTATCTCCCAGCCTATCGTAATTATTCTCGGAATTTTTATGTTAATAGCCGGAATCGGTCGTTCGGGGATTTCCCATCGCGTTCATTTCGCCATGTCCTCTTTCTCCCTTCGATCTCAAGGATCTTCGAAAAAGGTCTTCGGTCTAAAGGATTTTTCTCGGTATGGCGGAGGAAAGTGAAAAGGCAGATTCCTACAGCTGGTGCGTCGTTTCCATGAATAAAAAAATTTTTATTTTTTATTTTTACGAGAAAGATCGCGACTCGCTCTTTCTCCTTTCTCAAAGAGAGATCGTTTAAGAGAGACTAATTACTCTAGTAATTAAAAATTCCGCATCGTTATTTGCCTCTCGGTGGGGTGTGGAAAAATGGAAATCCGGATCCTCTGGGTGAAGGAATCGTTTCATCTTCCCCGTTTCCTCCACATCCGGCAGAGCAATCGGCACGAAAAAAAAAAACTTTCACTTTTGGGGGAAATGAAACCTCGGATTCCCGTTATATCAGCATGTCGCAATTGCGGGAATTTCGGCGGTTGAGACGGAGTCTCCGATCTATTCCTCAGCATGATACGGAATGTTCCTTGCCTGACCTTCAGCTAGAATGACCTTTAGTCGCAATATTCCAGGAGGAAGGTGCAAAGAACTCCGCGAAATAGTGAGAATTGATATTTCCTAGAAAAGGGAAAAGAGCATTTGGGGAAATCGAGGTTTACAGCCAGAGATTAGTCTGTCGGGAATTATTACGCTGTTAAGACTTTGGATCGGAAAATCCCGGCATTTTTTTTTTAGGGCTGAGAAGACTAGACGCAAAGGACACATACAGCATGGCATGCGATGATATCCCCGTCTCTTTCGATGATCGAGCTTCTTCCGGGGAATGCGACTGGTCCCCCCTCGCCATGGACGAAAGATGAGCTTCTTCCCTTCCTCGATCGTCTCCAGATTTGCCCTGAGATACCTTCCCGTTCCTCATCTGTTCCCGTCGAGAACTCCCTTTCCCGCCCGCCTCGCTGCTCGTATGGAATCCTTTCCATCATGTCTTCCATTTCTTCCAAAAGATACGATAGGAAGAGAAGGCACGATCTCATAGTTCATTATACGGCACGAACGAGCTAATTTCCGCGGAAACTCCACGGGAAGATCGATGAGTGAAGACTGTGAAGGGTGTGTAGAAGAAGAGTGAAGACCGAAGAGGGTCCTCGAGAGTTTCGCGGTGCTCTCGAGCCACCATCGACGCTCGTCTCCTTCTTCCCCTTCCGTGATTTCCCCGCCGAAAAGGTGGTAACCTATCCTTGGGATGAGGTTCTCGAGTCTATTTCTCATCATCGACGGTTAAGGGCTGGATGGAGAGAGATCCGTCTTTGATCGATACGAGGCCGTGCTCAGTGGCCCTATCCGCTCTCCGGACTGGATGCTTCTGGAAGCAAAGCTGGAGCAGTCGACTTTATTTTCCCCGATGAATAAGGTGGAAATACGTCTGATAGCGAGTTTTCCTCCTAAATACAGTAGAACGTCGATCGTCCGAACGTTCGGTAATCCGACGAAAAAAGAAAAAGAGTAAGAGGGCGGTAACACGGCGCAAATTCAAGGGCTGCATTACGATAGTCACTTTCCACGGTGATGGTGTGGCGCACGTGACTTGAAGCACGGAGGGGGGCACTGCCTGAGACGACAGCAGCTGCATGAGTCGGAAGGGCCCAAGGGCAAGTCTAGTTTCTCCAACTCCAGAAGGAAATCAGGCGGCATGAGCCCTCTGAATGGGCTGCCATTTCTTACAGCCTGTCAATACCCTGCCTTGCTTTTGTCTCAAGCCTTCTATTCTTTTTGTTGTAAAGGAGGGGGTTGAGAAAGAAAGGAAGTGGACATAAGTGGCACGATATAAAGAGCATGTTATTGATTATCAGGACGCCCTCGGGTCGAGGTTAGTTCGGAAAATCCAAGCTCTACTGTACATCCCCTAGGGCGGACAATGTCCTCAAGCTCGATATCAGAGGAAGAATAGGCATAGCACCGGAGGCGTCTCATGATAGCAGCAGTAGTGGTTCGTCTGTGGAAACAAGGGAGGCTCATCTCCTCTCGTATCTATTTCTCTCAATAGGAACCGATTTTCATTATGTGACAGACTTCTCCCAAAATTGCCAGTCCGTTTGGCTTGTGGTGGGATTGATTCACGAAAACGTACGAATCTCAGCGGAAATGAACGATGCGAACGAGGATTTCGGCTCTGTATATTTCCATAGAATTCATAATTCAATACAACTCCTTCAAGAATTACCTAAAAAATTTGCGGCAACCTCATCCTTATCCCGATGACACTCCAGCACAAAAACATGACAATCAGAATGTGAATGGACTTGGAAAAGGGTGGAATAAATGTTTGATGGGTGAAAGTGAGAAAACTGAGAGGTGCCTTCGTGTTTCTGGGGAACCTTTTCCTCCTTACGAAATCTTTGTGCATACAGGAACGGCTGATATCTCGTTGGGGACGTGTTCATGAATATGGTATCGGATGGCTATTATATTATGCAAATTTCACTCCTGCCCTAAATTAGATTTCGGTAGCGGGAGGAATCCATTGGGTTCCTTTCTCTTCGCTGCAGGACCATGGCGAAAAGAGGAAGTGGGTGCGCTGAGGTCTGAATGCAAATCGCTCCTCGATTCTCTGCTTTTCCAATTTTCATGCCGTCGCAAGCCTTTCTTACGACTTCATTCCTTCTTGGCGGGGGGGGCGTCTGTCTGTTCGATTCTTTGCTTCTTCTCTAATACGTGATTTTGGGCTTCCACTTTCCTTCGAGGTGGGGAGGGGAGCAAATTGCCTCTTATGCTTCCCCCCCCCCCTTTGCGGGTCTGTTCCCATCAGTCTAACCCAGTGTTTCCCAAACGGTGTGCCGCCAGTAAGGTGCCGTGTGCCGTGAGATTTCAGAGTTGACAAAAAAAACTAAAACTAAAAAAAAATTAAAAACGCCATCTTTCAGTAGAAAACGAGCTGAGAGTAGCACTATCAAACTGCTGTGTTCGGCGAAGCAAGCACAAGTTTCCCATTGAAAGTAAGTAAATGGCTGGGTGTGCCGTGGAGAGTTCGAGTGTCCTTATGTGTGCCGCAAATGAAAAAAGATTGGGAACCACTGGTCTAACCCAATATATAGTTGTATGGCAAGGAAGAGATGCACGTTTTCTTCACTTCTTAACGTCTATTCCATATACTAGCAATACATTTCCCAGAAGAACTCCACGCCATCGCCAAAGACAACACCGGGGAAAGAGATTGGGCATAATTTCAAAATTTTCACAATGTTTACTTGCAGTTTAGATGACAAAATACCTTCCCTTCTTTTCTTGCAACCACTGAAGAAAGCAACTAGGTAGGAGTGGGAACGACGTTTCCATACTTCTGGCATAGACTTAAAAGAAATTATTGCCAAAGTGGGCTCCTGCGATTAATGACAGGAATAGGGGGGGGGGGGGGGGGGAACGCATCATCCCTTCGATTATAACACTTCCCTTCTTTGAGGTTGACTTTCATCACCAAGGCATTCCAACTCGAGGGATCAAATGGTGGTTGCGCGTCCAACAGGGATTAGCTGGAGAAAATTCATACATGGTGACTTCCCTGACTTAAAAAAAAAATATCCTAAATTTCCGCGCTCTAGCACAAAACGGTTTCGAGGCATTCTGCCCCAAAGTAAACCCCCCGGGGAAAAGTTGACTCTAAAAATGGGTCAAATGGCAATCTTTGCCCCTAATTAAACTAGAAATGTGCTTTTGGACTCAAATGAAAGATGAATCTGATCTCACCATTCTTTGTCTTTGTTACAAAGAAGTCATGTGTGAAACTGTGCAACCATGAACTAGGTCACAGGCTTTCTCCAGTTCTGACCTTCAAGCCCGAGAAACCTATCGCTAAAAACACGAGTCCATTGAACTGGTCTCGCGAAAGGCGACGCATCTTGACAAGAATAGGTACAGAACGCGTGATGAAGACGCCCTGCCGGCTGAAGTTTTATCATTCCATTCAACAGCCGGTCACACTCTGACGAGGAAGACATTGATCAATGTGGCTTGATTGAAGCGTAAAGTCACAGCATAAACTTCCCTCTGCGTGTGGAATTCCTTCTCTGTACATGGAGGTTGCCAGCTGTGATTCTTGTAGTGAAAGGAAGACGGACTCAATATGATATACAACTAAGGTTCTGAGTTATTGGATGTACATCTAGAGCAGGCTCGTACAGCCAACTCATGATATGCAAAAAAATGTGTATCCTACTTGCTGAAAGGATTCTGGGTTTATTAGCTGTACGTTCTCAAAAGCTCTAGTCAAGGACTCTAGGAGTGGCTCTGGCAACCTTCAGCTTCCCAGCTAAAACTATAGATGACATCTAGAGCGTTGACCATGGCGCAGCCCAACGAGAGCACATGAGTTACCTCTAACCTGGCCGACTATGTAACTTGTGGCCGTTATCGAGGATCACTGGGACGGACAGCTACCCCGCATTACAAACCTCGACTTCCCAGTTCAGACCTAGTGCTTCAGAAGCTGTCAAAAAGCCATAATGGCTACTGTGAGGCCTAGAACTAGTGTTGTAGAGGCGGCCAGTCCAACGGATCAAGCGGTAGATCCTCCAGAGGCGATGCTAAAAAGACTTGCTCAATGCTTGGCGGAAGCCTTAAGAGTGGATACATCTACTGAGGTGAACAGATAAATAAGGGCGTCTATGATGTCCAAGAATCAGCTTCAAAAGAAAAGATTGACCCTAAACTTATGAGCTCAGACTCTAATTCGTGACTATTATTATTTCAGCGGAAGGGCATGGAGGAAGCTATTGATGACTTGCTGATTCGTCTTGATGAATATGCATGTCTTGTTGATATGGTGAGCTTACACTTGTGGTATGAGGTTCTTTTGAACCCACCCTCTTGCTTACCTTGTGCCTATAGTCGATTAGGCCTAAGAATAAGAAATGAAAACGACTGTCTTCCTTGTTATCTTTAAGGTGCGCAGTGACAACCAATTTTGCCTGCACAAGGCATTGCCAAATATCATAAGCCAAGCCAAAGAAATGGACAATATTTACCGGAAGGTTGATGCCCTGGAAGCTTTTATGGATCAAGCAAAGGGACAGCTTGATGCCTTGGAGCACCAGTTGACAATTGCTGAGTCAGCCTCAGGGACCGGGAAGTCAATAAGGGATGTCCTTAAACCTCTCTTCTTTGTGAGTCATGCCAACCATTGTCAGCTTGGAACAACACATTTCCTTATCTGATCGTTAATTTCATTTTCATATCCTTTCAGAAAAGCACTCCTACTCCTGCCAAGAAGACATTACCTCAAACACCCTCCTATGAGGCTCCCCAGATATTCCATGCATCAGAATTTTTTCACAAGTCTGTGGAATCTCCTGCACCTGATTCAACAAAAACAACATAAGACAACTTCATGGAAGATAACCATCAGTCAGTTTAAAAAGCCTTTATATTCTGCTTCAGTCTTCTATGTCTTCAAAATAAATTTTAGTTTTTAAAAATGCTCTCTAATCTGACAAAAATTCCAGCTGGAATTTGAAACTAGCCTCAACTGAAAATCAGTCCATTTCCAATTTGTCCTTAATGGGAGTCCCTTATATAATCAGCTTAAACCAATTATAATATTGATTTTTTTCCAGCTGCAAAATCCTCTCATTCTTAATTTGGTTAATGTTTTTTTTTTGGATTCAGTTGGAATTCCCAGTGACTCCTGATTGATTCTATTTGGTATCATGTGCAATTCCATAAAAGTTCCAGTCAGAAAATTGTGGGCTAGTAGGTTGTTGAATGGGTTCAGATTCATTTGCATCCCTATTGGCCATATTTATTGTTATCTTGATGAATTTGGTTCCAAAAAATGTTTATGAATTGCAGCAATTTGAGATTATTATTAATGCAGTAAATGCTAAATCTAAAAAAAAGGTTTTATATCTGCATCCCTTGAAAACATACAAATATGAAGAATTAGGGGCTGCTAATTGATGTACATTGTTTCTCTGTAAAATTTGTATGCTTGGCAATATGCTTGGCATGAGGGGTAAAATGCTTAATGCCTCTCTCAAAATGATTCATACACATTGCATTATCTTCCAAGCCCTTCCTGTTATGAGATGGGAGGAGGGAGTATGAAACATGCAGAGCATACAGATTATTTTTTAAGACAGAAAAATATTTTTCTGCTAATGTGCAGCAATTGTCCAGCAAAAAGCTAGCATGAAGTCAATGGAGAGCATTGTAAAATTTGAATTAGCTCAATCATGGAATGGTTGATCAAGTAAGCAACATTTTTATCAACCCTCAATTCCCAAAACATCTGGTTAAAATAGTGAGAAAATTCTGTGACAGAGTGATCATCATCAAGACCCTCTCATCTGCCAAATGTCAATTCTTGTCATTCTTCATGTATTTGTGAGGAGAACATCATAAATATGCTTATATTATATATATTTTAATATTCCTAGGACCTGCCCAGTCAACCTTCCGTTTTTGTAAATGAAGTGACAGCTCATGTGGCTCCACCTAGTTACTCTCTTTCCCCCCCCTCGCCAATGTGAACCCATTGAGTCATTGGATCTAGTTAGCTCCAGCTTTGTTCATTGAAGTCTGATCAGTACCATCCAGAAATTTCTACCAGTTCCAGTTGGTACCTAGTTACTCTCTTTCCCCCCCCTCTCCAATGTGAACCCATTGAGTCATTGGATCTAGTTAGCTCCAGCTTTGTTCATTGAAGTCTGATCAGTACCATCCAGAAATTTCTACCAGTTCCAGTTGGAACTTTTTAGTCAGACCTGTGGATTTGAAATCTGGAACAAGGTTGTTCCCATGTTCATCATGTTCTTCCATTATCTTGATGTTTGTTGTCTGTTTTTGATTTCCAAGACATTTTCTAGTGAATTTACGTTGAGTTACAGAGATATCAAGAAATCACCCTCAAAAGTTTTCCATCTTCATTCCATTTGATGTGATTGTTTTCTTTGAATGATTACTCTTTCGGAGTCTGAACCACTCATGTCTTTTCTTTCACAAGACAAAGCTGAGCTTTACTTTCTGTTTTCTATACTGGATTTTGGTTCAACTTGGTAGATATACACTGTAAAACAATGGAAATCATTCACTTTTAAATCTAAAATTTTTTATTTATATCTCTCCATTTTCTTATGCATGAAAACTGCTTTTCCATTGACACATGACAATTTCCCATTTGTATAGAAAGGAACAATTTTGCTCCTGTCTGGAAAGGAGAGCATTGTCATATGATCTCTGAACTGACTGTGTATTTGCTGAGTTCTACCTTTTGAATTGATTATACTGAACAAAGCCCTCCAAAATATCTGAACATTCTCCATTCATATTTTCTTTGAAAACGATTATGAAATCATTTGTTCTAGCCTTGTGTGGAAAGGGTGAGTGAGTATGAACATTGAACCTTTTGGGATGTAGAGATGTTTGGGACTGGGAAAATGTCTGTTCTCCTGAGCAAGTTGGTCATTGGTAGAATAAGAGGGGTGAATAGCAAGGGGTTTTCTCTGCCTTGATAAGGGACAGGAGTAAGGAAGGTATCTTGCTTTGCATTCTTCTCTCTTTGCATCCATGTATTGAAATTTTCCTGTGATAATGGTTTTTAATATATGGGCTTTCATGTCTTGCAAGTGTGGTCTCAATCATCATTTCCAATTATGATTATTTCCTGTCTGTGCCAGTAAAGACAATAATGCAATTTCCTGGTATTAAATTAGGTGGAATATCTTACACCTGACTTTAGAATGATTTGGTTTATCAACTTTCAGTCTGTCTATAGCTTGTAGATTAATTTTTGTGTTTGTCCCCTAACTTAGATGATATCATCCTTGAAAGATTTTGCTTTTATCTTATCTGAACTGTAATCCAATCTATGCATAACATTTTCCCCCTTCTGAGACCATGAGGGTTGGTCAGGGATTTTTCTGCATCCTCTTGAAAAAATTTTCAAATGTAAACAGGACATCATGATCTTTTATGTGATTGAACTGAACGTCATGACAAAGGCTAGTTTCAAAACGGCAGTTCAGTTCAGACTTTGGTCTGACTGAATTTCTCCTGTAGTCTAACTTCTCACATAAAAAAACTACTGGAACTGAATTGCAACTGAACTGTGACTGGACTGCTGTTTTGAAATTAGCCTGAGACTATACATTACAGCAGGCAACTTGAAATAAATTAAATTTTTATGCAGAACTTAACTGATTTTTTTCTATTTTAAAGTGGAATAGTTCCATTAGACTCACAGTACAGTACTTTCTTGTGTTACATGATCTTGTATAAGTATATTGATGTTCAAACCTCATCACCTGTGGGATGAAACCTCAGAATGGGAAAATGTTTCCCCAGAATGGTAAGCAGGTAAACCCATTATTGAACACAGTCTAAAATTGTACTGTGTCTTTTCAAGAGATGAGAAGCTTACAATTACTCCAAAACCACCGCAATGTGTGAATGATTATTTTGTTTAGGCCAGCTAGGTGCGAATGTTACTGTGTTTAGGTCAGCTGTTGTAGGTCATTGTAGTCAACATTGGAAAACCACCTGTGAACAGGTGTTACTCCTCAAGTGCTTACATGCATGCATGTATTTTCTAGTCCATCTCTCCCTCCTGGGCAATGGACTCGAGCTCAGCAGGTAGGATGCTAAGCCTCGTGAAAAAGCTTTGCAGTTCCACTTTGTACGAAATCTGCCAGCTGGTAGACCTCTACCGGTTTTTCTGTCGGTCATATTGGATTAAGAGATTCTTGGGAGTCTCTCAGGCGGCAGACGTGTCCATACCGTCGGACTGAGGATCTTTCGATCCAGAGAATTAGCTGCTCGACCTAGAGGTTCAGGTGCATGACAGTATTCTGCACCCCATTACGATGCGTGACAAGGAGGATTCGATGTGAATATTAATTGGAGTCTCTCCGTCACTGGACAAAGTTAATTGGTAAAAAAGATGAGGGTGAGGAGATGGGCATTCCTAAAAAAAAAATGAAACCGAGAGTTTCGCCTCAATGGAACCACAGTTTACCAGTGTTCCCGAAAAATTGCTGATTCGATTCTCGATCTCGTCTCCTTATCGCACATCACTCGAGAGCTCAAGGAACTTACATTTAATCTGTTCCAGTGGGGCCCCCTGCCATGTAGAGCGCACTACGCAATATTTCTCGAAGAAATCGGGACAGATTTTGGGAAGCCTGAATATAATTTCAGCTGCAGTGCATTCAGAGTTGAACCGATCCAGTAACCTCTGAAGCTCCTACTTAGATTGGACCGAAAGAGCTGCATCATCTGCAAAGAGCTTGAACCTTACGCCACGAATATCTACCAGATCAAGAAGCAGAACCAAGCTCAATTATTGTATAAGTGGATCACAATACTCATCACCAAAATAGTAGAGCCAAGAAGGAATTGAGCTATTTGATATTCAAAAGGAAGACCCAGAAGAGATTTATTAATGAACGTAGAGGAGGAACTATTAATGGCATCGGGGGGGGGGGGGGGGGGGGGGGGGGTCCAACTGGAACTGGTAGAAATTTCTGGATGGTACTGATCAGACTTCAATGAACAAAGCTGGAGCTAACTAGATCCAATGACTCAATGGGTTCACATTGGCGAGGGGGGGGAAAGAGAGTTACTAGGTCATGTATGAGTAGGATGATGTAGAACTTGTAGAACTTGCCGAACACCCGAGACATCCCGACAAAAAGTTCCAGCCAGAAATGTCACTGGTTTGTGATGGACGTTTCTGGCATGTGGATTGCCGTGCAGGAAACGTCACTGGCGCCAATTGGGAATTGAAAAGTAGGCATTTTCTGACTGAAAAAGGCAGAGATCTGGCAGAATACAGCATGAAATTCCAGCTGGATTCTCCTGGTTATCTGGAGTGGTTTTGTGGAGTTTTGGAGGGTTTGGTGGAGTGGTATTTCACCGGTTTCATGGTTATCTGGAAGCAGCATTCCAATTTACAAATAGTCTGGTTGGAAATGCTGCAGTTCCTGCTGGAAGTGGTTCACATTTACACATGGAAAGCTTGCTGTTTCTAGCAGGAACTTTTTGCCGGGATGGAAGAGGAGGGCCGCTTCATTTATGATGCCCGTTTCCTTTTCTTTTCGCAAGCCACTTCGCTTTTGTGCAATTAACCTTCTCCCGCAAAGAGCGTAGTAGAGCGTAGTGAAATACATATCGGCCTCCCGCACATTGCGTAGTAGAGCGTACCCATACTTTCAGACTGCATGACAGCTCTATATTACTCATGGAGTTCCACTCAGTAGTTTTGATTATACGAATTTTTAAAGCCGGATTAACAAAATTTTACTCTCTGCTGAAATAAATGCCAGAAAAAAGTCACATTTAATCAATGCGGGAGAGGGTTAAATTAGGGCATCTGGTGAGCTTTTTCTGTAGATAATCATCTTACATTCTCGAAACTAAACGACTTCATGACGCAATACTATAAGTTTATTGTTTCAAAATGTCATCAATATCGCTCCGTTCCTTGATGTTGCTTTTTCTTGAGAATGAGTGTACTTATAAGTTGCGACATGACTCCTGAATTTGTTTCCTGCTACGTAGCAACTGATAATAATAAAAATTTCTTGTGGGCCAATTATATTTTGCGGATGCTATATATTTTATACTGCAACTATAATTGAAGTTAAATCTGGTAGCTGTGCATCCCTTTCTTCTTCATTCTGAATGCACAAAATTACCTACATGAATCATTCACAGGCCTCGGTTGTACTTATTCTTTCTGCTTCCAAGCAGCGAACTTTTTTGGACAAGCAGCAATATGGCCTTCTGTGGCAGTTTCCTTGCAGGAATATTAAATGAAATGGCACAGTATATTGGAAAATGAAACCATCTCCAGAGAAGTAAAACTGCAGGTAAGGTTCTATTTTTGATTGTATAGCGATAAGTTTCAGGTTCCACCTGCCACAGTCAGCAATAGTCTGATTATATATAGCAGCTTGTGGGTTCTACAGGTGAAGCATGGGAAATGAATGAAAATCCACCAGCATCCTCCAGTTTCTTGTATTGAAGATCTTGAGAAATGCTCAGCAAATTTTGCAGCACAGAGTATGAACAGGTACAGGCTTGCAAATCCTAATTTTCTTGGGAAGAGTGAAGACGATGTTGCAAGTGAAGCTGAAGTACCCACACTTAGTGGAGCCACTGAACGAGCTGTGAGTGATAAGCGCCTCATCAGTGGAAACGGAAGAGGAAGCATTTTTCCCCTCTCCCGAGGAGCTGAAGTCACCTGCCCCAAAAGAGGAGGGCGGTATGGAAGCAGCATCTCCACCAGGCACATCCCTATCTTGCACACCTATCCCAGCTTCCGAAGGAGTCAAGTAAAGCTCAGGTCCTGGACCTGCAGGGGCTTCCCCGTCAGACCCGTAGCCACCATTGATGGTTTGTCCATTGGTAGGGGGCTGTGTTGGTACCGGCTCTCCTGGCGAACCAACTACCTCAATGTTCACCACTGCATCTGGTGCCCGTTGAGCTCCTCCGTTCGTAGTATGTCCATTCACCCGAGGAACATCTATACCAGGACCGGGCAGTTCATCTCCATTCGACGGTGCAGCACCTCCCCCGTTTATTCCATCAAACGCTGGAAGAAAACCGTGATGGCCGTTCACGGGTCTGGTCCCTGGCATGAACTGACCGTTGTGATGCACCCTTCTCTCCTTGCCATACTGATGGGTGGTAACATGTCGAGAATCTTCTGATGTGAAATGAGACTGAGTCCACGGATGTCGATGGTTAGCCTTGCCAGGAACTCGTCGGTCATCTCCTCCATTTTGGTTGACGTGAACGTGTACGTTTTGATGCTGCGAGGGTTTGGTTCCTCTATGAAAGGAGCCAGAAGAAGAAGGACTGAATTGATCTCCAAACGAATCCCGATGATAGTCGCTGGAATGACTGCTGGGTGGATAGGGCAAAGATCCATCTCCGGAGAAATGAGATGTAGGGACATCCGGATACCGGCTAGTTGGTGCTGCAGGTTGTCGATGGTGTCCCTGATCGGGATACGATGGAACGTGCTCCTCCGAGTATGATGGATACGTGTCATAAAAGTGTGATGGATATCCAAAGTCCTTCCCATATTGAGAATCTCGATCATATGGATAGTCCCCGAAATCCGTGCTATCCTTATCGTATTGAGTGCCGTGATGTGAACTATCCTCCCAGGTTCCCGATCCCGAGCTAGAGAAGTCTCCCTCATAGTCGGCCGATTGGGGTAAATATCCAGGTCTTTGTCCCGGTCGTACTCCATGATGACCACTCTGACCATTTGAAGGGTAGTAGCTTCCTGAACTCGAAGGGTATCCGATGCCATCAGGTGCATATGGCCTGTGATGACGTCCTGGTCTCACTCCTGAGGGATACCTCGTTCCAGGTCTCACGAAGTCACTTGGAGGAGGTCCCCTGCGATGTCCCCCTACGCCATACCCGTGACCTTGCGCAGGTGCACCGCCTCTCCCACGGTGGTGCCGTCTTCCAGAGAGGTTCTCGTCCCTGATACTTTGCGCACCTTCCTCGGCGTGAAATTGTTGAGCCTGGGCCGAGGAGAGATAGTTGCCACCACCAGCGAACTGGCCTTGCAAAGAGCTCTGCGATTGGCTGCCATGACTTCCACTCTGAGAAGAAGCCATCCCTCCTCCACGAGTCTCACCACCCTGTCTTTGATCCCCTTGCCCCCCGTTGACATTTACCTGGTGAGAAATATATTAAGCAAGCAGCAAACGGGTACTGTTGTTGCATGTAGTTACTCTCGACAGCACTCACTTGAGCCTGTGTGGAAGAGCGGTATCTCCCAGAAGCATGGGATGATGCTTGTCCTCCGTGTTTCGAGGCTTGAGCTTGAGTACCAGATACACTGCCTCGGTAGTCCGTTCCGGAACTTGCAGATCCATTGGAATCCGCGAAGCCGAAGTTAACCTGAGCTTGACTGCCTCCGTAGGATCCCGTATCAGCCGAACTCTGACCCTGTAAACCGGTGTCCCCGCCTGAGACTTGACTTCTAGAGCCACCCTGTCCATTGCTGGCTTGAGATTGTCCCGAAAAGCTGCTTCCACCAACTAAGACAGGACACAAGCCGCAAACTTTCTACATTATTCTTTCGCCCTTTGATGCAAAGGATAAATAATGCCATGCTCGAAGACGCCCACCAGAGATAGTGCCCTGAACTTGACTCTGGAACTTGTTGTCTCTCAATTGACCACCAGATGTGGCTGCAGCAGTTCCGCGATTGTCCCCAATGGACACTTGGACTTGCGCTTCAGATCCATCCACTGGCTCTGGTCGTGAGTCACAGGCACTCAAATAATTTGCATGTCAAAAAACTAGATACTAGGAATGAATACTTGTATCCATGCTGCCTTACTTATTTGTGATCTGGGAGCTTGTCCTCCTGAGCTCTGTCGATTTGGCGACCTTTTATGTCTCGTCTGATCATCGTCGACTCAAATGAGAAAATGAAAACACACATGGCTTACAAAAAGAATAATCTAGGGCACATTCAGTTCCTGCTCGGACCGCGAGCAGCTTCTGCTGAACAACGCTGATCATACAATTCCTGCGTTCAATTACTCGTTCCCGCACCCTGGCTAAATGGCCAAGTGCGTAACGATTCTCAGTCTTAGATAAACTCTCGCCTGCGAAATTCAGCTCTTTTCGTCGAGCAAATGTTGAGGATAACGGGAAATTTCTAAATCTGGATCTTGATATATTCTCAAAATAGGTAGGTCCCTGCAAGAGATTATTGCAATTGCGTTCAGGCGACCGAGAATTAGGCTTATGGACCGACAAGATTCATTTAGGTTTCATCTTCATAAGCCTGACAGAGAGGCTGAAGCGTTGAGATTGGAGTTCGAGCGCCTTAAGTCAGTCAAGCTTATGCTCCCGTCCGAGCGGTAACTGAATGCGTCCACCAATACTTAGATCCACATTAACATCCTCGGCAAACTTTTATGGGGGGAAAAGCGCATGGTTATTCTAGACGTCTGTACGTATGGACTCCTTTAAACGTAGGATCATAAGATTATGGCATAGGTGCTATTGCATGATGACAAATACATCCCAAGTCCATGCTCAGTCTGTGCTCGGAGTAGGGGACCTACTTAGAACTGTGCGAGGGCGATGATGCGTTATCCAGAAAGCGTTCCTGCAACGCTCCCTCGCCACGTCCCCGAGCCGTACCCTTGGGAATTTAATCCTTGTCATATACACGACCTCCGTTGACAAGGAAGACGGCTCCATCAACTCCTCCTGCGCTTCCACTTCCCTCAAAATATCTGCCGAGGTATTCCCCCTCATGTGGTGAACGTAGCAGTCACCAGTGCTCGATTCCTCAAATACCTCCAAGCCCTTTGTAAGGAATATGCAACTGATACATTCATTTCTCAAGCTTTTCCCCACCATTTGTATTCGCTGAGTACAGAGCCACAGACCCTGTTGAAGTCCAAGATGGACTGGAAACTCTGATTTGGCTGTGACAACATCAAGGTCTGACTTTTTGGATACAAGTGGAACTCTACTCCCTGGTTGGACCTCGTCAGATTGATGCGCCCGTCCTAGTTAAAATTCGAAAAAGTTAGCATGCCGATACAATTGGCAAAGGTGACCACAGAGTACGAGAAATAAGACCTCACCAAATGGTCTTCCGCAATGGAGGAACAGAAAATCACAGTTGGTAGAAAAAGCAGGCGTATGATCGAGGGAGCCATGATGTGCACACAGCTCCGGGCAATCCCCCTCTACTGACATGAGATCCTGTCTGTGAAGACGCTCCCTCCGACCTTGGTCTCATCCCTACGAAACTAGGGCATCAGACACTTGACGAATGATGCGTTATCCTACATTCATTTCAAGCAACTTTTTTGGCCTGTGAAAACTGCGCCACGCCAGTGTTTCGTCTTGGATGAGCCTCCATCCGAGTGACAGTTGCGAGGAAGATCGCATGATTTAAGCTCATTGCTCGTCTTCCTCTCCCGTGCAAGAGGTTGCCACTCGCCAGGATTATCGAACAAGCCCTAAAAGGGAAGCCTGCACATGAATGAAAATCCTTTTGACATTCACATGTGGTCTCGAGAGGGTTCTTCTGGTGGGAAGGATTCCCCGGATTTAAAGGGAAGAGCTAAGGGGGAGGAGCAGTTCCCCCTCCTCCCCTGCTGCCTCCGGTGAAACTCATCAATTTCCGTCTCAAGGGCACAATCCTTTTCCTGTTGTCGTTCCAGTCACAGGGTGTGCAGTTGTTGCGCCAGTGATGTACAGGCATGAAGGGGGAGAGAACAGGGTGGGGGGAGGGGGGGGGGGGGAGAGCAGGGAGGGATGTTGTCGAGGAGAGAGAGGGAGAGAGAGGTGCTCTTTTGATTCTTCTTCTTCTGCTTCCCCCCCCCCCCTCTGCTCTCATCTTGCACCCCTGACGGTGGGGGGGGAGAGCAGGGGGGGATGTTGTCGAGGAGAGAGAGGGAGAGAGAGGTGCTCTTTTGATTCTTCTTCTTCTGCTTCCCCCCCCCCCTCTGCTCTCATCTTGCACCCCTGACGGGGAAGTGACTGCAAATTTACCGTAGGCTGCATATGGGCTGCACACGTGCCAGTCTGGAATGCCGGGCTTAGGCCACGCCATGTTCCCCTACTACCATTAGTGGCGCAATTTCGGCTCGTTTCCAGGGTGCAGCTTCCCGATACTCTGCAGCTGAAACGAGAAACCCCTTCCGCATACTCGGAAAGCCCTTGCGCCTAAGGCAATCCTAGAACCCAGACTCCACGACAAACTCAGTAGGTTCACGAACCGTTCAAACCGGCAATGAGGGACACCCCACTCTTGCGCATTGCACTTTATTTTGTCAAAATGTCCATTTGAGAAATAAATATGCTTTATAAAAACGGTGACAATAAATCCATGCAAAAAGAGAGCTGCCAATAATGCACTATGACTCCCAAGGTTCAGGTGCAAGACAACTGAGCTGACAGGTATCGTTGCTTAGAAGGCACAATTTGTGCTCGTTTCAATCACAGCTTCCCTTTCTGTTGTTGGACTATAGAGCACGACGATGCAATATTGCGAATTTTAAGTGGAGACAGCCGATGCTACTTTGACCTTCATCCAAGGATTCCAGAAGTACCCTACCGACCGAAACTTAGCTGCCGCTGAAGGACTCACCGCAAATGCTACAGCATCCTGTAAATGCGAAAGAAGGAAAAAAGAAAGCACACCATCTCTGATAATTTCATAGTTATTTTACAGAGAAGAGGAGATAACCCTCCATCTAAGCGTTCGTCGGTTCGACTGTACAATCACGTCACTCTATGCAACGAAGGAAAAGAGAGAATACTATATAGTGTCTAGGACTCGACGGCGGACTAGATCGAAGACTATCATTTCCTTTCAATGCTTCCAAATTCGTTTTCTCTCGTTCAGCTAAAGACGCATCAAATCATGGCGTCGTCAAAACAAGATGTCACGAATTCCTTCTTAATTCTAATTTCTTCTTGGTTAGAATAGGAAGTTATCACATGTAGGTAAAAAAAAAATCCTGGCAAAAATATTGAATATGAGCTCCTCCTGAGGTAGAGCAAGAATGATCCTTTGAGAAAAAGAGTAAAAAAAAGTCTGGAATTAAATAGTGGTTTTCGGAATGACAATGTTCGTCCACATCGAAACGTCGAGGAGGAAAAAATTGTGCTTGGTCCCCATGGAAGAAAGAAGGTACTGGAAATGAGTTTCAGGATTGAGCTGTCGTGTTTCTTTGTAGGCGTTGATCACGACTCAACTGTCGATTCATCTTCATGCAAGACGATTCTTCGTGCTTATACAGGTATGATTTGAGTGCGAAAGCTTTTCCGCAACGACCGCATATCCAGGGCTTCGTCGAGGAATGGGTTTGAATGTGAGCCCGCAAATTGGATTTGTCTGCAAAAGCCTTGCCACATGTGGGGCAAGCGAAGGGACGTTCCCCCGTGTGAGTCCGGATGTGGCCCTGTAAAAGCCAGGGTCTGGAGAATCTTTTTCCGCAATACGGACATTGGCACCCCTGAGTGTGGGTCCGCACGTGCATCGAGTATGCCGGGACGCTGACGTAAACTTTCGAGCAATGGGGACATTGCTTGGCCTTCTTGTCCGCGATGGAACGATGTATCTGGCGGTGTCTTGCCAAATTGCTCGACGTGCTGTATCGTTTCCCACATTCCGGGCACGAGAGGACATCCATGGTATCTTCTAGTTGAGGACTTTGTCGAGCCGAGATCTCGGCCAGTCGACCCAGATCCGAGAAGGCATCTGGATTGAGAAACTGGAGACTGTTAGGAGTTTCGGGTGAATGGGTCTTCTTAGGGGAAGTCCCTGCCTCGGGACTCGAGGGTTGCAACGGGATCCTGTTCGGAGTGACGGGGCTCAGACTCTGATAGGAAGCCTCGTTAGGTTCGCGACAGATAAATGGAGGCAATGTGGTCCCATTTGGAGGCTCGTGGATGTTCGTCCATTTCCTGATGCTCAGGTCCAATCCGTGCTCTTCCGGATCCCCCCCTGACCTCTTCAAGGACAGATCCACGGGTTGCGTTTGCTCCTCCGTACATATTGCACCCATTGCGTATCCTGTGACAATCAAGGAAGTTCATACAATATTTCCATCACCTCGAGACTGAAAGTACATACCGAACCACACTTATTCTGGGCCACGGAAAGGCGGCACATCCGTAAGGTTCCACGGCTCAGAATGACTCAATCGATTTGATTTGGTATATTTTTGCTTTAATTCAATTCATGAACTCTCCTCCCCCTCACTAAATGTCTGGTGACTTCCTAATCGCTTTAATCCTCAATTCTCGTGCCTTTGTATGCGTTAATATTTTCACAAAAGGCATCACAAAAGCAATTCGCTCTTCCAGGTGTACTCACAGTCAATTATGTCCAGTCTGTGTTGGTCTGAGAAAGGCAAAACTATAGTAGCCAGAAATAAGATTTGACGGTTTCTTCCTGAAATATTTGGGTGGAAATCACAGCCAGCCACAATTGAAAGACAAATTTATTTGAAATTTGGTAATGTAGGTGCATAAAAGCACATAACAGGGGTTCTCCAGCAAGTCCCTTCGCAGGTTAGTTTGCATCGATTTCTAACTCCCAATAATTCATGGTATAGTCATTTATTTAAAAAAAAACATGCATACTTTAAACTATTGCCGAAATCTGAACCTTCTTCAGATGTTAGAATTGCATCTCCCGGCATTTTAATTATCGTTCCTTGCCCTGTGGATGGTTCTTTCGCCTCGCTAGAGGGAATTATATATGTATATATATAATTAGTACTACAAGTAGTACTCTCCCGTCAAATTTGATTTCATTTGACAGATGCATTTCGAGGTTAACATGATCTCCAAGAAGAAAGAAAATAATCAAACTTTTTTGACGTAAGGTGCACTAGCTTTAGCACACATTCATGGGATAATATATTGAAATGGTCATCACGCTACCAATTTTCTTCTAAGGGAGTAATAATTTGGTTCTTCACTTTGACATCTTACTTTTACCCTTGAATTTAGATAGGTAACAAGCATTTGATCTCGTTCATGAATGGAAAATGAAACAATGATTCTCTTAGCATATTTTTCTGCTGATCATATCGGGAAGGAATAAGGCAGAGTATATTTATTTAAAAGCATAAAAGAAATTGCAGCATGCACCATAAGCCTTATCGTGATATCATGCGAAAGCTGTTCATGAACCTAGCGCCGAAAGACTCACTTCCGAGTGATATAAGCAAAATAAAAGATTTTGACGGAAAGAATGCTGACCTTCAACGCAGTTCATCCCTGAGGCGAGGTGAAATGTTGAGCGAGGAGGCCATGAGACAGACGGTCCGTCACCTCCTTTGATTGGACCGTGCCAAGGTCAGACAGACTGACAGGGCGAGGGAGAGAGAGAGTGGAGGTGAAGTTTGCCAAGAACCTTGTAACTTCGTGCCTCTTTCAGTGGTTCCTTTTCCCCCCCTCCTCTCACCTACACAGAGAACCACTGGCAGGCGAGCAGCGTTCGCCACAGCCTTCTGCATTGGCAAGAGGAACTTGCACCAAAATATGCAACTAAATATAGAATGAAAGCACGCGCCGTCGGATCTCCCCCTCCGTCTCTTCTCCCTCTGCTCCTCCCTTCTTCCACTCGGTCTCTCAATTCCTAAAATGAAGGAAAAGGCGCCGACCTTTGCCACTTGGGAAGCGCAGTTGCTTTTGGATTCTGTTTAGGGCTTCATGATCGTGGAATGATGCTTTTCTGACTCATGTTATAATTCACATATATTCACATTGATGTTGCCGTCACGGTCATGCACGAAGCGAGTCTTTTCTTGGTGAAAACATCGGGAAGTAGTGGCGGGCGGTGGGTGACCTTTGTGATCGTGAAACGACATCCAAGCTCCATTAATTGACTTACTTGAACTAGACACATTCAAATAATATTTTGTAAAAGCTAGTTCTTGAACTCGTTCCACTCTCAGAACGTCGGGCGAGACTCTGGGTCTTTGAGGGCCAAATTTTGAGGCAAGTTTGGCAAGAATTTCCCCACGCTTCTGAAAGGATTCGATGGGATGAAATGATCACCTCATGCGGAAGAATGTTTCTTCACGGGGAAAAAAAAAAATCTGCGATACGCAGCGAGATTATGGAGAGGAGAAAAGGACTCGATCCGCCGGCTGGCAACAGCTTCCATGAGCAATGCATAGCGTGGGCTATTTTAGTCAAGAGAGATAGAAAGAAGATAAAAATGACCCAACAAGGCATTACGATTGTCCCCTTCGAGTTGTTCGAGAGCAAAATACTGTGGGGTCCTCCTTTGTCCTCAAGTCAAAACTCCTTTTCAGCATTGAAATCAGCGAGTAAAGTCCAGAACATATGCTGACCGGGAAAAATTTCTTAAAGTTAAGGAAACTATAAAACGCACATTTGTCATCAACTTTGCGTTTCAGTATTTCATCAGCAATTTTGGAAGTGAAATCCAATATCTTCATCATTTTTCCTTGTAATTCGAAGGGATTTCCTCTCGAAGGGTCCCAGTTCGAGCCATCTCCCGTTGCTAAAAAAAAAAATTGTGGGTGCATATACATATATTAGACTTTCAAATGCATTTATAAATTTTCAAAGTTATCGAAAAGTAGTAGGCATGACCATCTCGATCGCGATATTGAGCTGTTGCACCAAACCTACTTGGGCATTCACCAGTATTCTGAAATCTCAGGAAAACGACCCAAATTTTTTTGGTTTTGCTGGCAGATTTTTATTTATTTATTTCATGAAATAAAGCTCTGCACCGGCTGAATTGATGCGTAAGCGTTAAAGAGCTTGAACCCAAACATTCTTGGACATAGAAACACTCAGAAAGAACGATCCGTTCCTTCGTATTTATTAGTTTGTGTTTGTGAAGAGGTATGAAGAGGTATACCGTGAATGCATGCCAATCTATAGAAGATGCTCCTGGAACTTTCTATTTCCGTTACTGCTACATGGATTGACGTCATAAGGTTGTACGCGTATAATACCTATAGGGGTCGCATACTAAGCAATGCACAGCTAAAAAAAAAAGAAGAAAACAAAAGGAGCTTGCCGCTCTTCCATGCGTCTTAAAGGAATGAGGGATTGAGTCCTTTTTCATTTCATTGCTCCCGATTTCATGCCGCAATTATAGCGAATTCCACACCTTGTATTAATCCGAACACGAGACGATTCCCTACAGTTGTTGGGTTGAATTTAGCTTTATTCAATTTTACCACAGCGACCTTGATCAGACGAATCACGAGTCAGACCGAATTATTTTTATCTGGCGGGCACTCCCCAAAGACGAATTTATTCATGATGTTGGGATGTGGTAGGTCACGCGTCTGCTCTTCATTTTACCAAGCTGAGAGGGCAATTTGCTCGGAGCGCGAACATGAGACGAGTATGCATGGACTTTGAAGAGCCCTGGTTTGGGGAAAAAAAACCATGTTATGTTTGACAATTACGGCAGTTAAAAAGCTCTCTTTATCTTTGATTCAGTTTACAATTCTTGATTACTCTTCCAGGAGTCTCGACAGGGCGATGGAATGAAGAACGAGTCCGTCCCTCCTGATGCTTCTATAGTCCTCACTTTCATTGGGATCGCATGCATAAGTACATCATTCCAATTAATCAATTATAAAAACTTATAATATGCTTGCGATTAAAGAGGGAAAGAACTCACTTCAAATGAGTTTGGGTTCAGCTTGGGTACGTTCCAATTGGGTCCGCACCCAGTTCGAGTTGTACCTTTGAACAAATACTGATCGAGTTCGCCTCGTATGATATATTGCGTTCGGGTTTCGTTTCAGTCAGTCTCAAGGGATTAGATTTAGCTCAAGTCCGCAAGTCACTGAAAAAGTTAAGAAGATATGGCAAAGTGTGCTTAAAGAGTCAACATTGGAAGTGAGTCAAATCTAGGGTTGTGAGAGTATAGTCCATTTTCGTTGAAGATATAAAAAAAAAACTTTCAGGAGGATAAGAATTCATTCAATTTTTTGTACTGCAGAGAGAGAATTGAGGAATGTTCGACTTTGCAAAAAGCTGAGTGTCAGCTTTTTAACGGGAAACCCAATATTCTTTAACAACTCGCAGTCCTGGAAAGCCCCATATTCTTGCACTTATAATTAATAAAAAAATTGCTCTATTCGCCCCTTATGTCCGATCGTCGACTATTTTTGGTCGTCACTTGTCCTGTTTTGTGCGCCGAATTCACGCTCCACGAAAATTTATTTCTTCAATTATTTCTCGGCCCTGTGAGCAGTGTAGGCACATTCCTTGGCTTTTGAAAGAGTTCGCTTTGGTGCGGCTTTGCCTTCATTTCACATCCGTCGGGAGATGATGATCTTCAGTTTGTGTTCTGTTCAGATTCGCCCCTTTCCAGGTTCGCGTTCAGCTCGGGCTTCTTGGTTGAAATGTACGTCAGGTTCGTTTTGGGTTCAGGTTTGTTTGAAAGGAACTCTGGGAGTTCAGATTCGCTGCACGTCTTTGCAGATCGACATGACAAGAGGAAGAGGAGAGGAGAGGAGGAGCAGGTGGTCGTACGTGTCACTCAGTGCTTCCTTAAGGGCCGGATGAGCAATGTGGTTAACATTGACGGAACGAAGGGAACCAACGTTCACTTGAAAAAGAGAAGAGGGGAGGAAAGGGGGTTGCAGGTTGGCGGAATCCGGGGTGGAGATAGAGGGGAGGAGGCTTGACAGGGCGCACGTGCCACCTCTCGCTCTTCCTCTCATCTGGGAGAAAGATGGAAGTCGCATGCCACAGATAGACAAGCACATCTGTGCTCCTGTCTCCCTTTTTTCTGGCTAACTTCGGGGTCACGGGAGTTAGGGACAGGAACCTGATTGATCCCTGGTTCCGACGAAAGATGGAGTTCATGCACCCACCCAGAGAAGCCAGACGCAGGGTATGGGGAAAACACGGGGATGGTCCCTGCCAAACCTCCCCAACCACTCCCGCCTTCTCCCCAACTCACCCTCTCCCCCTCCTCCAGCTTCCTTACACCATCCTGACCGATCTTCATCACAATGAGATGCCTTGTTAACGTAAGACCACAGACATGAATTTCAGGTTCGACCCAAAACACTCTGCTTCCACGATTTTCTTCTGTCCAATAGGCCACTTGCATTGACCTCTCGCAAGATGCGTTAGAGATGCAGATAGAACGCCAATATTTATGCTGGCGCGAGACTCGGGGCGCATTCAGAACATGCAATTCTACTAGGAGAACGTGAGAAAAAGGTCCAGAATTGTAAGACACGATAGTGCCTTAAGCCGCTATTACTTGCCACTAGGATAAATTATGAGGCCTTTGATTGCTTCATTGTTAATTTACCGGTAAACAGGAAAGACATTTTGCGAAAGAAGAAAAAGATTCGTTTCGGTGTTGACAAGAAGAAAAATATGGTCAATGAAATTGTCTACATGGCAGCGGCTGCACATGAGGTTTTCTTTTTTGGTGCCTGCCTCGGCAGCATATGGTGGCAATAACTTGTCTGGCTTCAGAAAGTCATATGTATATCTCACTTCAGTCGAGATTGCGAATATTTTTCCCATGTTATCCGCTGGGCGATACAAATGCTAAAAAAAAAAAGAAACACGGCTCATTCCCTCATGCTCGTGAAATTTTCATGGTTGACGAGGCGTAGTCGTGGCTGGGGTTCCTTAAATTACGCATACATACGTGAAGTGAGACGGTGTCACTAGACCTGGAGAATGTTCTTTAAATCCAGGGTTGGTCCAATTTTTCATGAAGGGGGGGGGGGGGGGGGAGGTTGATTACTTAGCCAGGGAATAGGGCAGATAAGAAAAAGGGAGGAAAATAAACCTCGAGTACTCCCATCATGTCATGGATTTCTATAGCTCTGAAAGTATTAAATGCCTCCATGAATCACAGGGGGCCGCCTCTAATCCCGTCCCTCCCAGGATCCCTCAATACTTAAAATCACTAAGAACTTATATTTGGAAAATTATATATAATCAATATGATAGCGTTATTATAGCGCTAATCCGTTCGTTTTTTTAATGGCGTATTATACTCTTCTACAGTTGGGACCATTTTTTTTCTATTCCTCATTTGAAATCAAAATACACTGGATTCCCCTCCCCCTCCTCCATTTTTTTCCACAATTATAATCATGTGATTTATTGCAAGAACGGCCTGATAGCGATTGCAAACATTTTTTTCATGCATTTTGTTCTCAGCAATTATAATCCTGCTGAAAATAAATTTAAAAATAAGTAAACGTTTTGGGGGTTACAAACGCCATCTATGGACAGAGGGCGTATTGAAAAATGAAAGGCTCTACTTTTCAGGAACTCATCTATGAGCCTCCGCAAATATAATCTATTATTGATAATTAAAAAAATTAACTTGCAGGGTTAATTTTTTAAATCCTGCACAATCCTTTCGGATCAACGATGATCATGATTCTGCAGCCCTATCATGTTCGAAATATGCTTCACAAAGCACGTTCGATTGGTGCAAAAAGAACGAAGTGATCATTGAACAACTCCTTCTCCCAAGCGGAAATGAAGAAATTTCACCTGTGAATAAGAGCTCGTATTGGCAGTCGAGTGGAGAGTACGCCTCTGCGATGTGATTGCACATCATCCAGACCACTTCGAACTTCGCTTCCAAGGAATATCATTTTTGTTGCTGACGATTTCACGCAGATGGTTTTGATAACCTTTTTTCCAATTATCGACCAATGAACCAATAAACACCAATGCAAAAAATTTGCTTCCCATAGTTTTCGTCGAAGAACGAGGCAAGCGGAGTCTAGGCACTCAAAATGGACTGGAGCCTCCTGTCCATTTCCGATTTTTAAAATAATTTTTTAATTGCTTTATATTACACAATTTGCCCAAAAATGGAAAGTATAATGGGAACATATCAATATATGCACAGTACAAATTTCAAGAAAAGAGCTCCACCTTAAGAAAAGAGCTATATAGGTTAACAGTAATTTGCCTTTTTGCCACACCCTGCAATTCTTTGCCTTCATTATCTGGGACTGAAAAGAACGTAGGCAACATTTCTTCTAAAAGGATAAAAAATAAATTAAAGCCAGAGGTTCTTTGAAAGTTTTCATTAATAATCATGGCTATTTTACTTGACACTTCTCCGGAGCAAGAACACATTGGACTAAGATTCACATATAAGAATACTAATCACAGGCACCTTATAATTATTGAAATTAAGCAGTTCTACCCTCTTAGTCTGAAAAAGTTGCAGTGATTCCTCATCTCAAGAGGTCCTCTTGATCATGGTTTCCATGAAGAAAACCAACGGCACCAACTCGCTTTGTTATAAACCTCCCTCATTGGTTTTGATAAGTTTGAACCTGTTCACACTTCGTCATACTGGAACCATTCCCTTTCCATCTCTTTGAAGGAATTTTAAGACCCTTTCCATTTCGAAGGAATTTTAAGAGTATTAACTGGCTTTTTCCTCTGTTTGTGTTCACAGGATCATTTCACACTAACCCAAAAGCCCATTTATACATTATATCAGGCCGGAATTATAAAACTCTGGCATAAAGGAGGAAAAAAGGATTAAATTTTGAGCTTTATTTCCTAATAAAGGGATCCTTATGGATATAAATGACAAATGAGGTTCATGCTCCTGAAGCTAAAGCTAACAGCAAAAAGTTTAAATTATTAGGCTGGATTTCCAATTGTACTTTAAAAAAATTCATATCCTCATGATAGCTGCCATCTTGGAGTGGAAATTACACTCTTTTTGAGTGATACTTGGAAGAAAGTCAACATGGAACATTCTTTACCTTGGGTATTTCCCAACTTCTTAAATTAGCTGAATATAAAGAGCATGTTTTATCATTGCCCCAACAGAAGCTATTTGGAATAGGACATTATAATTTATCCAAAAGCCAAGTCATGTGAGCCTAATCATAATCCCAGGAGACAATATATCAACCTTCTTCAGTCTAAATGGCCCACTAATCTTATAATTTTCCCTGCCCTTTTGAGTGCTTTTATTCTGAAGAAAAAAAATAGTATAAGAGGAACTTTGTTACAAAGGAAACTGTATATTCTCCTGCACCATGAGATATTCCCTTTCACATCATTATTCCCCATAGGATAAGAGGATGTTAAAATTTCACAAGGTCCCATTCTTTTCATGAATGACTACAACTTTTGGCTCCAAAATAGTTCCAGAGGCAACAGTCTTTGCTTTTCAAATTTTTTGGGAACTGACAAGGAGAAACAAGTGCTCCACAATTGATGTCGATCTTTTATAAAAATGAAAAAATCTAGAATTTTTAAGCTTCTGATTCAATAAGGGTCTAGCAACAAGCCCCCAAACTTTCACTTAAAACTTCCTCAGGAAAAATTAAATTATCTCAAATCTGGATGGTCCTTGCTGCAAAAAAAACAAACAGCTCTATGAAGAGAAAACATAAACTATTATGTGGTACCAAATTCTAGTTGAAAATCAGTTTCTTCTTGAGGTTAGACCAGGTTATAATGTCAGGAGCAAGACTATTCCAAGATATTTCATTATTAGACTATTTCATACTTTAAGACAGTTACACAAGTACTTACTCAGCAAACAATTTTAAACACATAACATTGAATCAATATTGAATAAACATTTGGATCATTGATACAACATTGACATAATGTAGCCTTGTTTGCTGGGTAATATCTTTTAGCCCTTTCAGTACTACGATTGAGTACACTTGATCACTGTGCAGAGAATGAGAAAATGCAAATTAAATAAGCTCAATCATAGCACTGAAAGGGTTAATTATATGAAAAATGTATGATACATCAATAAGTAGTCTAAATCTGGTAAATGTATTACAACTGAAATGTGCAGAACACTCAGCACTGGCAGTGCTGGCACTCACAGAAAAACTCAGCACTAAGAATTATGCAACAACTCTCTATTAATTTGCCCATTAATCACCATAGTTCTATTCCCATGACATACACATAGCACCTTGTCTTTGATTTTCCAGTCCTTTCGCAAGAGCACTTGTTGCATCCAATTATTCTTCCTTTGCAGAATGGCAAGCACCCATAGGCAGAGTTGCAAAATATAAGAGAAGTTGTAGTGTACATCCATGTGATTGATAGTTAATGGGGTAATTATTACATTTACATAGGTGGGTTCAACTAAATGCATATGCCAAATAAAGCAATTTAGAGATTCCTAAGGTCAAAGTCATTATCAAGTCCAGCTCTCACCATCTCTCCATTGATGCCTTTTGCTGTAGACAATTATGTCACTCAACTACACCTACAGCAGTGTTCATATCCAAAATTATGCATTTTCTGAGAATATAGGTGGATTCAGCTTGGTACACCTTTGAATACATGAAGGTTAAATGAAAAGTCAAAGATCATGATATAGGAAGTCTTGTTAAAGAAAATAAGACAAGAAAATTGGCACAGAAGTTATACGGAGGCACATAACATGAAAATAAGACAAATTATATAATTGTTCAATCATTGCAAATGAAGAGAAATTAGACTCCACATATTCAATGATTTTTTGGGCATGAACAAGAGATAAACATATCAACAGTTAAGTGAAAAAATTCACAATATATTGCTAGAACAGATTGGCTCCCATCAATCTCCTGGAGATGGATGAGGAAAATCAGTAATTCTTTCCATACAGGAAGCTGGCAATCATTTTAAAGGCTTGTCCAGGTTTATCTTCAGGGACCATATGACCTGCTCCCTTGATGGTAAGCAAGTCCAAGTTATGGAATCTCTTCACAAACCCAGCAACTTGATTGTTGAAATACCAGGGCTTTCGTGGATTTGTCACCTTCAAAACAAGAAGGGAAGAGACCTTGAATGAACTACTGGCTTGAGCATATGAGGTCTGACAAAATTCCAGGACTGATTTCTTTTTTGCCATGTGGCAGCACTGGCTTAGGTTTCATTAAATTGGACCTGTTTTGTAACCTTACTGTCAGTATTGCATCAGTTAATTGTATAGATCGGTTGAGTTTTGTAGCTGTCCTGGAGATTTGTGAAAGTATAAGTGTTTCAATCGTGTTCCGGAGATGAACGAAAAATTCGTGGAACAGAGAATCATCATCAAGTTTTTGATAAAACTGAGTGAAAGTGCCAGGACATTCTCAAAGAGTTGAAGCAGGTTTATGGGGATGATGCATTGTCCAGGTCACACATTTTTTGAGTGGGCCAAGAAGTTTGCAGAAGGAAGAATGGATGTGAAAGATGACGCACGGTTGGGACACCTAAAAACTTCCACAACAAACAAAAATGTCGAAAAGGTGAAAATGTTGATTCAATCTGAATGACATTTGACAGTCAGATTGATAGCGGACCAGTTGAACTTGAACAGAGAGACTGTTAGGCTGATTTTAACCAATAATTTCAATATGAGAAAGGTGTGTGCAAAGATGGTCCCAAAGAACAAAAAGAAAGGAGGCTCCAGGTTTGTTCTGGCCTATCAGAACACATTCAGTCAGAAGGTCATGATCTGTTGAATAAAACCGTCACAGGAGATGAGACCTCGGTCTTCCAGTGTGACCCAGAAATGAAACACCAGAGTTAGCAATGGAAAATACCCACTTTCCCAAGACCAAAAAAAGTTCGCATGTCTAAGTCCAAAGTCAGAATGATACTGAAGACTGAAAACTTGAATTAAAGGAACTCATTTTGCAACAATAGAAGCGATCAAGAGAGCTGTGACCAACGAGCTATATGGCCTTTCAGAAAACAACTTCAAAGGGTGCTTTGAAGCATGGCAGCAACGTTGTTAAGCGTGTATAGACTCCTAGGGAGATTACTTTGAAGGTGACCACAGAACATAATTTGTAAATTTACAAAAAAATTTTCAAATGATTTAATCCTGGAAATTTATTGTCAGACCTCGTATTACTCAGTCTCTTGGCAGAATGAAAACCAGACTGGCAAAATTAATTATGCCAAAGATTGACTCACCTGTAGGTTCAGGGAATTCACAAACCATTCATCTCCAAGGAAATTACATGCCATATCAATGTCTCCATTGTATACCAATCCCCGATAATGCTTCAGAAGTCGATGAAATTGGGGTTCCATTGTCTCATAGACACGGCCATAGGACAAGAGAATATCTTGACTGCACAGACAACGAAAAGACCAAAGTAAATTACACCTCTAGAGATGCGAAAAACTTAGAAATGAAAGATGAACTGCTAAAGTCATCAATTTTATTAGTAAAGCTTTCAAATATCTCATTTTAATCACCCTGCAATATTCTATTTTCAAGAATAGAATATTTGATCAAATATCTAGTGATTATGTTTATATTCAATTGAACAACAACCCTAACAAGAATTGATGAGTATTAAATGTTTTATGTGTTAATTTCCAGAGACTTCTTTAGTGACATTCATTCAATAGGCCTAATTGATCTTCCATTAAAAAATTTACTAGGCATAGTTAACCCTTTCAGTGGTGAGTTTTTTTAGGCTGTGCATGCCCTCAGGAGTGAGTTTTTTTTCAGACAGATTCCAGCTCTGAATTTTTCACTTTTATGAACCAAAACAGCATTTATCTCTGAAGTATGTCAATATAATTTTAGTTCAACATTACTAATCTTGGGTAATCAGTAGTGCCACAGCATGTGGTATTCCACATATAAAAAAGAGATATGAAAGAGATGAAATATGGAGGAAGTAATTGATTTAATCCCCATTTCCTTCTCATTTCCTGTGAGGGAGTTTGTCATCAGTTTATTGCCAGTTCCAGGGCTTTCCAGATTTGTCATTGAGAATCAAGAGCACACCTCTGTCTGCTTAATTTTCTAAATGGAATGGGCATCTGTCATTGAGAGAGTCACACTGAAAACCCTGTCTCACAAACTGCCCCAAAGTTAGTATTTAATTTTTTCTCTGTTACTTTCTGTACTAGCTTCAAGACGGCAATACTGACTAAGGCAATACATATTCATGAACCTCCAAATTTAAGCTCAAACTGACTGCATCTATACAAACATGGCAATTTGAGCTGAAGATGTAGGACATACCAGTATGGCCACACTCCTGCGGAACCAGGAGAACACGGCCATACCAGTACGGCCATACAACTCTAAGGGTTAAAATAAAACCCAACAGGAATTTGAATGAAATCAAACTAAACTAGTACTTCTGAACAGTCCAGGAGCATGAGACAAATGTTAAACACTGAAATACTATATCTCCAGTTTACTTGAACATGTTTTGGTTCATTCAAAAGTTCATTAACCCTTTAATGACTATGTACATACGACTGTAGTTTAAACACATTGATGGCTTACTGTTGCATAGAGTCATTTTCAAGATTTATTCACTACAGGCTACCATTGTGTACATGCAACCATTACAAAACCAAGTCCAGCTAATGCTGCCATCCCTCAGCTACATTTTGAAACAAATTTTGTATCAATACCTGTAGAACTGGCCTGTGTACAGAGAAAATACTAACGAAGACCATGTAGTCTTTACAACATAACCCACAGAGACAGTGTCTCTACCAAATGTGAGTAGTATGGATATGAGTAAAAAATTCTGAAAATAGGAGGAAAATCAGGGTTATGGAGGAGAATGCAGATATATTAGATGAAATATTTGATACTCTGGAGTTCAGAAATGAAGCCAAAGCAATGAGGAAACTAATAATATTAGAGAAATGGCTTATAATATTTCAAGTGACAGCGAGTCAGACAGAAGAAGTGACAAGTGCCACAAAACGACCTCAACCTAGGCCAGAGGGTGTGCCTGCAAGAATTTTAACTGAGCAACTAAAGGGTTTAAATGACAGTCAAGCACCCTTGGGCAGAATATACAAGGGCTAACCTGCATATATCCCACTTCTTCACTTTTGGTGAAATGTGAAGTGCAGCCCGAACATCTTTTCCATTCAGATACTTCAAGAGAGCATCATCACTGATGCAAGGTGGGCTTGCATGCTGATGATATTTTCCAGCCATGAGTAGGGAATCCGTTTTCTCTTTTCCTACCAGTTTTAGAAATGGCAGAAGTAGATTTGTTAGGTCAATTCCATATTTGAGAGCAGATCCTTGTCTGCTGGAGTCACTGCAGTCACTATATAGGTTGTAAATGTTGAGCCCAATATCTCCAATGATATGGTTGACAGTTTCTACCTGGAAGATAAGTAAATAAATAAAAGAAGCACATGTAGATAAAGGTTCATTGTTCACCTGCTCTGGATCTTTCTCACTAATTTTGTCAATCACTTCTCTTCCAACAAGACAGCAACAAAAATAAATGCTTCATATTTTTTTACCTACAGTGTCAAGTCATGCTATCTCAATATTAGTGTTTTTGGAATGCAATGACTTTTTCTTTTTCTTCATAAAACAAAAAATGCTATGTTCAATGAAATTGCTCAAAATAATCATGTTGAGACTCACTGACCGCCTTCTGGCAAACATTATCCCCAACTGTGAAGTTACAGGACTCCTTTGTTGGTACTCCTTGGCAACAGTGAGTCTGCAAAGCATCCCATACTCTGAAAACATGAAAAATACAAGAAATTTAGAGAAATATGTAGAAGAAGAAAAGAAGACGAAGAAATGAAAAGTAGATTCATTCCTCATGATGCAGCATAGTAACTTCTTTCAACTTGTATGGTAAATATCATAGCCTTGAGGTCAACAACACAGACTTACCCATCACCGATGAGTCCATGATAGTATGCGAAAAATATCAAAGACTCTGAGTTGGAAGCATAGCTCAAGAGTCCATTGCCAATAGCAAAGCCCTTGAAGTTGCTTGAGGTATTGCTAGAGATTATCCTCTCTGACAGCGTGGGAACATATATCCCTGCATAAGACTCTCCCGTGACATAGAAATCATTCTTCTTAAACTGTGGAAACTGAAAAGGAAAACTGCACTATGTTCACCATCAGTAAATAGAACTTCTAAAGACATAGAATTGGAATCCTGAAGTTTAAGGGCATTTTTCAGAGTTGACTTCTATTTCAGACTTGTGAACTTCTTGGAACTGAGAAGCATTCTGCTAAGATAACCAATCTTCTCAAATTTGTATTCAGACTTGCTCTCAGCCCCATATATGTTAAGGCATAGCTCCAGAACAGAGAAGGGCTGTTATGAGGCCCATGTCAGAAATATTTAATAGAAATTTAGCATCATCCTTGCTGAGGACCTTGCTATGCAGTTTGCAGAGGTCAGTGACAATAATGAAGCACAAGCCAAACAGGAAAGACAGTGAATACATCACTCTCATAGAGAAATATTTGAAGATGAAGAAAGATATTCTTTGACCATGTCTCAGTTGGGTTCACTTTAACTTCATTGACTCCATTAATCCTTCAAGTGACTACATACTCATTTGATTTTATGATAGACATGATTAGGAGAGGTTGAAAAGTGTTCAAACTGCCTGGGGAGTGACAAAGTCAAGAAAAATGGGTCTAACTGAATGGAAATATATGCTGGCTTTAAAAGCTAGTTGGGGTGGCTCAGGCATGCTTTTGCATGTACAGACATTGTGCCCAGCATGGCAGACAAGGGAAAGACATATTATCCTACCCAATGGCATTTTGAAAACAAGCAAATTTTTGCACAATTACTGGTCATCAACTTACCTTGTGGAAGAAGTCCTGCAAAGCAAGGAAATTTTGCAGTGATACCTTGTCATCATCAGTGACAACATTTCCATCATCTGAGTATGAAAACCCAACACCAACTGGACTTTCCAGGAAAATAACATTTGCGATCTAGAGTGAAAGAAATAAAAAGTATTTAGAGATAACCTTAAAATATAAGAGTATCAAAGCAAAAAAAAATTCAACTGTGAAATGTTCCAGCAATAATTTTAAAGAATCAATTTAAGATAAACAGCAAAAGGAGACTGAAATTAGTTTTACATATCCTGAGCAGAGAAGAACAAACAGCATCCCAAGTAATGGCTCTCCATCAAAGTTACCATGCACATAACACTTTAAGTGTACCAACTAGCATAGCAATCACAATAGTAGAGCCCTCCTTCTTTCATGTTAAAATGATGTATTACATGTTGGGATGCAAGATGATATGCCGAAAGAAAAAATACAAACTGCAAGAAGTGCATAAAAACACTTTGAAGACATATGATCTATTGTGTGACAATAGACATGAACTAACAGCTACCGAGGAATGTTTTAACCCTTATATAGGCAAGGTAAGACATGAACATAACTGGTAAAGGTGTTCCATTGGATTCCCAATTACTGAAAGTATATGTAATTAGTGAAAACAGAGGCAAAAACACATTTACTTCAAAGCAAAGCCTTTTCTTTATTGTTTCTAATGAATTTGAAAAGTAATGCAAAATTAATGTTTACATTTTTAACTTAAGAAAAAAAACCAGCTCAGGAATCTAATACTCCCTTTGCCCATATAAGAGTTAAAAATGGAGTATGAAGAACCCCATTCCCTGCTCTCATTATCGGTAGGGGTACCCTTGCACAGGATGCTGAGGGTTCCCTGAGAGAAACAAAATTTTCTTCAATACATATACAGTTTAGTGCAAAAGTAAGTGAACCCCCATGCATTATGCATAAACATGCAAATAACTTTTTTAAGAAGCAACAAAATCACAAAGCAAGTGATGCAGATAATCAATGAACAAAGCTGTTTATTGTCCTGGGTTGGCTTGAATGTTCGTGCTTCAGCCAGTGAATAATCAGCAAAAAACTAAAAAACCAAGGGTGCAAAAGTAAGTGAACCCCTCGCTCATTATTTTGTTGCCCCACCCTTAGCCTCGACCACAGCAAGAAGGCGCTTCCTGTAGTTCCCCACGAGTCTCTCGCATCGCTCTCTGGGGATCATGCTCCACTCCTGCTTGCAGAACTCCTCCAGCTCAGCCAAGTTGCTTGGCTTTTTGGCTTGCACCTTCTGCTTGAGATCGAGCCACAGCATCTCAATTGGGTTGAGGTCTGGGCTCTGACTTGGCCACTTCATGACCCGCAGACGCTGCTCCTGCATCCAGGCTCGGGCTGATTTGCTCGTGTGCTTGGGGTCGTTGTCTTGCTGCATCACCCAGCTGCAACCCAGCCCCAGCTCACGACCACTGGACTGCAGGTTGTCAGCGAGAATCTGCTGGTATGCAGTAGAGTCCATGGTGCCAGTGACTCGAACCAGCCGGCCTGTACCTGCAGCAGCAAAGCAGCCCCACAGCATGATGCTGCCACCACCGTGCTTCACTGTCGGCCTCAAGTTCTTCTCCTTGAATGCCGTGTTGACCTTGCGCCAGACATGTCGGTGGTAGTTGTGTCCGAAGAGCTCAACTTTGGTCTCGTCTGTCCACAGGACACGCCGCCAGTAGCTGTCTGGCTGCTGCAGCTGCTCTACTGCAAACTGCAGTCGGGCTTGACGGTGCATCTTCGTCAGCAGCGGCTTCTTTCTTGCAATGCGGCTGGCAAAGCCATGGCGATGAATGGCTCGCCGTACTGTGGTGACGTGCACCTGAGTGCCAGAAAGTGCAAGCTGCTGCTGCAGCTCCAGAGACGTGACGGCTGGGTTGCTGTTGATCGTCTGGATGATTCGCCGGGTCGCGCGCTGCGAGATTTTCACCGGTCGGCCGCTTCGTGGCAGGGGAGTGACGATTCTGTGACTGCGCCACTTGTAAATCACACTGCGAACAGTGGAAATGTGCACAGACAGTCGGCTAGAAATCTTCTTGTACCCGTCTCCTGCCTCGTGCGCAGCCACGATACGCCGTTTCAGGTCGTCAGCCAACTGCTTACCGCGTGGCATGATTGAGGGCGAGAGCTGGAATTGACAGCCTGCTGCCTGCACTTAAGGCTGAATGTGCCAGCCTGATGCTGACTCAATCGGACTCAGGCGGTTGGGGTGGGGCCAGCACGCTGCCAGGACCCAGTGTACAGTGAGTGGAGTGCTGGTGGCAGCGGTTCCATGGCCCAGAGCTGCTTTGTTGGCAGTGGCTGGTGAATATCTTTAGGGGTTCACTTAGTTTTTAGTTTTTTGCTGATTATTCACTGGCTGAAGCACGAACATTCAAGCCAACCCAGGACAATAAACAGCTTTGTTCATTGATTATCTGCATCACTTGCTTTGTGATTTTGTTGCTTCTTAAAATAGCTATTTGCATGTTTATGCATAATGCATGAGGGTTCACTTATTTTGCACTAAACTGTACATAATGAAAAATGAATTAAATAAAACCCCCAATATTATTGGCAGAAATTCTGGGAATATACTTGAGGTCAAGTAGCTACAATTTTTGGCAGAGTATTACCAATCCATAGGGATGAAGACTAACACAGGGTGAATACTCCACAGTTTTCTATGGAAGAAAGTAAGATTTGTATATTTGAGTATTGGATGCATACAAGGTATTTAGAAGATTGCCTGGGTTTTTCTCAGAAAAATTCTATGAGCTTTGCATTGTCCTGTTATAAAGTTAACAGGTGGACCATTACACCTCAAATGCAGTAATTGTCTATGCTCTACCATCGCAAAATTCAATTAGAGTAGTTTGTCCAGTTTTGGCCTTAAACTGATTTTTACTAAATTCATATTTTTTAAATTGCCTTCAAGACCAAATCTTTTGAAAGGGCTCTCAGATACAACTGATATGGGCAGAAAGGCTCATATGACGTTCAAAGGTTCCTACCTTAGTAGGCATAGTACCAAGATAGGAGGTCCTCCAGTCAACAACAGTGCCCTCTATTGGCATGCAGCAACATCTTGTGGATGCGAGAAATATATTTTAGATTCATGAACTTCTCTGTCAAGTATGAGCTGCATCCAACTGTCCCTTGAAAAGTTATGGCCAATCAAAATTGGGTGGCGACGTTATAATAGCCAAGTAGTCAGGAATTTAAAATCTGGGGGTTGGAGGTCATTTTGTGCCCCCATGATCAAATTAAAACTCACTTTCCTTGGCCTCTGCTCAAAGTACAGAGAAAAGTTTTTGTTGGCAGGCTATTCTCAAAACAATCTGACAGTTTGCCAAATTTCATTGGATTCTGAGATGGTTGAGCACAGACCATCACCACACTTAGAGGTGGAATGATCCATCTCTAAGCACTTTTAATTCACTTCTAAACAGGCATTGCACAACTTAGGCAGGGGTGCTGAAAAAAAACTATGTACAGCTCAACACCTTGTAACCATCCAATGTCGATCACATAGCCAACATTTAATTTTTTCACATTCATGAAACTATTTTTCGTATAAAAAACAGTAGTTTTTTTTTTTTAATCCCATTACATATTGGATAGGTGATAATATGCACATGATAATATGGTAATGTGCAAGACTACTCTGTGAAAGTCTTTTAAAACCTTCTTTCTTATAATTTACATATGAAACACAACCAGTCTGGCACAAGATTTTTATGCCTGAAAATTTTGGGTTTCCCCTTTATAGGGGAATTCATTTGTGACCCAAGTCATGATTTGAAGGTCATAGTTCAAGGTTTGCATTGGGACTTCAAAAGACATTTTACTCCAGAGTAACACCTCTCGTCAATATAGACATAAATGGCTCTTGATAAATTCAGAGGTCAAAACTATGAACCTCAAGTCATAATCCATATCACATCACAGTTGAATATGACCACTGTGTGGGAGATGGAAGGTCTGCTGCAAGTTACCTGTCAATGAGCTGCTGATACTTGTAGACTCACTAAAAGTTGGCACTTTAAGAGAAAAGGCTAGGTGCTGGATATTCTAATGATAGTCAAAAAGAAAGCAGGCTCAAAAAGACTATTTGGTGCAATTGGGGATCTGTACCCATGCATAATTAGCAATCTGCCCTGCCTCTACCATAGAAGAATGGTATAAAGCCTGCAAGCCAACATGCTTCAGCATAAAAGCTTCAAGCCTACAATAAAAAATGGCATTCAAATAAAAACCAGGTTTTTTCCATCATGTAATCCTTCGGTAGAATAAACTTATAATTATTATCACAGGAAATCAAAATCAAAATTAACTGAAATAGGTCAAAAGCATGCATAGATGAAATAATCCTTCTGACCTTGTTCCAACTGTAAGGATTCAAATTTATGGACTTCCCATCATTGGTCACTTGAAAAGGTCCCAATTCAGCCAGCATTCCTTCCATAGAGCTGCATCCTGGACCACCATTGAGCCATAAAAGAAGAGGATCTTTTTCTGGATTCTTCTCAGATTCAACAAACCTTTCATGAAATCAAGACAGATATGTTATTCCAATAAATGGAGCAATTACAAAATTATTACCAGTATAGTTATTAGGTAAATCAATGATTATAGAAGCTGTGGTCAACACAATGTGTCTACAAATTACAAAAAAATAAAAGAACACATTCTGTCAGCCTATGGTAACTCACCAATAATGAAGGTTCTTTCCAGATCCACCATTGAGATATCCACTATAATGTCTAAATCGTATTGGGTCTTTCAAGCCAGGCAAGTTTGTGACAAGATCTGATTCTCCAGGGCCTTGTGATCTTGCCATGGCCAAGATGCCCAATATGGACATAACTAAGAGTGTGAAATTTCTCTTCTTCATCCTCCTTTTCCTGGAAGAAGGAGAGTGTTTTTAAAGCAAAGCAATATAGACCTAGCCAAAAGGCAGTAAGCATTAAGCTTACACATAACTCAGGCTTAGTGTAACAATACCAATAACAAGCACATGGATAAGGAAGGCACAGAGAGGAGACTACTGAATTTTGTCATTTGCATATCTGAAAAAATTTATCATGAAAGGGTTAACTGTTTCTTTGTATCTTTCACTGTTCTCCCAATATATTACTTTAATTATTACATGTTTTTTGCTTACAAGCAAAAACTCAGACTGGAACTGTGGAAGTGTTTCAGTAATAACTTTCCTCTCAATGATGAAAAAATGTCAATTTACTTCAATTGGATATTCACCAATAATTGTTCAAAATGTTCATAAAATTTATCAAAAACTTTTTTGCTTTACATGTCTCACTATTTTCAAAACCTCAGAAAGTTTGATCATCAAGTTGGTCAAACTCTTGGATTAAGCAGAATTTTTATTGTCTCTCAGCAAAAAAATTTTTTACTTAATCCTACCTAACCCCTATTCTACTAAACCCCTGATAAAGTGACACCAGAATGAAGCTTCATTCCAGAGTCACTTTATTCATAACATTGCTCTCCTCCCAGTACAGCAAATGTGAAATTTGTTGGGCCTCAGAGGGCACTAAATTATTATACTTAACCCAATAGTTTGATCAGACAGATCAACCTTTTTGATGATTTGAAAATCTTGAGACATGTGAAATTAAATTGTTTTTTGATAAATTTTTATGAATATTGATGATGAATACAATTGAAATAAATGATGAAATTTTAGATTAATAGCATATGAATAAGTTAAAATAAACAACTAAAATACTATTCAAGTCTACCATTAATTAAAATAACTTATTTGGTAAAATAAAAAATAAACAAGCATGGGGGGATGATTATAGAGCATCTTCATGCCTATTTTAAACTAAATATCTGAACTTTGGTGTAAATTAGTTAAAGCTCTTTCCAAAAAGAAAGCCTGCAGCAGGAGCCCAGTTTTGGAAGTGTTGGGGACTACACTGCCAACAGATTATCATGCTATCCCTAGCATACCAGTATAGGAAAGAACACACATTTTGGTTTAAGGCCCAGACTGGATTAACATGGTAGAATGGAGTAAAACAAAGATCATGGTATTAGGCCATGGTTAGCTTTTGACCTTCCTATCAGTTGTAAAGTGCAGAGAGGGCACTAATATCTGCAGGAGATTTATGAGGGAATGTGAGTAGGCAGATCTACAACAGTGGCGGTTCGTCCTGGTAGGCACGTCGGCCAGGGCCTACACTGGACGAAAAAAAAAAAAAGACAGCACCGAGAGCTACTGTGAATTACAAGTAATTTTCAGATTATTTTGGCTTTTACTTGAAAGTTTTAGGTATGCGTCTTGCCAGAATAATCTCTGAATTCCTTGTTGGAATTAATGAAATTTTATTAAGTACTGGAGGCGGGTAATGCCCAGGATAGGATGGAGAATGCTGTCTGCTATTGCAGTGATTCCCAACCGTTTCGATTCCGTGGCCCACCTTAACAACTAGAAAGTGATCCGAGGCCCACTACATACTTAAAGCTATGTAATTTTTGTTCGTCTAACTGTTGTTATCTTTAAATTTACAGATACTTGTCACATCCCACCAGTTGAGAACCTATGTGCTAGTGGAATGGTTGATCTGGGCTTCCCCGCTCTGGCAGGTGAGTATGAGCATGCGCAATTCCTACTTGGGTCAGCCTTTTCATAGTCTAACCTGTTTTAATCCAATGGAAGCCGGATGGAGGGGGAATGGGCAATCAGCGAAACGAATGAACTGCGACTTGAGCTCGAAAGAGATTACGCCTCAGTGATACGTTGCCAAGTGGATGCAGCGTTCAAGGTTCAAAGTTCAGGTTGAGATGTCAAATATTAGGACATCCCGTGTCAAGGTCGATCGTTCCACTATCATCCATATCCATATCATAAAATAGACTTACCTCTCTCACAAATAAATATTTATGTGGGAGCAAATCCACCTACTGCCTAGTCACTCACATCAACCTAGCTACCTTCTTGTTTTGCTCATGAAGGCACCTAACCCTTATCTTTAAGCTAGTCACGGAGGGGCAGCTACTATATCGTCACTTAACGCATTCCACGCGTTCACTACTGACACACCCTGACCTACTCACACCCTGACATTGCCGAGTGTTCTCTATCTTCTCTCCTGCCCTTGGGCTTTCCTCTGGCAGTGACTTATATAATGAGATTCCTGCAGCTGGTGCCGTAATTCAACTATTGAATGACATGTACACGTGGCACTGTTTATATTAATATTTTTTAAATATTACATGTATACAGTAGGGTGCCCAGAAAATCCCTATGGGGGAGGCCCCCCTCCCTCAGGGACTTTCACATACGAATAATTAACATACGAAAAATTGTTAACCCACCCTGCATATGTCCAAATTTAAAAATGTTCGAGAATCAAACCTGTAAAATATATCTCAAGGGGAAAGAGGGGGGTTTTGACCCCCATAACCCCTCCCCCCTTGAGCACGCCACTGCATGAATTTAACAATATTTTCTTTATTTACCATATGATAATATAAATGTTAAAGTAATAAAAAGATATATTAAGGAAAAGCTCATATTGACCAGCATGCATTTTCTATTATAGTAATAATAGCAGTGATAGTCGTATTTGTACCGTCTTCTCGGCCTCGTCAATGCAAAATGACAGAAAAATATTTTTGCTGATTAATTTGAACCTCGTTTTTCAGACGATGATAAAAAGAGACTGGAAAATTTCCAGAAAGGAATACCCAGGCACACCTTATCTGAAAATTTCTCAGAAATACGGGGCAAAAACTCGTGCTTTCCACAAAGTCTGGCATGAGAACTTGAAGAGGGCCCCTGAAGAGTAGTTCTCCCTGCAGCATGTTTTTGGAAGTGAATGAAGTTATGCGGGTGCCTAAAAAAGGAAAACCTCATATGAGCTACTGGAGACGAGGGGGGACGGCGGGCAGGACGAGACTGACTAACGGGGGGGGGGGCAAGAGAGGTTGATATAGGGCCATTTTTACTCTGGCTACGTCCATGGGGTACCCTACAGCAAGGCCCACGAGCCGCCCTTGACCTTAAGGCTGCACTGTCCTGAGTTTTCGGTGTGAGTGGGCCTCGAGTTATGTGTCTCCCTGTGGTTTCACAAAATAGAAGTTGGCTGACCATATATGTTTAAAGTGATTTACTAATTGATTAAGTGATTTACTATTCTTGCCACCTTTCAATTGCTCTTCGTAAGCCTTATATGGTTTTCTTCATTTAAACTACGGTGACCAGGTTTAACTGAGGCTGTCCAATTTTTCGGAAGCGATTACTGTTTCTTAAACACTCCCCTGTTCGGAAAATTATAAGATTTTTTAAATTTCTAGTGTTTCTCATGTCTAGCAAGCATAAATTATTTGTAGATTTGAAACGGGGAGAAATGCCCTGCTTCTTTCTATATGCTCTCTCTTCCAAAAAGGCACTATGAAAATAATATTGCTCATTGTAAATGGTATTACGAATTCATGCGCATATCGCTTTAACTTCAAGAGGCTTCAGGTTCATCTGATGCGTTGATGTTTGAGCCGTTGTAAAAGGGTTGAACGCAACTGAAAAACTACGAACAGCGCGCAAAAATCTCAACTAATTTTTTTTTTTACTCGAGTTCGAAACTTGAAAATGACGCCAAAATACACCTTAGTACCTCATTACATGAGGCATATGAATGAAGCTTTGAGACGTGGGCCTATTTTCCGAAATTTTAGTCCGATAAGCTCGGATTGGAGTAAGAAAAAAGTCAAGCTCCATTCAAGAACACTGAACTCACTGATAAGAGTTAGGAAACCACAGTAAGGTTTTTCCCCCTGAAAATAAAACACGGGTATCAGAAAATTTCCAAACGCCATAGCCAATGAGAGCTATGCCTCTGTGCCTCGGAAGGAACTGGCCAATCACCGCTCAGGACGACAAGCGACCGGCCACTGTGGTCTAGCCTCTAGTAGTAGCCGCAACTTTCGACTGCTTCGCGTAAACCTAGGCCTATTCCTTCAGTCTCAAACCTTATGTTCCTCTATTGCATTTAGGGAAGACTCATAAAGTATGGTCGGGTTCGCATGAAAGTTAGGCCTGGACTTAACAGTCAAGATTACTGCCAGTGCTCCAATGTGTTTCCGCACTCGCATGTGTCACTCTAGGCCTATATATCATATGTAAGCCACCAGCTGTAATAAATCCTCGAGGAGGAAGAGGAGAGTTTGGCCAGAAGACAGTGAGAGGCAAATATTTGTCTGTAGCCTTGTAGACGAAATGCGACTCTCTAAGCTTGCGCCAATAGAAAACCTTGGAGTTTGGAGTCATTGATGACAGGGTAATGGAAAAAACCATGGGATAGCCAAACATGCAAATTGGGTGTTGCTTCCTCTGGGTGTTCCAAAGCTTGCTACTTTCAAGGGCTTCACTTGCTTCTTGGGAATATGGATGATCTTAGAGCAAATAAGACTATGGAGCCCTGCTGCCTTAAATCATTTGGACCAGTGCTACCCTGGAGTTTAACCTTCAGAGTTGCCTAGGCCCCTTTCAGGCCTATTTCCTAAGCGACCTCCTAATGTCTGCTAGTTTTGGGGCCTTTACCCACATGATCCTATTATATATAGAACCTTATCATTAAGGCTAAAATCTTCATGAAATGCTGTTTCACTGACTAGGCATACCCCAACCTATTGAAATTGACTGTGCCTAGGCTTCCTTTGCCACATGAGCAACTTGGAAAGCAAAGCTGATTATTGTAGCCACAATATCATGCCCAAGTAAGCTTTATTGTATGCTGAGTGACAGACTGAGGAACAAAGTAAGTATTATCCAAACATTAAAACCAAGAATGCAATTATCTTGGCTCTAGTAGACCTTCAAGATCCAGTCAGGGAAGAAGGTTGAATTTGTACCAGTCTGTGTGTTTGGAGTCCCATTGTTCAACATTCAATTCCTGATATTCACTTTACACCATGAATCAGGTCTATTGAAGAGACTGATTCAGGGAGGGACATAAACATAGGTATCTCATGGAGTCAAAGGGCACAGGATAAAAGTTAAGCGACAATCTAAACAGCTCAAAACTGCAAATGATGATAATCACTAAGGTTTTTAATATATATTCAGCATTCCACTCTATGATTAATACTAGGCTTCACTTGCTATAAGACCAAATCTGTAAATTATCTCTAGTCTAACAACATTGAAATCAGAGGAAAGATAACCTTTACAGCCTTCACATTCCAGGCAATTTCAGCCCTTCTAATGTGGCGCAATATAAAATGATTGAGACAAGAAATCTTCCCAGAAGCAACATGGTGGCTCCATGCTGTTTCTGTTCAAACCAAACAAGTGGCTAAGAAAAAAGCTCATATCACAATTCAATCTTCCAAATTGTTCCATCAATGACATCAGTGTTTAAAGTCTTTACCATTCACAAGTTCCTCTAGATAATCATAAATCATTGAAAAATCATCTGAAATTCTGACATTTAACCTGCTCCCATGATGGGGTCAGCCCTCTCATCCACTTCTTGTTTAGCTCCTGATATTCTTATCTCTTCCTTTTCCCTTCAGGGCTACTTGGCTGAAAGCTGGATTCCTTTTCTTCCATCTTTTTGTATGGGGCCTTTTATGTTATGTTTTTTTTATGTACCTCATGTGGCCACTCCCATCCCTACAGTTCCTGAGATAGGAAACCACAAACCTTGTAGATTAGAGATACATTACCCCTTGAGGTTCACCTTATACCTCCACAACTAATTCAGATACAGAGGTTAATAATGCCCCAGGTATATACTCTTGGAGATTAGGAAGCAAGAACTTCATTAACTTTAATGTGCACCAAAAAAATTGAGTTTTAATTATCTGAAGTTGATTAAAAAGTTTAATTTTTGTGACCTCATCACCTCAAGTGAGTGTTATCAAAACCAAATCATGCTTGGAGACTCCTTAGGTCATAAGTATGTATTTTCAGAGTTTGGTTCTCATAAATCTCTAGAAGAAAAGCCCAAGGCTAGTTGGGCTTGCCTCCTTTGTTTTTTCATTGTCTTAGCATTTCACTCTCCAGGTTTGCCCTAATTGTGATGAAGAGCGAGTGGATAACGTAGAACTCATCCTCATCATAGCATATGCTTAAAGCATGGAGGTTATCAATGCACCTAACATCACAGAAAATGGATCACAGAAGTTGCCTGGGCATTGTGAAAATCAATGCTCAAACTCTTCAAGCAAAAACTCCTCCAATTGCTCAGGTGATGAAAGTCACATGGAAGTGGAACAGTCCTTGGTCAGCCTTGAGAAACTGGACAGGGACTCACCAGAGCTATGGCCTGAACAGATTCCAGGAGTTTCAGAATTTGCACTTGAGCAGATACATGAACGCAGTGATAGTCCTGAACCTTCATGGTTGCAAGACCTTAGTGAGGATGACCTCAGCCTCCTCCAGGAATATGGCAGCTTACCTCCTGAATCCCTCATTGAGGAAGTGAAGAAACAGCAGAGAGTTGCATATCAACTTGGACTTGAGGAAGCAAAAGAAATGACAAGAGGAAAGTTTCTTCATATTCTAGATAAGTCATAGCTCAAAGCCTACTAATTGTATTGTCAAGCATTTTCTTCTACTGTGTCCGTACAAATACGCCTTCTGGTGCCGTTGACTGAAAGTTTGACCAGATGGAAAATGTATGGTTTCAATTCTTGCTAAGTTTCATGATATTTGTTCGATTGAGATGAATACTGCAGTTATCTCCAATGTGTGCACATTGATAGGCCTGTAGCATCAGATGCTTTGCTCTAAGTTGCATTTACATAGCATCTAACTTAACATCCAAATGGGTTGACATTTAATTATGGTCCATGCCAAACCTTGGTGATTTTCTCCAGTGGTATGAATATGACACTTGCAGATTTATATATGCTTGTCATTTGCAGTTTTTCATGCAGTCACACATGATATCTTACTTGCAAATTTCCAAAATAATACATATGACTTATGCATTCATTTAGAGCTATTCTGACTGACTTTTTCTGTTCATATCTTGGACACTATTATGAGTCATCCCATGTTTCAACTTCAATATGAGGACCTCTGGAAAATTTTCCTGAAAGGTTTTTTTCCCTGTGACACCTACAGCTTCCCCTCCACATTGAGTATTCCTGTTCACAATAGTCCCCTTGTGATTTCTATGCACTTCTTCCTTCTGGTGCACATATATCTCCAGGTGTGTCTTTTGCAAGGGTCAGTGGATTACTTGTCATGGCACTCATGAGTCCATCCTGGTCAGCAAATATACATCTCTCATGAAATTGATATCCAGGAAGAAGTCTAAGTCACAGGGTGCCAAGTCCAATGATAGGGGTGGATGGCTAATGGTAATTATTGAGTGGCATGCCAAAAAGTTGCCTAAAAAAGGTACTTGTGACAGCAGGACAATGCCCCTTTGCATGTGTTGTAGTTCTTTACAGCTTTCTGCCTTGCCACTCAATTGCAAGCATCAGCCAACCTACTTATTCTCTGGACTTTGCACCCTCTTGCTTTCCTTTTTCTGTTGCCCAAGTCAACTTTGAAGAAATACAAATGTGGGGATTGGGATGGAACCATGAGTATCATGAAAATCAATTGGTGTACTCTCTGAAAGAAGTAATATTCTTCTGTTTTAAAGGGACTATGTGACTCTGGAACAAGAGGTACTGGTGTCCTCAAAAGAAAAGTCTTTTGTAGGTCCTCAAATATTTTAATTACTTGGTGAGTGTTGTCTTGATTTTGTCCTCTAAAATGGAATGTTGCTCTGAGACTGCTGCTATTCTGCTGATACTGATAACGAAGTATTTTCGAAGTATATTCAGTATTTATTCCTTCATCTTTGTTTATTTTTGCTGCTTATTGTCATTTCAAATTCACATGCATTTTTCAAATTTTGTTTATGTCATAGCAAATTTTCTCATTGTCTTCAAGCTAGTATTCTCATCTTATGCCATATTCTAAGACAGTGCTTCCCAACCGTTGTGCTGCTGAATTTTTTCGGAATCATAGGGAAAGAAAGAATATCCCTGTGTTTTATTATTCTCATGCTACGTCAGTTGAGTTGACGAGTGGGTGATGAAAATATTAAACACATTGACAGTGAAATTTGGTTCGGTATGCCATGAGGATTGAGCAAACTCGAAAGTGTGCCGTGAAATAAAAAAGGTTGTGAAGCACTGTTCTAAGACACACAAAAAATCACATCTCGGCTTGAAAGTTGCCACATGAAGGGCATTCAGCCACGTAGGCTTCGGTGCCTCGTTTACTCTGAAGCGCTGTTATGGCCGTGCGCCGTTGAAACTATAGCTGCCGAACCAGCTGGTTTTTTTAAAACGACACTTCACGATCATGTAGCAGAAATAAGAAGCTTTTCGGCCGCGTTGTTCATATGGAGCTCACACTTCTCAACCTTTCAAGGGAGAACTCAAGAATTATTGTGGGTTGCCGCTATCGCTCCCGAAGTGCTCTGGGAAATGGATTTGGTAGTGTTTTCCACATCCCCCAAAGATACGTGCACCTAGTGCTACCACAAGTAGTTCCAAAGATTCTTACATTGAGAAGCAGGGGACTATTTTGAGAAGTGAATGATGCAAATCGAAGTTACACAAATATTTTTTTATTTATTGGACTACAATGGAAACTTTTTAACCGCACCTCATATCCGTCAGGAAAAGTCTGCTGGATCTGCATTGAATTAGTCGACTCATTATGATACCCAGTAACCACCTCGAATGACGGAAAACATTTGAGGAACCCAGCAGATACATACCTTTGATAGTAGCAGCTTTTTGTGCAAGATGGTTTGAACACTGCCCCCTTTGAGATACCCAAGACTATGTCGGTTATTCGTCGGTCCCCCATTACCAGCTTTTTTACGGCCATGTTAGTTTCCTCTGTGGTCACGTCAAATGGTCGACCCGGACGAGGACCATCTATTAAACCAGGTCCTCCTAGGGATTCAGCTGCCTACTTCAATGTGATGCAGAAAGGTGGCTGATTTTGATAAACGTTCGTATGAATTGTCTGTGGCAACAAACCTTCCCTTGATAAAAACTTAATTACAGTTCAGTGCTCCAATGTTTTATAAGGGGCGTTCAAATGAAAAGTGGACAACTCCTATATCTAGGTAATTGACAGCGATCGTTGCGCCCTCACACGGGGAAACTGGCTTATATGAGAAGAAACTCATCAACACAAGTATCGGCGTGAACGTGATAGACGTTGTGTGAATTCCAGTCAGACCCCTCATGGAAGTGTCCAAAGTTGAACAACGCGCGGTAATTCGTTTTTTAGTGGCAGAAGGAACAATACCATCTGATGTTTACAGGCGTATGAAGGAGGTGTATAGTGAGTACTGTTTGGGTAGAACAGCAGTGCATACCTGGTGTGCGAAATTCCACAGAGGACGTGAATCGATTGAGGATGATCCCAGACCAGGTCAGGCGCACCACGCCATTACGGATGAGAGTGTTGCTGCAGTGAATGACATTGTGATGAATGACAGACGTGTAGACATGTAGTGGCATTAGCGAATATCAGCACTGGAACAGTCTGCACAATTTTGCATTAACGCCTCAACTTCCGCAAAGTCTGCGCCCACTGGGTCCCAAAACACTTGTCTCCCAAGCAAAAGGCATTGAGGATGGGTTTGAGCCTGCAACATTTCATCAGATATGAACCGGAAGGTAACGAGTTTCTCCACCGTATTGTTGCAGGTGACGAGTCATGGTGTCACCTTTTCAATCCAGAAACTAAGCAAATGAGCATGCAATGGAAGCATCCATCCTCCCCATCACCCTGGAAGTCATGGTCAATGCCCATCCCAGGAAAAGTTATCCTGACGTTTTTCTTTGACTGTTGTTGATTCTATCTGCTGTTGATTGAGTTTCTGGACTGTGGTGACACCAACTCGCAACGATATTGCGAAACTTTGGACCGTTTAAGACAGGCAATAAAGTCGAAGCGTCCAGGTCTTTTGAGCTGGAAGGTGGTTCTGTTGCATGACAACGGCCGCCCCATACTGCCCAATTAACGGTAACAACGTTGAACAGGTATGGTTTGGAGTGCCTGGAACACCCTCCCTGCAGTCTTGCCTTCTCCCCAGGTGATTTTCACATTTTCGGACCTCTAGAGAAAGCCATGAAAGGAAGGCAATTCAAGTCGGACGAAGAGGTGCAGCGCATGGTTACAGATTTCCTCATGCAACTGCCCAAGTCGTCCTACGAACAGGGTATCACGTTGCTAACTTCACGTTGGGACACATGTCTCAACAGGCATGGCGAATTTGTATAGATAAATAAGTATTTTATGCTTTATTTTCGACTTTTCATTTGAAGGCCCCTTACAATATCCATTGAAAATTCAATAATACAAGATGAAGTGTTTCAAAAACCATTGTCTAAGGCAGAGGACTTAATGGGCACCCCTCGTACTCTAGCTCAAAAAGTCTCACGGCTCTGCTTCCAGACAATGCCATCAGCAAAAATTAAAATGAAAAATATAAGTAAATATTTATATGGCATCCTATGATCTATTACCAAGTAGATTATAGACGATATAGATATAGATATAAGTTCTGCATGGGCAGAAATGGCGATGCTCAGATAGCATTTGGTAAGAGCCTTATTTCTGCAAGAGATATATCCTCTAGCAACCTGCGCTCCAGGTACGTTCTAGCTAGATGTATAGAAAAGATTACACTCATCGATATACAGCAGCCTTTCTCTACCTTTTTCACCATGCAGATCCCTTTGGTAGTTGTTGGAAAATGAATGCACAGACACCCTTCACTATCACGTAAAGTTGTAAACAACTAACGTGACTTTTTGTGAAAGTTAAAGACGAGACAGTATTTTTTTAATTTGTTGAAATGTATTCATGAAGACCTTGAATAGGTAGAGCAAAGTTTTATCGCATGTCATCATGCACGAGGTTAAATTAAAATCTCCAAAAGCCTGTCGATACACCACTGGAGCCTTCCTTTCAATATAATTACGGACTAGTTGATAGCATGACAAATAAATTGGCAACATCATGGCATAGCAAAGCAGATCGCATTCAAGTGGAAATTTTGCCTTTGACAACGTTGAGCTTTCAACAAACCCGATTTATGACTCAGTCATCCCCATCACTGTTCAACCTGTGCTTTCCCATGGAGTGACGTTAAGAGGCCGGGTGTTCCGTTTTACTTTTCGGTCCCCGAACATTCATAATTGAACACGGGCCATGAACTGCTCCTAAAATGTTGCATTGACGGAATACAAAGCTTCAGGCGTCTGGTCTACTAAATCACGCATTCCGTAAGAGGAATTCCTTTTCGTGATTCATGTTTCACTTTTTCACCAGTTCGATGGATGCCTTTCACGATGGAAGAAGGGTTTTCTGGGCATGATGATCATTATTGGATGAAAACGAGCCAATCTAACAGGCTTAAAACAATTTCTGATACTGAATTGAGGAGTTCTCTGGAAAAGGGCGTATGTGCAAAAGTTGCAATTCGAGATAAATAAAAACTTCCTATAGCTAATCTGAAGCTGGTCAAAACTTAGTTATCAGTAAAATGGTATATTAGACCTTTTACTAATTGAACTTGGGGTTTAAATGAATTTCTTTATCTCACATTGCTGGGATGCAGGCAGAAAGTGTTTATGCACATACGCCATTTTACCCATATCTGCACTGCTGGAACATTTTCCAACGAGTCCTTCACCACTTCTTTCTAGTTAAAAATAATATTTAATCTATAAATGCATCTACAGATTTCAAATAAACTGTTTCTTGAAAAATAACAATGAAAATGTGAATATTCAGGACACGTTTCATTCACCAATCACTCAGCAGTGATCCACTATTGTTGTATTCATAATCGGAATCTTCAACTATTTCGTGGATATCTCCAACTTCTCACATCCATCCAGTGGCTTGAATGACTGGGCCACTTTCATTTCCTTTCCTCGTGCCTGGTTTATTTCTCATTTTCACTTTCAGTTTAAAAAGACGAAATAATTCCACCAAAATCGTTCAGCATGCAATTGCTAGTGGAATATTCATGGAGGCAGCCATATTGAAATTACCAGGCAGTTGGCCTGCTGCATAGTGAAAGCATAGGAAAATCTGCTTCTTCTTTGCTGAATACGCATCTTAACTATTAGAAGACCACCCTATCCTATGACTAGTCACCTAAAGCAGCACATGCACACGGATATGGAAAAAGGGCTTATGGGCACATACGCCCCTTTTCCAGAGAACTCCTCAATTGTTGTTCCACAAGAGGCATAGAATAAAGGGATTTCTCTAATTTCAATTGCGTGACAGCTTGGCGAAGTGCCCTCTGTCTTTTCGTTATTGTCAAAATGTTATTCATGAAAAAAAAGGCAATATCAGACCCCCATTTCCTTCAAAGGAGGCATGATAATTCACTTCGATATTTTCCGGCTCACGAGACGTCTCGTCTATAGACTTTATCATTAGGTAACAATGAACATAATGGGAGAAAAGACGAACACCCATGAGGTGCATTATTGTATGCATTGTGTCCTGCCAAACTCACAAAACTCTCAGCATGCGATTAACTTTTTCAATATTGGCATTTATTTTTGTCCATTATTCATTATTTTCCGCGTGGCATGGTTGCGAGGACTTGATGAGGACTTGAGCCCTGCTTGAGAAACGCTGGAATACTGGGCTACAGTGATTTTTATAGATTGCATTCCCCCTCCTACCCCATTCTGAATAGCACCTCATGTAATTCAACCGAGAGATATCTGCTATCTCAAAACGACTGCGCCTGGCTAAATCAATGGCTGAAGTTGGAATTAAGTAATTAGCAGGTGGCGCATAAAAAATGCACCAAGACCTTTGCGCGAATTTCTCAAATTCTTAGCAATGGCGTACAAATAATTTCATGTAAGCATCTTTCTTCTTGGTCCCATGAAAACTATAGATTTCTGGCTACCAGAATACACCCACAGCGGTTGTTTGACTCAGACATCTCGAAAATTTCCACATCAGACACAGTTCGGAAGGAGGGGCTACTGCCCAAGCGCTGTATGATGTCAAGCTGATGTCTTCCTTTGGGCTAAGAGCCCAGCGATTCCCAAACTTTCGACCTTTACCTACCACTTGCCTCCAGGGTCCATATGTAGCATACCATCACTTGTCCCACATGTGCACATCTCACAAAGTATATAAGACTAGTACTTTATTACGCAAGCTTTTAAAAAATAAGTCTGTTTGAAAACCTCTAGCGTACCACCTGGCATTGCCTTGGGTACCGCTAGTGTTACCCCAGCAAACATACTAACATTCAATCAGCGTTGTATGAACGTTAATTTTGAACCTTCCCTGTGTTTGGTTGGCGTTGCAGCTGCAACATCAAGTCACTATTGCAATGTCGCTTATCGGAACTCTCAGATGAACGTTGAAGTTCAACACTGGCTGAACGTTGAGCCAACATTGCTATGTCACTTATTGGAATGTTCACTCCCACCCTTGTAGCATTCCATAATTTGTCAATAATGAAGGCAATGGATTAAATATTTTTCTGAAAGTACTAATCTTAGTACTTCACAGGGAACGGCCATCCCCTTTCTGCTCTGTGGAGTACAGAAACCCTCCTTTCCTTCACTGAGAGTGGAAAAATAATTATCCCTCTCAAATGCGAAGAATAGAGCCAATGTATATGATTGAGTTTGTAGAAACTCTTTTTGAGATAATTGTACATTGCGATGCAAGGGTTTCTCATAAGGAGTATGAGCTTATTTACTGCCTGGGCTCCATGATTCTGTCTCGAATATATGGATAATAAATTAATAAGTGTCCGATTTTATTGATTGTTATAAAGAGGCAATGAAAAACATATGGTGAGGTAATAAACACTCCTGTGAGGGATGTTTCCATGGAAAGAGGAGAACTTCAGCATTTCCTTAAAATTAACTCCTCCGTGGAAATTGGGCTCATTGGATCATCGCGTCAGTCTGATATTGCATCGATGATGGAATGGCAAAATTGGGAAGTCAATATTGAGCCAATATTTAGCTGGTATTGGCAATAATGGCAAGATGCATGTAGACATCGTGCCCAATGTTGGTCCAGCATTCACCCAATATCTGGTATTACTAGGGTAGTAACACTGGATAGGTTCTTTGTCGTTTTGCGGAAATTTTTTTTTCCCCTATTTGGCGATGCATATTCCATGAAACTAACCATAAATATTATTTTAAAATGCTATTTAAAAAGGTATCATAATGCCATAACACTGCAACAATATTCAAGCAACGTTGGTCTTTGACCTTCAGCGTCGATGACACTGTACAGTATTGACCCTAGGGGAATGTTCCCACAACGTTACTATGTTTGCTGAGACGTGTGCCACAATTTGGGAACCGTTGGTCTAGCCGGTGAGTAGAGTGATCAAGACGAATCACTCCATTGCAGAATAGAGAGCCTTCGTTCAACAAGCCTGGAATGAGATTCCTGTTGTGAAGATCAGCAAGTCCATCTCTTAATGAAAAGAATACTACGTGCCGTATGCAAAGCCAAAGAAGGACCTATTGCGCATCTTTCCTTGTAAGATGAAGCGTGATATGAAAATTTTAGAGGTGTCTCAGTCGAACAACCGCTGTGAGTGTACTCTGGTAGCGAGAAATTTTGTCGTTTTCATGGGGTTAGGAGAAAAGATAGATGTATACCTGGTATTATTTTTACATCTCTGTCTCATCTGGAAGTTGAGAATTAACGCAAAAAACTCGGCACTTTTTTTCCCCGCCCTCGCCACAGTAGGGAGGGATGCAATCGATCGAAAATCATTGCATTGCTAAACGAACGTCAGTCGAACTCCAGGACCGTATACAAGATAAAAAAGACAAGAAGCCAATAGCTACCGCAAGAAAGAAAAATTGTCCTAATGTTTGAAGATCCTGTCGCATTATTGGCTGAGAATGTCCAAACTGTCAGTGGGGGAAATGTTTAAAAGTATCAAATTTGCTAGAATTGTACATGAAGAAAATTTCAGTTCAATTTGAAGCACAAGTAAAAATATCTAAACATATTCTGAACTGCAATGCTATTACGAGGAGTGGGACTTTTATGCATGGAAATCTTGTATATATGTGCCGCAGAAAATTAAAAATATGCATGAGAGATTCCTAAAAGTGTGCAAGCCCATTAAACGGCATTAAGATGCTAATGCGATGCGTATAGAAGCAGGCAAAGTGCGTTTTAATTCGTTCATTTCAGCCTAGATTAATAGAAGCAGTTGGTAATCGATCACTGTACTTCTGAAGACGAAGAATCTCACAGGGCAGGACCAAGATTTCAGTTCCCCGAGACAGGACGCGTATCATCTTAAATTTCGGGGCGGGGGAGGGGGGTTGGCGACGGAGACGGGACACACCCGAGAAATCTTATTTCGGTGGCCATTTCTTTAGTTTTTTTTCTTTTAATCATACGATGGTGAAATTCTCACCCTGTACCAGGGTGAAAATATGCAATTGACTCGTGAGTGACTCAAACATTTTCATGCTGTGAGGTTGATACATGCAAAAATATGTACAATTAAATTTTGTATAGTGATTCAATTTCTCTCCCTCCATGAGTGAGAGAAAACAAGCATTTGCTATGCAATGTAAATTTCAGCCCTTGCAATCACAATTTAAACCATAAGGTCATCCGGGTAAGTGGGATTTAAAAAAAATCAAAATTATCATTTTGGAATGAATGGAAAAACTCATCTATGGCAGATATACTGAAGCACTCTTGCGCACGTCAACGTTAGATTGTTAGCTTCAGATCATGGTATTTTCATTCATTCACTTTAAAGACTGTAGGAGTACACCGCTTTTGCGCTGGAAAGATCACGCTTACATCACATCGAGGTGTGATCACAAGGCCAATAATGCTAGGGTATTGCAATTCAGCCAAAATAGTCAGCATGATTATTTTTAATCTGTAGACAAGCTATTTTATTATTGTAAGCGTTTTAACTTCCAACGTGCACAGCATGGGAAATGGAAAAATACTGTACAATTGAAAGGAACGAAATAGGCATTGATTTCGTTTGGAATAACTTTCCCATCACCCCATAAGCTCTTCCGCTCCTCACTTCTCCATATTTATTGCTATTGTTTCTTTGAGAAAACTGGACAACAAATTTAATTGACAATGATCGTTTCCCACCTGGTATCGCTCGGGTGGGGTTTGGCGCTGTTGCCCTGCCCCCCCTGACCCCTCAGTCAAAATACGCCACTGTCTGGCTCTGTATCCCAATATGTCGGTCACGTAGAGCTGGTGTGGGACAGAGCGGAAAACCCAAATGGAAAGGGATTTGCGAACTGGCTCTCAGGCTGTCACAATGTGCTTAGTTCTTGCGCTAGGCGCTAGAGGTCTCGCCTGGTGGGAAGATCCCAGCGAGCCTTCTGCTCCCCTCGTGTACACTCCGATAATCAGAAACAAGACGAGAAAACTTACTCCCGTGACTTACTAGAATGGTTTCTTCTTGGCCTTTTCTCGGACATTATGATTTCGCATTCTTGTGACCAGTGCAATTTAGAATGTTTATTGCACACATTCAGGCCTGATTGAACATTGCAGGTCCAACTAAGGCTTAACGTTAGCGAACTAACTTAGGCCTTGCGTCACCCAAGGCTGAACTGTTACGACTATGTCCCTCCAGACGAAGCAAAGGCTGCAGATGTTTCCTATATCAGGGCAGAAAAAGAGGTAAGCCTTCATAGTTGCTTCCCATCACCCTTCATGCTCTTACTCTTTGAGCCTATGATGAGCCCATAAGCCTTAGCTGAGTTGGAGGGAATTAAAGTTAATAGATCTTCTAAATAGAGTCTCAAAATTTTTTTCTGTTGAAATAGGGATAATTTTCCATGAAAATAATTACAGTATTGCTTGGTGTAGAATTAATGAGTGATGGTAATCCCAACAACTCTTAAGTCATACTTCTGCAAACTTCATCCTATTATGACCTCTAACTACAATTGCAGGAGGCAGAAGAATGATATATATTTTTGATGATTTGAACCTTTTGGAGCACAGATATCAATCTAATTATGTTAATAAGCTATCTACCCAAAAATTTAATCCTAGGTGTTCTCTTTACAATGTCTTGGTTCTCATATCACAAAGTTTCATGTATATCCAAATTATAGTTACTTTTTTATTTGTGTTTCTTTCAGTTAATTGGTATAATGAACATCCTGTATTAAAAGATGCCAAAAAGCTCTGTCTAAATTCTGTTTTGTTGTTGCCAAACCTGTGGGACCAGCATCCAAAGTCAGCAATCTGTGAGATAGCAGTTTCATACAGCGTGGGCACAAAATCCTATCAATATGCAAAAAATAACTTCTTTGTTTTGTCTTTGTAGGTGATCAACGTGTGATAATAGTTTATGGGGGATTATCAAACGACTTGTGTCTAAACAGCATTATCTGATAGCTGACCAACTCAAAACAGCAGTCTCAACAGCTTAAAAAAAAATAACTTAACAGCAAATTGAAAAGATGCCTAAGAGAACATGGTGCTGCATTGAGTTATGCCATGATGATGATGGGTTGCACTCTGATATTTTGGATCCATAATTACATTGAATTAAGTAAAAAAATTTATTTGTTTCATGTTATCATGTTATTTACTGTTTATCAAATTATTTAAATTGTCATTGAAGGGACTTTGTGCCCACCCGGTACAGTGATGTGAGCAGAACTAACTTTTCCTTTGGTCTGACAGTATTGCTTAGATGTAAATAAAGGTGATATACCAGTAATGCCAGCACCCTTACAGGACTATGAATTGAAATCACATACTTCATGAAATCACTGGATTTCCACCTTTGCATCAGGCTTCTTAAGCTGCATTTTATCACTTATCTTGAGCCTTGACTCTGTTTTTCCTCTGTTAATTTTTTTTGACTTAGCACCTGGCCTCTACCCTCCCAATAAGTAAGGAATGTCATGATGGTGGTGGTGATTGTCCATTGAAATTAACCTTGGTAGGTGAAGGCCAGATCTAGCATCATAGGCCAAAATGAGAATGCAGCTAAAGAACTCAAATTCACGTCTATGTTATTGTGCTTAAATTTCATGCTTTTTATATTATTATGTAATTTTCCCAGGGATTGGATGATCCAGAGAGAATGGGATTGAGCTTTTTTATAAAGTTTCTTAGCACTTATTTATATGTTATTGTCTTTTTTACTTTTTTTTTATGAAGCAGAAGTGAATTAGAGTGATAGACCCATCATAGGTAAAAAATAATTGGACTTAGAGTTAGTTTTCAGAGCTCCCAGGACTCTGATAATTATTCTTTTATGTGCCAGGTTTTCTTCACAGTGTTGAAGTTCATGACTATGCAAGTTTCTTGTACAGTATGAAAGGAAATGTTATTCAACCTTGGGGGGGGGGAAGAAAAGTCGTTCCAAGTCAAATTTAACTCACCTCACTCCAGTGAGACAAGAAAAGCTTGCTCATTCATAGCTTGAAAGCAGCAGCCAGATTCCCGATGGAGGTGAACTTAGTAGAGAACTAACGAATTACACTTCATCATGTGCCTTTTGCAAACACGTAAAAACTCATAGAAGTTTCCCGTAAGATCAGAAAGCTTAACTTCTGTCTATGTGAATTACTAATAGACTGCATCAACGTTGCATGAATAATTGCTTGAATAATTAATGTATAAAGTAGTATGAATGTTCTGCTTATACAAAAAAATGTTTCCTTCAACCGTAAAACTCGACCCTATATAACTGATTTCTAAAAGCTTGCAACCGAACAAGAGCGGACCAGGAGATTGATGGGGAAGTTAAACTCTTTCCCATCGATCGCCTGGTTGCTCCGCTGTTGGATCCTTGTCTGGGTAGGCTCCGAGACTCGGCATAACATTCATGAAGGTTAGAATAATTTTTCTTAAATTAAGTCGAAGGTTGAATAGGACTATATGTGGGGAGTTGTACTGCCTGAGTCAAACCCCAACTACCGAAGATCACGTGGGCATGGGAAACGAGAAAATCGTCTGAGGCTATATTTATTACTGGCGTTCTGAGCACGGAGATAGGTCAATATTCGATTATTTGTTTGGCCAAGAGGCCATGGTTTACGTTTCTGGGTTCAGAATATATCCATATAGGTTTTTTTCTTGAGATAGAATGTGAAAGTCAGTGTTGAATAGTATGGATTTCTACTGCTTGCAATTGATTACAATGTCATTTAGAGGTGAAAAATATCTAATGAATATCTTTAGTCTCGAAACCACCTCTGGGTAGGCTTCTGGTATGATAGGCATTATACTTTTTCGCAGAGGATCATGGTCATTCGATCGTGTGCTTGAAATCAGGTTTCATTAATCTCTGTAATCGGGGAATTGAATCGTTTCATCTTAAATCAATATTCGCTCAGTTTATTCTTGAGAGATCTCGCTTTGACAAGATATTCTCGGGGAAGATGTCTACGGATAACCGTGTGTGTACCGACTCTTTTACCTCGTATTTTCTCAAGCTTGAGCATGAAGATTCGAAGCTGCTTGCGAAATAAAAAGGGATATTTGTGAGCTCATGTACATTTTGAGCTTGATACCTTTTTGGGATTGTCAATATCGTATGTTGGGAGAATCCTCTTTTTTTTTCACACTTTGTAAGTGTCAATTGATCAGGTATGGAATTCAGTGGAGCTGGCCTATTCTACTATTCGTTGCTAGTCACCAAATGCCGTTCAATAGCTTTAAATCATAAATGCGCGTCATTCATTGTCTTAGTTCCTGGTGCTGCGTTCTATTCACTGTTGCCGTAACCCCTCGATATAAGAGCAGCGTCCGTATTGGGGAGAGTATGACATGTCAATAAAGCTCCAATTCAAATATACAGGACGAGTTCATGTATGATTGGAATTGAAACTCAAAGAAAGTGTTTGTAGAGGATTCTTGCTGTGCTGCTACGTATAACGAGAACGGCAGTCCTCGGGAAAGAAGGTTGATTCCTGGGCAACGTCTTTTGAAGTAGGACTTGTGTGTCAAATAGTGTGTTCATTCCGGTGAATGAGGCATGGAAACTGCGTTTGACTTGGGACATGCATGTCAACCTGATTTTCTTTTAATGAGGGAATGTTTGCTGAAGATCTCTTGACATGTGTTTATAGCTTTCATGTTATCGTTCTGTTCATGTGACAGCTGAATCATTGCGTTCTGTCAGGTGTTTACAATGTTCTCTCATCGGCGGTGCTGCTCAGGTCTGGACTCATCCGTCAATTTTAATCTCGCCCATCGATTGAACTGTTGAAGTCCATGACGGCTTCGCCTGTAAAGAATAGTTGCCAGGCATGGATTAATGTTTTTACCAGAGATGCTCTGTCATGGTGGACAATTTTCCGTGTTCGTAATTTTTCCCTCTTATGCTCCCTCCCCCATATGGCAGTCAAAGATGACGGAATATCTGAAGGACTGTTTGTATTGCTTGATGGGGTACACGAATGAAGAGCTGAACACATCCGTAATGTGTCATGCAAGTTGGCCGCGATGTTTGGCAAGAATTTCATGTCTGCTGCCGTCGAGACTTCGGTCCCCTACCTGGCCCGTCCCAAGATACTTTCGTAATCTCCTCCTCTCCCACACTCTCTCATTCTCTTCTCCTCTGTTCCCTCTCCTGCACCTTCCTGTCTTCGGCTTCTTTTGTCCTCCCCCAGTTTGCAGTTGCTCAGAATCGGAGGCTCGAGATTTGAGCCCTGTGACCTAGCATTATGTGCTTCATGCTCTTCGACATTCTTTCCCCCTTCTCCAAACAGTGATCTTAATCTGTGTGAAGGGAATGGAGTCTTGTGTTCGTGTACCATAGTAGGTTGTTAGTTAGCGATGGAAAAGTTCTCGCTTCTCGTTCCTCTTTCTTCCACGTTCGTCCCCTGGCAGAGTGAAAGCCCCTCACGTGAACGATTTCCCTAGTGGAAGTAGTGCTTTACCCCTACTTCGTTGCTTCTAATTCTACAGTATTACGACTCCTCCAGGCGCATTATGCTTCCAAGTTTAATTTTATATGTGAAGGAGGAAGGGGCTTGTATGAGGTGCTCATATCGCTTTTGCGTCGTTGCTCATCACTTGTCATGGTGCAAGCAGGGATGAAGCTTTATCGGATTCTCGGAGGATCAAAGAAGATCTCCAGAAACATCAAGCGGCATTCGGTTCACAGGTACATTGTAGTAAATCATAGACAATCTACCCTACGAAGTTTGGAAAGTTGAGTCGAACCGTTGGGCATGAAATGACGCTCTGAATATTGCATTATTTCATATGCTAACTCATTTCCTCCCTCCATGAAGAATGACTGCGGTTATGGAGCAATCCAATCCTGTAAGATTCTCTCTAGTAAACGTGTTTGCTTTAGGATCCAATTCTGAGGTAAAATCGATTCCATACTCTAGGGTATAAACCAGCGTCGATATTATTGTTCATTTACTAGAAACTGAGATTGTGGGAGGCACTTGCCTTCCGCATACTGCCATATATTCATTTCTTATTCTGTGGTCGCGTGGGAGGATAAACGTGAGGGCTCGATCGGCCGTCTATCTCCCACGCATTGAATCCCAATAGGCCTTTATTCGTTTTATGCCCATGACTGAGCCCCGGAGGAGGGATGACTCAGAAACAGGATGATGAACTGATATGGAATGGAATTGTTCAAGCAACCCGATGGACTCATATATGGGACTTGCGTTTTTAAAGTACTTTCATCACTAGTATCATCCATGATGGCTTTGGCATCTTATGTTGGCCCATTTATTATACCTACCCACATTTTCGCGTCATGTGCCCTATTGCCGAGATGAATGTAAACCAAGATGAGCATGAGGGGCAAGTGTCGGGGAGACGTAGTCTTTTGAGCCTTTGCCAGCCCATAGTGTTTTTCTTGGCTGTCTTTGAGAAGCTCCGAACCTGAACGACTCTTACCTCTCAAAGTTGGATTCTTCTGTTTCGCATCTTTGCAATCTTTTCATCCTGCCAAAGTGGAACAGAGGCAACTTCCTGTCAAGACTGATCCAATTTTGCTTTTTTTTCCAAGAGATTCTATAATTATCGATGAGCACTATTTTCATCAGCATATATGCAAGAGGAAGAAACTTAACCAACTGTATACAATATCATGTGAAGAATTTTGCAGATCTCAATGCTGTTCAGTTCATGACGTGCATGCCTTGGTATGTAGATAACTTTATCATCTTGTTTCTTTCCAGCTTCCAAGTGGAAGGAGCTTGGAAGAGTGAATTGGCAGATCCCTTGCCAACTCCATCTGTCCCATCTACTTTGAGGTCTCCCAGCAGCCCTGAGAAAGCCTTCGTCAAAGTTCATGTTCTAGGAGAATGCCACTCCATCAAGTACAGTGAAGCTATAGATGTCAAAGTAAGCCTCATCAGGCTAATCGTGTCTGGCTTGTCCCTCCTTTGTATGAGAACTGCACATTGTGCTTATTCCAAGAAGGAGTTGTCATTCCTTACAATCTTGATGAGAGTACTTTTGTAACAGTTGTGTACAACCTTTAAGTCTACCTCAGTTGGCCAACAAAATAGAGATAGGAAGAATCTCCAATAAAAATGTGATGACTAGGTTTCTTCTCTGCTCTGTGCAGGCACCACCCTTTTCATTTTCTTTTTGTCCCTTGCTTGGTACATGTTGCTGTCAGCCCTTTGTCTTCCAATAATTTTTGCTTAACTCAGTAACACTGTGAAGATTATTTGTGGAACAACAATAGAATTGTATTATTATAATACAATTTCATTATGTTTTGTGGCAATTCTAATTTTTTTGTCTCTTCAACAGGGTTTGATCAAGTTAATTTTATCCAAGGAACTTGTCAGACACAGAATTGAAGGCTCATCCCCCATGCCTGTGTTTGCCATGAGACTCCTTCACATGCCAAGTGGTCTTGCTTTTTGGCTACATGAAGATCTCACAATGTTTCAGGTATTTATTACTTACTGGTTCATGTAGTTTCAGTCGATGTAGGACATTTTTTAATATTCTGAATTTGGACCTACTTTGTAGGTGAAAGAGAAATATGAATGTCGACATCCCGTGGAAGAATGGAAGTATGATTTGCGGATTCGATATTTCCCCAAGGATTTTGCAGCCTTGGCTACAGAAGATGCTTTCAGCTTTGACTTTCTTTATAGACAGGTGCACATTGGACTATAGGTCCAAAAAACTGCCTATACATACATTGCCTATGCTGCTTCTTCTCTCAAACACTTTCCTCTTTGATACATGTATTTTCTCCTGTATCAGGTTCAAATGGATTATTTGCTGAGTGATGGTCCTTGGGATCAGGAACTTGCTATTGGCCTGGCTAAGTTCCAGCTTCATAATATTTTCTGTGCTCAAACGGGCACAGAGAAGAAGCACAGTCTGGAGATCCTGGACCGTGAGGGAGAGCTTGAGAAGTACCTCCCACCGTCTGTGATACTCAATGCAAAGCGTAAAGCATTGAAGAGGGCCATCCAACACATGATTAAAAAAGAGTCACATATGTCTGAAAGGGATTGCATTTTAAAATTCCTTAGTGGTGTCATGCCCAAGTGGGACTTCACTGTGGAGAAATTCTCCTGTGAACTGAGTGTGAGTGTGATGTTTCACTTCTTTATTCTTATGTTAATGTTTGATGAAACATTGATTCTGGAGTGTGTATGTCATCTTTCAGACTGAATGGCCTATTCCTATAGAACTGGTTGTAAATCCTTGCAAAGGGGTTTCTCACAACATGGAAACATCTGCTGTAAGTCCTGAGTGGAAATCTGAGAATTTAAGTAAATTCTTTAACTTGTCTTATGGCACTCGCTTATGAGCTATTTATTTCATCTCATAGACAAATCTTCAATTTGAGGAGATCAAGAGCATCTCAACGCTTATTTTTGACTGTGATGGTGATACAAAGAAAGCAATTGTCCAGTTGCAAGTCCATGACTCCCTGAAGTGTCTGAGCATCACCTGTAAAGATTTGGATGATGCAGAGAGCCTTGCTGATCTGATTGATGGTTACCACAAGCTTCTTACACCCCACAAGCAGTCAATATGGATGAGGAAAGGTAGGGGTTAATGTGGAGACTTGAATTTGGCTTAATTGTGCATTTTCTTACTTTTATACATTTTTTCCCATAAAGCTGCTCATGGGAATGACAGTAAGTTGATCATCCAGATAGCTGAACTTGAAATTCATATGGTGTCTTCTCCCAAGAGGCTGGTATGCACATTGTAATCCAGTTGACACCTGCATGTCTTTGAGCATAATGTGGGTTCTGTCCTTTTGTGATATGCTGGTATATACAAGGGTTACATGTTGTGGATGTAGAAAAGGTCTGAGTGGGATATTTAGAAGTCCCCAAATGTTGAATCACTGACTTTCACAAGGACTTGGAGCATCTCAGGACTGTGTCAACTATCTTCTGAAGGACCTCGAGTACAAGCCTGATTCTATTGTGGTAGTGGAAGGAGAGTTTAGTTTTGTGAGACATTTCTGAATGGTGGCCAATGCTCTCTCAGAACATGGTGGCCAATGCTCTCTCAATGTTTGACTTCTTGTCTTACATGAAAATGTAACATTTTTATAATTTTTTTACATTTTATGGTTTATGATGTAAGATCTGATCTTTGGGAAGGAGTTATATCATCATCATACTTTCTACATCCACAGTTATGAGGCTTCACACTTCATGAGCTACTAAGGACTCACCTTGTATTCTTCCTGTAAAAGCCTGTCTTATGAAAAGCTTTTAATCAAGGAAGCAAACTTCCCTTTAACCAGGATACTGCAAAATGTAGGCTAATATGGTATGAACTTCTAGATGGCCGACCACCAAGGTATAGAAGATGCGGCCCTGGAGGACTACTAGGCACAGATGTAAAAGCTGAAGATGCTGGTGATGACACAGCAGAAATTGTTGATGAAGAAGGAGATTATTCAACTCCAGCTAGTAAGTAAACCTGAATCATGAGTCTGCTTGCTTTAATTTATATATGTCCCTAAGCCAAACTTTTCTCATTCTTTAATTTGTTTGCTCACCTTACCTTTCCTCTAGCCAAGGACTATGAACTGCAAAGAAAAGACATCCACTTGGAAGCTATTATTGGGGAAGGACAATTTGGTGATGTCTACAAGGGAACTTTCAAGTTCAAAGCAGGACAACAGATCCCTGTTGCAATAAAGACATGCAAAATTGAATCAGAAGGAGAGAAGTTTCTAGAAGAAGCTTGTAAGCCTCCTAAAGTATCAAAATGTTTAGATGTCATGATACAAGTAATCAAACCCTATTTTATTGTTGCAATCTTCATAGATATAATGCAGCAGTTTGATCATCCACACATTATCAAGCTGATAGGCATTTGCTCCAGTTCACCCATCTATATTGTAATGGAGCTTGCAAAACATGGAGAGCTGAGAGCATACTTGCAGAAGAACAGCCATCTCTTACACCTTGATACCCTCATCCTGTATTGTTGGCAACTCAGCACAGCCTTGTCTTATCTTGAGAGCAAGAAGTTTGTTCACCGGTGAGTAACAAAATATGATCTCTGCTTAAGGGGGAGCACTAATTAAAGGGTAAAGATGAGTTCTCAGATTTTATCATATTTTACTGGCATATTCCATTTGGATTCCTATTGATAGTCCTGCAGTATTTCGTTTGTATATTCTCATGTCCTAGTACTACCCTTAACCTTATGAGTCACTGTGTCCAGACATGTTGACAAACTTCTTTGAATATCCAGCTGTTCCCTGTAGCATACCCACTGCTTTGCAGTATGTCATGTTAATACATATCATCTGGAGTTTACCTGTGAATTTTCATAAAATTTAAGCTAGCCCTTGGCACCAGACAATTGGCAACCTTGCATGGCATCAAGAGTTAACAGAACCAGCTAGCATCAACAGTAACAGTAGTGCTGCCAGTGAATCTAAATAGTGCTCTGAATTTTTATTTTCATGCCAATGATAGCATATTCAGCTGACCATAAAACAGCTGACATTTTTTATGCACTAAATGAAGTCATACATGCTTGCAATATTAATGCAAATTTTTTTTAAATTGCTTTTTTAAAATAGCTATTCATTTTTTATTTTGAGAGATCTGGGGTTTGGAGGTGATACCACATATTTTCATGAATGAATCATATGTTGGTTTTAATATTAGGCATGAATGTCAAAGTAAGAATTCTGTTCTGACAGCACTCATTATATATTTGTAAATCTTTTGGTATTAATTTGAATACATAAAGCTAGTTTGTGTCTGGTCTCTGGAAATGTTGCCAGCAAAAAATTTACTTGTAATGGGGGCTCTGGAGGTTTTGAGCAAACAAACCAACCCTGCTCATGGATTGACCTGGAGAGCCAAAATTTTGTTGATAGATGTTTTTGGATGGTAAGGAACATTTCCATGGTATTAATTCAAATCATATCACCAAAAAGTCTCCTCCCCTTTAAATAATGTATGAAACAATAATTTCAATGAAATTTTGTGAATGAAAAATTGTTGACATTTCTGTTTCAAATGGTATTCCATTCATGTTTTGTTACCCCCTCAGGGATATTGCTGCACGGAATGTCCTGGTGTCCAGCCATGAATGCGTTAAACTGGCTGATTTTGGATTGAGTCGTTGGGTTCAAGATCAGAATTATTATAAAGCCTCAAAGGGGAAACTGCCCATCAAATGGATGGCTCCAGAGTCCATCAACTTCCGACGATTCACAACTGCCTCTGATGTGTGGATGTTTGGTAAGTTCTCTGACTTAGAACTCATCCTACCATCTATCTGCCACATTATGCTATGTACATATAAATTTGCATGTCATAAGGATACAGCACTTATTGGTGAATAATTTCCAATTTTTTCCAGGGGTATGCATTTGGGAGATTCTCATGCTTGGAGTGAAACCATTTCAAGGAGTCAAGAACAATGATGTGATTGGTAAAATTGAGAATGGGGAACGATTAGCCCTGCCACCTAGGTGTCCTCCACCTCTGTATAGTCTTATGTCACTCTGTTGGTCCTTTGAACCTTCCAAGAGACCCAGCTTTCAAGACATCAAACAAAAGTTGCAGTATGTGTCACTGTTGCAACTTTTCACTGATTTTTACTCTGTTGGCTGATCATGCTTATATTGAGTTATATGAATTCCCTATATTATATATGCCAACACCGGTATGCATAATACAGGGTGTTAGGAAAGTCGTGTCCCATTGCAATATGCATATAGCCTCAGCAACGAAAAAAAAATTCAGGAAGAAATTTTCATGTACAATAGCAAAGACAGTTAATTGACTTAGAATCACTTAATAGTTTTCAATGTAGCTGCCCTTGGCATGGATGACAAGGTTCACACGACCCGTGAAAGCATCAACTGATTTTCGCAAGTCTTCCTGTGGAATTCACTCCCATTCTCAGTTCAGGGATAGCTTGAGAGAATCCAAAGAATGATGTTTTGTAGGACACGCTTTGCTCACCAAGATGGACCAAATTGAAAAATCTAAATTGATGTTTTTCAAGCCACTCAGCGTCAAGGGGGCGGCTTCTGTAATGGTCTGTGCTGAGATTACCACTTCTGGATGCACTCCACTCATTTTCATGCTTGAGAAGATGAAGGTCAACACTGAAGTATACCATGAAAGCATCCTGGAAGACTGCCTGGTTCTGTGGGCCATGAATCATTTCAATGGAGGCAGCTGGATCTTCCAGCAGGACTCAGCACCAGCTCACAAGGCACGGATGACCCAGGAGTGGTTGCAGACAAATGTCCCCAACTTCATTTCGACTTCACAATGGCCCCCTTTCTCCCCCAATGTCAACCCCTTATGTTTTTCTATTTGGTTCATCTTGGAGGGCAAAGTGTGTTCTACAAAACACCATTCTTTGGATTCTCTCAAGATATCCCTGAACCGAGAATGGGAGCAAATTCCATAGGAAGACTTGCGAAATCAGTTGATGCTTTCATGGATTGTCTGAACCTTGTCATCTGTGCCAAGGGCAGCTACATTGAAAACTATTAAGTGACTCTAAATCAGTTGACTGTCCTTGTTATTGTACATTTAAAAAATTTTCCTGAATTTTGTTTTTTTTTAGCTGAGGTTATATGCATATTGCGATGGGACACAACTTTCTTAACACCCTGTATGATGAACGGAAGTTTATCTGCATGAATGAATCTTGATAAGGGTGGATATCATCTCTGCCAGCATAGATGTATGAAAATTAATTTTGGGCCTAATGAATTTTTATCCATCTAGTGATATCTGGAGAGATGAGAAAGACCAACAGGAAATGAATGCTAAAAGAGAGAACAGGCGAATTCAGGGAATGTCATGGGGTATGTTTCATCATAACATTATTTTGTGCAGAGTGAGAATGTTTTGCAAAATGAAATCACAGATGACATGAGGGCTGTCTCCTTACAGCATCTGATGAAGGACTACCAAAACCATACCTGGGACCTGAGAGTGGATGCACAACTGGTCCAACCACCTACATCGTGGCTCGAGATCCTGAGGTCCTGGCTCACTTGATTCGTGAAAATGAGGATAAGATCATGTCGGCTTCATGCTACAATGCCCCAGCTTCAGCTTTTAATACACTCACGGTAGATTTTGTGCCAAGTCCGTCAAGCAAGTGCAGGGAAATATGTGGAAATGGGATAGTGGTGGAGGAAAAGCTTGGGCTTGGTGCACATGAAAATGATCCTCTCTCAGATAGCATGCCAGATCTCTCTCTGTCTTCATTCAGCAGTTCAAGTACAAGTGGTCCTGCCATGAGGTCTTCAAGTCTGAAAGCTCTCAGGGTTCAGGTCTGGGTGATGAAGAGAGTCACTCTGCATGATTTTTTTTTCCTGTTGTGTTTTGACTCAACTATCGTTTCTTTGTTTCTTGACTAATCTATTATTCTTTTTCTCTCTCACTTTTTTCTCCATTAGTTATGTCATCTCCAAATGGGTAATCAGTTCTTAAATTCTCTTCCTTCTTTTTTTTTGGAACTACTGTTCTTTGCCTTCTGCTATTTTAGATGCATGATTCCTCTTTCAGCAGTGCCTAAACCTGTTTTGATCCTACTCATTTATTCATGTTATTGCAAAGCATGAGACATGAGGAGCATCTACCTTAATACATTGTTATTAATTAGTATTATTACCATCACAGCGGGAGGCAAAGGTTGAGGCTCAGCGTCGTCTCCTTGAAATAGAAGAAAGAAGGCTTGAGAAGCAGTTGCGCATTCAGCAGCAACAGTCTCAAGAAGACAGTAGATGGCTTGCTCAAGAGGAAACTCATCTGGTCTGGAAGCATTATTATTTATTATTTATTTTTTTTTCTCATCAATGTTCAGAAGTAATTATTCTTTCTCCTGGACTTTTTAAAAATACAGAAGAATCGCTTCTCTGTATCAATGGGACTCTCAGACCCTTCAGATTCTGACTCACAGGAGGGACAGACAGTGTCTCCCAGGCTTTCTGCATCTCCAGTTTTTGATGCTACTACTTCCATTTGCTCAGAAAAAGTTCCAAATGCAGAGAAAATCATAGTTGTCAAGGTTTGTGAATCCCTTTCTTCAGCACTGTTACTGAAGTGATGAGCTTCAAAATATTTCAATGCATATCCTTGCCTACAGATAAACTCCTTTTTTCTTTCAGAAAGTTGAACCCACCCCCACAGCTGACCTGGACCGTTCTGATGATGCAGTGTATGATTGTACAACAAATGTTGTAAGGGCTGTAATGAGTCTCTCCCAAGGTTAGTGTCATGCTCATTTTCATCACCAATATATGTTCATGGCATTGATTCATGGTTTGTGGTGAACCTACAGGTGTTCAGCAGGGTCGAACATCTGCTTATTGGGAACTTGTCTGGAAAGTTGGACGAGACCTCCAGGCAGTGGTTGCCAGTGTTGACCAACTTGTTGGCTTCTTTCCTACAGTTGCTCATCGGGAAGTGAGTGGTTTTGAGGCTAAACTAGATTTATTATTTAGTACATCATTAGAAACTCCAATGAAATTGTCCCCTGTTCAGATTGAGATGGCTCACAAGGTGCTTAGTAAAGATATGGAGGAGTTGATCAATTCAACAAAGCTTGCACTGAAGTACTCAACCACCACTTTGGATGAAGAGTATCGAAAGTGAGTCTGCTCTCCAGTATCAGATAGAGTTTTTCCCTGTTGCTGAAAGTGCTGGCTTAAATCCATTACTAATTTGTATGCTGCCTTCACATGACAGGATGATGCTATCTGCTGCTCATATCTTGGCCATGGATGCTAAGAACCTTCTAGATGTGATGGACAGTGTGAGACTCAAATACTGGTATAGGAAGACAAAGCAGTCCCCTGGTGGCTTAGAGATTGAGGATGGTACAAACACATCACCTATTCCTGACAGTGTCTGTCATCTTTCAAATCCTCTTCCTGCTCTGACTTCTCTGCCTCCACCTACTCCACCTCCATCCTCCCCTCCCCCTCCTCCTCCACCTCCTCCACCTCCTCCTCCTCCTGTTCCTCCTACTCCCTTAAATTCTTCCTTGCTTTCTACCACTAATACTACCTCTGTTCAGAATTCTGGGAATGCTCAGTCACCAGCAACAGCTGCCATAGCCATGATATCCCAGGGAGCTGGATGAAAGGAAGGAAATATTATTGCTGAGAAATATGCTTCCCTCTCTTTGTTCTCTAGCCTTGTCAGTGAGTGAAAATATCACTATTTGCTTACAGATGATTTTTTTTTATTTTCTGTGATTTGACCATGTGAACTCTCAATATGGAATAGACAATAAAATATTTTAAGTTATTTGAGAGATATTGTCTCTTAGTTATTCACATTGCAATTTGCTCAAATAATTTTTGGCCCTTGGGACTTGAATATTGTTCAAGGCCTCTCCTGGAAGAGGGGTGCCCATTCATGGGGAGAATGAGAGGCCCATTATTGTTGATACTGCAAAGCCTTTTTGTTGGGTTGATTGATCAGCTCTGAGGCATCCCAGTTCAAGTTTAACATTTTTGGGGGACCTTGTTCACACCTCTTGACAGGTGAAAAAATGTTATGTTATGTCATGTTAGGTGGCCTCCCTGATTGAATAAATTCCACATCTTGAAGCTCAAGCCCAGTGATTCTTGAGATATGCTGCCTCAAAGTTAGCCCCAAGAGAGGACAGTGACCCTGTTGGTCAAACGGCCATCTCTGGTCTCAGTTGCGTTTGAAATTGATTTTTTTTTAGACCAAATGAAAGTTGTGATTAGGCCAAGTCAGATTTGTTTTTTGCATTTTTTCGTTTGAGTGCAATGTTCCAAAGGCTCATGGTGTTGCTCTATTTCCCGCTGTTCGAAATTTTGTTGTAAACTTTGGCGCATTTTCACGTTTGTGAATATTTATTATATCCTCGATAACAAAGATATTGAAAGATGGATTGGAAATATTTTATATAGCCTTGTCTTTGCTTTCATTTGAACCTAAAACCACTTTCCTAGTTCAATTTGGGCAGGAGATAGCCGTTTTTCCTATATGGTCCCTTTTCCCTCTATGGCTGGCTTTAAAGCAGCATATCTCGAGAACCGTTCAAGACAGCGCTGAGATTTGGAATTTTTTCATAAGTCAGGGAAGCCATAGTACGTGGTTTATATTTTTCAAGCAAGTTCCTATCGCGGCACAACCACCATTTGATCACAATTATGAATTATTTATGAAATTTTAATTGGCCGTCATGAATAATGAGAAATGGATTAATATTACGAGGAAAGATCGAACGTCATGAACGTTGGTAGGCTTTCTGGAAACAGCATGACACATTCAGAGTTTTGCAAGGGATTGCGTCATGCCGCCTCGTGGATATTGGATCGAATCGCATGATCATTTGCAAGCCGGGAAAGCAAAGCGCGGGTCGGTATTATAATTCCGGGGCTTTTGTGGCCTGTATCGATCCATCGCAGAGGGTTTTAGTATTGCCGAACTGGAGTGTGAACCCCTTGCCATGGTTCCTATGAACCCTTGGATGGAGGTGCTGGAAGAAAAGGTGAAAGAGTTAGTGGGGAGTGCGAGGGAAGCAGTTGTGTGCCGGGAATTCTCCTCCCTCATCAGATACCCGCTTCGTCCGGATCTGGACCCTAAAAACCCTTCCAAGGATTCTCACAATGCCCCTACCGAGTGAGTTCCAGTTGAAGGTCATGTTATGAACGGATTGGGAGAGCATTTTCTCCATAATCAATTGACCCTCGGGTTCCCAGGTATTTAGATTGGGCGGGCAAAAAAGAGAATGTGAAATGTGTCCACGCCGTCGTCCCTCCGTCGATTCTCGATGATGCTGAGCTCATTGATGTCAGGATTTCCGGTAAAGGACCCGATGATAAATTCTACAACCGAGACAAGACCCTCAGAGATCGGGTGAGAAGTGAGAATGAGATACTCCCGTGATCGAGTATCACGTGAACACCCTCGGCCATTCATACAAGTGCAAGCCAATTCCTTCCAGGTCGCCCGAGGCAACTGCATCTTGCAGCTGAAGCTCAAAAAGTCACGTTCCATTCAGATATTCCTTGTGCATGGTATGAAGAAATTCACAGGGGGCCTCGGTGACGAGGACATAACGCAACCCGACTCCTCCCTCACCTGGCAGAAGTACTTCATCAAGGTGAATTCTCACCACGCTCTCTTACTGCAGAATATAGAGGAACAGCAGACATGTGTACTGTCCGTTCACACAATGTGAAACAAGTCACCTTATGAGCTGATTCATGCACACCACAGCTAGGTATTAGGTACCTACGGCTGTCCAATTACTGCCCTGTACTTAAAGTACTTGAAAACCAAGTGCTAGGCATATCAAGTACCTTTCCAGTAATAAAAAAAAAGTAGAGTTACTTTTTCGGTTATGTTTCTAAATTGCTTCTCGTGTAAACGTTTCCCGAGACCGATGTGGAAAAACTTGGGTTTTTTTGCTCCTCGTTTCTTTACAACTTTGAAGGACTGCTGCAATTCCATTCGGTGTGTGTGCATGAGCGTCTGTAGCCCACAAGAAATATAATAATAAATTCTTCCAATGCTTAGTTTTTTAAAATCATACTGCGGCTTTCATTGTTGTCCTCGGTAGTATATTTCCTGCTGTTAGAAACAAAATTCTTCAATATTTAGACGATACTACTGACAACTGTTGGTTTTCATGGAAAGCTACAACGAATACTACGATCGCGAGGAACTTATGGCCTGACCAACTTGTTTCTTATTTAATTTGTATCCAATTCATTTAATCAATCCTCTCATTGATGAGCAAAAATATGCAGTTCTTAGCGATGCCATGCCCTGGGAATGGAAATTGTTTGTTTTTCATCTGGCTTGTATAATCAACCCAGATTTTCGTGCGAAAAATTTTGATGCCTTCATGAGGTGATGTTTCTAAGGATCCCCTCCCCCAATTGCGACCGGCTACGCAGAAGGAAAACAACCCTGCCTGGGCGACGTGAGACCACGGTATTATATATACAGGGTATGGTAAAGAAAAGAGACCAACGACTTTTAACCTACAGGATTTCTGATCGTTAACCGGTTGAGTTTTTTTTTTTATTAGTGTGAAAATATTAGTGACGTGACCGAAATTCGTGCTGAAGGTGCCCAACTAAATAGGACATCTATCTATATAATCTATATAATAAAATCTACTATTGTCGGTGGAGGTGGGTGGTCCGTGGCATGCGCGCGTACACACACGCGTGACATGACACACGCGTGCGCCCAACGCAATCGCGTGTGCTCTCCCATAGCCTTAATAGCAGGTTTACGCTGCGTAGCCAAAGGCCACTAACGTTCGGAAACGTGCACGGCGGGTTGCGATGTCCGCAGAGCATAGTGAGGTCGCCAATAATAGCCCACATACCACATTCTCCCACAAAACGACGATTCAAAGTTAACGGCTTGATCTTTGGGCTGTCATTCGTCTTCGCTCGACGTCAGTTCCTCTCCGCCCTGCCTTTACCATGACGATTAGCGAAGCGCAGGGGCAGACCTTCGAGAAATAAGGGGTGTCTTTGCTGCACCCTCACATGACTAGCCAGTGGCAGATCCAAGGGGCGGGGGGTGGCGATCCCCTCCCTCCTATGGCCATGTTCGCATTCATTGCCTTTAAATCCTTCCGTGCTGTTGCACCGACTACTGACTAGTAACTTCAAAACTAACCGAGGATCGAAGAAAGTTCTGAGGTTACATTTCAACGTAACCTTCAGCTTTCTCTTTACACTTAGCAAGACGATTTCTCGGGTGCTCCATTGATCGATAAGCCATAACTCGGCCAACGGCCTTCTACACGAAGAGGAACTTAAATTCCTGTAACGTTTTTGGGTTTCTGGAATAAACTTTTTAATTTAATAAAAGAAAAAGCTCTCTCATTAGTGGCTCACCACCAACGTTGAATCTGAATAGGGGATCTCCAAACCTCATACCGAATAGCCACTTTAGCTCTCAGTTCGGTGGTTAATTTTTAGTCTATAAAGAATATATAAAATCTAGCACCTGTGAAAATACAGGAAACTCTACAAGAACACCGAACACCCGAAAGAAATTTATCAATAAAATAGCCAGTTACATGTAATTATCAAGACCGCCTGTTTAAGTCTCTGCTCTCACTGGAGCTATTTTTGCGAAACTTGCTCTGTGCATATATTCTCAACAGATGTTACAATTTTCATCTGTATTCCCACCAACGCAAGTCTATGAGTAGTTATTGAACATAGATAGGACATAGGAAATAGACTGGATCTGGAGTCCCTTTGTAGAGATTTGACTCCGCCTGCCTCGTTCCCCCGTCGTAAACCATCCGGAAATTGAACAAACATTGAGCAAAATATCTGTATCGATATTCATTGAGTCATTAGAGAAAACCATCTCATGAAAACCATCTCCAAGGAAAGGGCAACTTGAAGATTTAATATCAATTTTAAAATATATATAAATTGAATGTGGCCTGGATTACATGACGGCAGAACGCTCGGGTGTGGTGCCCACTCCTCCACCAGCACGAGCTGAGCTCTCGTCTATTTTCAATGTCCAATTTCTATTGAATAATTGCTCATAGCCTTGCCTCGGCGCAACGAATTTTAAATAAATTTGATGTAAATGGCAACTGAATTTGAGATCTGTTTGGAAGCTTTTCTCTGTGCTCCGTGAAATTTTTGTAAAAAAAAAATTTCTCCGGTGGGAGTGGAGATATATATTTTAAAAGTCCTTGATCTTTTTTTCCCATACCCAGTAGGACAGATGAGGTAATGACACGAACGATATGGACGCCATGTTCATTCCCGCTCTCTGCCTTCCTGCAGCCAGCGCTGCTTTTCCTTGAGTCTAAGTCGCCCACACACACTAGGTCTTGTTCCTTAATTCTTAGATGTAACCTCTTTTACTGCGTGTCACACTCATCTGGATAGAACTGGCTGGATAAGGGCTGAAAAGTGAGAAACGAATAAATTTTAAGCTATAAGCCCCTATGGGTCAAGGAATCTTCTTTTTTTTTTTCTCCTTACCATTTTTTTGCCCAGTATAAATCCAGGTCAAGTCCTACGAAGTTCCGATTAGTACTTGTTCCAGGCTTAATATCCTGACTATGTATTCTCCCTCTCAACAATGCAAGAAAAGTTGGGAATTAGAAAAAAACATGATGCCCATGTTCGGGCTGGTTGCTCGGCGACCAGTCCATTGCTATTATTATCTGATTTAGCCTTCTCTAGAACCCCCTCTATATGCTATGTAGTAATTCTTCGAACCTTCACGATACCGATCATATCTGTTGCTTGCGTGCTTACTCCTCTATTGTCTAATCGCCGCCCCGGCGAGTACAGTAACGCTTGCCGCTCTTTGGTCTAGCTGAAGTAATAAGCTCCTACCCTCCTCCGTTGCATTAATATTATAAAGCACGATCGTGCCTTATCGGCTGTGGCGTGTAGTCCGCCCATATAGCTTCCCAACACAAAACTCGCATTTTCTGTCACTAGTGAACTTTAAATATATATATACACCTCCTTACTTCCCCACAGTTTCAAGTTCTCAAAGTTTCATTCATAACTATTCAATTCTTTGGAAAATCTGAAAGGGCATCGTTGAGGATCTGCTAGCTCTTGAACTTCGGCGACGCCTCGCACAACTCACCCTGCTGCCGAAAATAGTAAAACGATTTAAATGACGATTTAAACGATTTAAATAGTAAAACGAGTTGAACAAATGAAGAACTGAAAAGAAAATTGATCAACAAAGTCAGAGACCAGTAGTTGGTCTCATGCACGTAGATCTTTCTCCCTTCCATTGAATATAGTCTTGATTGATTTATGTAAATGAAAAACCGGTCCCTACGAGTCCATACGTCCCATCTCGTACATACACCTCCATTTCCCGCTAGCAAGAAGACGATCTCTAGAGTATTCAGTTTTCCGGAGTTTGAGAAACGAATTTTTGCAGATCAGCTTTCCTTTCAGCCCTTCAAATCTGGTACCGATGGACTCATGCTATGAGTGTATTCTAGGGAGTCCCAATTACTGAGTTTCTTGAGATGACAGTGCTGAAAATTACTTAAAGGGAGAAGTGTGAGCAAGTGAAGTGTGTCTTAAGCATCTCATCACAAGACTTTACCTTTCAGAAAAACCAAAGACTCAGCAAATTCTGAAAATAATGAAAAGTTCTAAAACAATTCAACAGGCATCCCTATATCAGAAACTAATGGACCAATCATGATATTGAGGTATCGATGAACCTCCTTTGCCATGGGTCTTTCTCTGTAGGGAAGCATAAAGTAATGCTGAACAGTACTTAGAGTAAACCAGAGCTTGTTTGTGACCAAGTAAATGTGACCAAGCAAATTCCTTTATCAAACACCATGATTCAACTAGTGGGTCCTGAGTCCAGAAACACGGTGATCTTCACAAAAACCTTCAGAGCAGTTTTGTTCTTATTGATCAACCAATAGTTTCCAGTGCTTCTGTCCTTTGGGACCATGCCAATTGGACTTTATGAAGCTATGAAGCCATCACTGCAGACTCAGATAGAGCCAACCCAACCTGGACTGACCCAGAGAAAGTTGTATGGAATATGTTAAATTTCCTTTGCTGCTTTCTTTATCTGGTTAAGTGTATTTTCATCACCCTTAGTTGGGAATATGATAAAATTGTTCTAGCAATTTTTTTTTTACTTTACCCTTTACCCAACTTTTCCCTTTTACCAATGAAGTAGAAGAAAGTGCTTTAACCTGACAAATTCCAAACCATTTCTAGGAGCCTTCTTCATCTCAAAAAATGAATTAAGAACATGGAGACAGGACTCTTGTCCATTTTAGGCCAGCAAGTTTTCCTTATGCTTAACCCTTTGTAACTCATTGGTTCCCAGAAGCATATATCTTTGGAGACATAACTATGTGAATCATGAAATACATTTGTACCTAATCCCACATTTAAAAGTGTGCTATTTGTATGTTGGATTGTTTAAGTAGGCATAAACCCCAAATACCCCATCAGACATTACCTTATGTAGAAAATTTATATTAAAAAAAAAAGAAGAGAGATCTTTCTTCCTTAACAGGAGCTCATTATTTGTTGCACATTGAAAAATGACTAGTATAAAAAAATATCTGAAGAAGGGGGGAGTAAATGAACACTTGACCAATTTTGATACTCTGTACTGGCCAAATGTGAGAAGACCCACATATTTCTCCAGATCAAGAGCATAGATGCTCTTTAGCCATATATCACAGAGAAGGGCAGTTACCTGTCCCTGTTCTGACAAATATTACATCCCCCATTGCTGTGGGATAACATCCTTCTCAGGGGGAGTGTGTAACAGATGAAAATAACAATAATTAGAGCTTCAATACTCCTATTTCCTTAAAATAAGTTTAAGAAAAGGTTGAAAATGTATTTCCATTACTTTTTTCCTTTAGCACCTGTTAGGTACTTTGACAGCACTGCCAATATCTTTGTGTATAGCCGATGGAAGATGCAAAAGAGGTGATTTGTTTGGAGAAGGCAAATGGAGAGGCGGCTCACCTGAGTGCAGTCTCCATTAATGGCACAATTTTCATCTGTGCTGGATCCAAGAATGTTCATATGCTCTTCCAAAATCAAGGTATTGAAATATAAATTTGGTTATGGTTCTACATTTGAGTAATTTTTTAATGGGTAAGTTCCACTCATGGAAAATGTTCTTTCTAGAGCAAATATCCCTCTACAAAGACTCCCGTTATCAATATGCTCGAGATGTAGCTTATGCAGTCATTGATCTCATTGAGCGGAAGATGGATCCTGAGGGAAGAGACCTTCTCTTGAAATTCCTCGCCTTCACTGGCTTTACTGCTGTCCTTGAGCTTCTTCATCCCAAGCATCAACATGTTGAAGATTTCAGCTGCTTAGAGGAGCCACTGCTTAAGTGGGTCCCAGTTCTTTTCTTATATTTTATTTACCACCCTCTGCACTACAGACTTCCCAAAATGTAATAGACTGATGAGTTAATATAAAAAAAATACATCTGGTTAGATTTATTGCTTGGACTGCTCCCCCAAGTGGGGAAGGAGGAAAGAGCTTGACAGCTTTGCCTCCTGATGTGGGATTAGTCTTAGCCAAGGCTCTTCAGTTGGATCCAGTCTCCTATGAAATCATCCCAGCTTCTCAGGTGGAGCAGAAAATTATTGAGGTGAGGAGATTCTAACCTTTTCTCTTCTTTTTTTGATTGCCATCTTCAACAAGGCAAGACAAACCAGCTGTGTCTGTTTTTGGGTTTTCAGATCCGAGGCATGACTGACCGAGAGGGTTTTGTGCTCTACTTCCTGGATGAGCATGACCAAGTGATTGGGATGTTGAAGAAAAAGACCACATGGTATGTAATCCTGAGGGCATGCAGAGAAAAACTGAAGACAGCTGCACGAGACTGGGAGAAAAATCAAGGAGGATTTTCATTGTCTGAGCACATTAAGAAGATGGAGAAAAGGATTTCTGAAATCCGCAACTGGCTAGACTTTGATTCCTCAGTCGAGAAGCACTGGAAGGTGAGGGAAAAGAGTCCCAGCTTTGAAGTACAATGACACTTCAAGAGAAAAATCAAAATAATTGTTTCTCTGCCTGAGGCAGGATCTCACATGTTGCTGCCTGAAATGGACAGTCAAGCAGCTAAAGATGGGAAGCATATCAAGCTTGGACATCGCTGAACGATTCCCTGATGTATGGACCAGATTTCAGAAAGACTAGAAATCTGTAGAGTGCCCCACTTGATCCCTGACAGCCCCAATCTCCAAGGGAATGCCTTCAATGGGACTATCAATATCATTTAGTGTACATATGAACTTTTGTCTGCAAATTTTTTATTTTGTGAAGACAAAATGACATTATTTAATTTGCATATCACAGTTTATAATTTATATTATATGATTGAAAGGTACTTTCTGAAAAAATATGGGACTTATCAAAATTCACAATCCATAGAACCCATCAAAATGGATAATATAAAGTAATTATATTTAAAAAACAAAAGAAGAAAGTTTAGCATCCAGGCCATTAGCCCTCGGGTCATTGGACCTAGAACTACCGTTCTAGGTCCAATGAACCCTGATACAAAAATATGCCCATTTGTGTAGGCTGCACCATAAAATTGTAAAGTCTGATACACCATGCATTTTCATGAAAGCATGTGATAATAATTATGCAAAATATTTTGAAGAGATTATTTGGGAATGAAGAAATGAAATGAAGATGAACATATGACCACCCAGGTTCTGATAGTGGAAGGGTTAATTTTTTCCTGTTTACCGAAAATCTCTGAAAACTTCTTAGTGGTGTCATCTCTAAACTCTGGGAGCATCGACCCAGGGAAAATTTCCCTCCATAGATTCGCATATTCCTTCTTTGTTGCAAAGCTGCCAACAATGACATGACATGTATGATATATGTTACTGCTAGACTCAAGAGGTTCTGGGCCCCTGAATGCATCTTCATTCTGAAATCCCTTCCACCCACCAACAATCAAGTAGCTTTAACCTTAGGAGACCATTTGGCCAAAGCAGTTACTCTGGAGATACACCAGGTTCAGCCTTAATTGTTGGGATTCTATAACGTTCCACATCGAGGGACAGGAGTGCTCCATGCTCGGGGCTCTCCCTTCCCAAGCATGCCCAGGGCTGTACTTAGAATCTAATCCCTGACTTGGTTGAGATTAAACCAGTCATGGGAACTAAGCTAACTACCACTTGAACCGGTCACCTGTCGCAAATACCCTGACCTGCCATAATTTATCCACAATTTTACTTTGATATCCATTTGGTCATAATTTTTTACTGAAAAACAATGAAATCCCATGTAGGTCTGTAAAAGACAGGCTCAGGAACGTGTTTCTCTTACAACAATTCCCATAAGGTGTTGTATTTGGATTTCGATTCCCTCTTGAAAGGCTCGCATATCTCCAGCTCTGTGAGGTTTTTCCAAGCACCTGCCTGAAGGCAGGCTTGCAACTAGGAATTCTGTGGCCCAAATCTGCTATTGCAGCAGATTTATTATTGTTCATTCGAGGTTTGATCTCGATGAGCTGAATAATATCAGCAGAAGAAGCTGGCGATCTTCGCATTCTAATCTGGCGAGGCCGCCAAGTGAAAATTTATCATCCTTTTATCGCTCTGGCTCCCCTACCAGTTATTCTTTGTGGCGAGAATGAAGCTGTCGTGACTCCGAGTGAACCGTAACCGTATATCTATAGCCGTTGCACCAACTATACGACTTGGAACTCCCTGATTAAGATTTCGTCAAGGTTGCTGAGTAAGATCTCAAGCATTTTTGGAATGCACGCTCCTCAAGTGCCAATGTCCTGATATTCAGAGGTGAATTCCCTTATTCTCAGGGTTATGGGTTGCACACGGCAGCCAAATATGGTGTCTTTGAATCAAGGAGAAGGAAGCAAAATGCCTTTTTCACCTATTGACATAAACGCCGTCCGAATGCATTAATAGTGTTTGCATCCTCCTGTTGTCTCTTGGCTTCATCCTTGGATTGCCTACTTTTCAAGTCAGACCTGGTGATTTCATATTGGGGGGACTAAATCGGTTATGAAGGATTCCTGCTGTCAATGAGGGTGACTTGTACAACTGCCACTTTTCCTCCCTCACTATTTCGTAAGCCTCCTTTAAATGTGATAGCCGTCGCCCAATACTTACTTTGGAGTTGGATGAGTGCGAGGCCTCAGGACGGGCTTGCTTTTTCTCCGCCTTTTTGTTCTCTCTCCGGGTGAAACGGAGAATCCCGATTTCCCGACATCCTTTGCTAACTGGTCGAAAGAAATGGAATGAAACTGGGAGTCTTCCGGTCAAGAGACCTGGCAACCCTACCCTGAAGGCCACGTTCAAGCTGTCCGAGGTTGACTTCGGCATGATGGATGCACTAGTTGACTCTTTGACAGATATGCTAACCAACACATTACTCGTAACTTCAAAAGTATTTTCCAACCCTTGTTTTTCGAACTACGAAGGAAAATGCTGATTGTATTCCTATGCTCTAAGTCGAAAATGGGTTTATGCAATCTGTTTCTTGGGTCCACATGTGAGCACTCCTTGCTCTCAAGAAGTGATTTCTTTGAGCTGTGATGTTTTGATTCTTTCCTACTTGAGATATCTTCTATTTTTCCTCAATGTCCTTGCATCCTCCTCTCATCCTGATTGCCGTTCCACGACTGTCTCTTTGGCAATGGCAATAATAAAATCAATGGCACAAAACATGAACGTTTTTATTTATCATCAACAATGCAATGCATACGCAGCAGAAACTGGAGGATAGGGATCTAGAAAAATAGATGCCTGTACTGTCACGCCAGAAAAGGCACGAGTTCCCATGATTCAATCAGAAATGTGGACATGACAGGTAAAGAGCACGTGGGATCGATTCTACAGGCTGTCACTATTGCCATGACTTTTTTCCCCCATCGTATGAGGCACAAAGGATAAGCAAGTGAAGAAGGAATCACGGATTGCATGAAGTCCAGGTGAGGTAGATGCATGAATCGAAGCAGGTGGGACTTGGATCCCCCCTTGCCCCTTGATCCTTGTCAAAATAATGAACCAACATGTCATCGATGCACTCATTTCATGGTATGAATCACACGATGGGAAACGAAATGAAGCCTGAGAATGAGCATGTAGCGGATGAAGCATGGGATTCATCACAAGAATTTACATGGCTGCCCGTTTTGGACAGGAGGAACGAGCTCAGAATGCTCCACGAGTACTCATTTTAAAAAATAAAAAAAAAAAAACATTGGACATAAAAATCTGGAGATTCAACGTGTCGAGAAGAGACACCCCTAAGCCATCACAGAAGAATCCAGGCAGGCAAATGACCAGCCGCGATGAAAAAGCGTATGAGCGTATTCAGACGATGATGAGAGAGTCATCACCCCCCAAGTGATGATGGTAGTGATGATGAACATGTTCGTGAACGTGGTGGTGCTCGTGCTTTTCCACGATCACTGCGTCCTCTTCCTCGTCATCGTCCTCTTGACCCAGTTGCTGCTTTTCCAGCCATGTCAAGACCTGTCTCATGGCCCGTTCCCTTTCCTCTCTCCGATTCTTGTGATTATGGGGCGAAGAAGAGAATCCGGGCGCAGCCTTGGGGCGACAAAGCCTCTGATACCCAAATAGGTCCTTCACCAACTCCTGCTCGCTTTTCAGCCGGTGGTGATGATGATGTTGGTGGTGGTGGTGATGACTGTGGCGGGGCCGAGGCGAGGACTTGCAACACCCACTGGATTCCACGCAACACTCTTGTCCATGCCTCGTGTTACATCGACATCGTCGTCGGCAGTCCTCGTCGTCACATCCCAACCTCACGACGGGCACGGAGAGGCCTAGGCCGAGAAGTTTCTCCTCTCCTTCCCACGACTCTCCTTTTCCGTACAATCGAGTCCTGAGGGAAAAGAAGTTGAATTAGGGAGGGATCACTAATTGGAAAATATCAGGTTCCATGGCGATTCGACTGAGCTCACCTGGCACACCTCACGTGGCAGTATCGAAGCCGAGTAGGGGCCGGAAATTCCTCGTCTTCGCAGTCTCTGCACTGAGCTTTCCCCGACGCCCGGTGAGTGACCTTCACCGAATGCAAGCGAGAATGAGTGGGTTTCTCTCCGGCTCGATGAGAATGGGTTGGCGGGACACGAGGATGATGATGGTGATGGCCAGGGCAAGGAGTGTTTTTCTCGCAAGGGGTTGGGGATGATGGAGATGGAGGCCTGTCCGGGGAAACGGTCAGCTTCACCTGAATCGTCTTGCTTCCCTGGTGGGGGAGCCTTACGGAATTCCCCACTGCTTCGTATATAGACCGAACCAGTCCCGCGATATCCTGTAGGACCAGATTTATAATTACACACATTCAACGCTCTCCTTTCAGTCACGTTCCCTTCACTCCCTCCCATACTTGCTTTCCATCCTTCCTTTCCACTTAAATTATCTACTCTCAACATGTTTCGAACCCCTCCGAATAAAAAGGGCTGCTCACATCTTCGGTGATCTTCCGATGACCGTCGAAGTCGTAGAGGGTGAATGAGAATTCCTTCCTCTCCTTCCCAGAGTCACAACCCATCACGGATACGTCGTACTCGAACTTCTAAGAGACATCATTACAACATTTTATTAGACTGTGAGCAAAAATCGAAGAACATCATTTGTCATTGGAATACGAATTATCAAAACTATTGACTTTAACTTGGATATCAATCGACCAAGGTGCACCTGCCAAAAGCGTATGACGAGGCAAACCACATGTTACGGTCACTGGTTTCCCTCTTACTTGAGTTTTCTTTTTACCACGTAGAAGCACCAAACATTTAAACTCTTAAGAGTCCACCAACCGTTCCAACTGAGGTTTCAAACAAAAGAGTCAATTACGAAGCCGACGCGGTCCAGTTGGGTCCGATGAAAAAGCCCAGGTATGCTTGAATGATGACAAAGACAGTGACGCATTTTTCCTTCTCTCCCCCCTTCGCTTTCCTCCCCATGTCAATTGACACAGGAGACTCACCTCGACACTAATGCCATCCTTGGATCTGCGACCAGTATTAGGAGTCGCTGTCGTGGCCTCATGGGAAGGACGAGGAAACGGAGAAGTAGAGGAAGTGCAACATTTCTCACTCCCTTGTTTCTGGCACGGCTCTTCCTGGACGAGAAGCTCCTCCGTATCCGACACCTTGGAGTTCATCAGACCTGGAATCAGGACCGGGAAATAGCAGGTGTTCAGTCCCCTCGGGGCTAAGAAGTTTCTCAACAATAGGGGGGATGCCGGACTGACAAGTGGAGTGAGGGCGGCGAAGGCCGAGAAGCTCATGCCCTTCCCGTCAATCCAACACCGAGACCTCACCTTCCTTTTTGTGAATGACCGACAGGATGCCAGAGGGCATATCCGGCTGTCCCCCCGCGAAAATAATTGGAAAATTCTTCGGGCCTCACTCGAGTGACATTGCCCTTCTTTTGTATTCAACCCGCTCTACACATGAAAGTCGATGTCTTTCGCGGCTGGATCGATCACAGCCCGCCCTATTTCGAAAATAACTTCTTGCCTAGGCAGAGGATGGATCTCTCATGCACTCCTATTCCCAGCACGGACAACCCGGCATTCAAAATACGTCATGCATTAGAGAAACTTCCTTTGTCTTTTTTCATGACACAAATTCCGAAATGTCTCACTTGGAAAGCTGCGATATCCGTTCTTCAATCGTGTCTTGCACCACCTGACGAAGTACGGGGCCATGGAGTGCAGTGATTGGGGTCGCAGCTTCACACGTATACCACAGCGCGGAAAGTCATATTGGGCGGATCCGAACAATCAACGCACCGTTCCGTACAGGGATACATCATCTCGCGGAAACAAACAAAAAAAAAAACAACCGCAGTATCACTTGTTGCCTGGCCGAATCCCACACGACAGACGCACACACACGCGCTCTCTCTCGAGCTCTTCCCTCGCTAGGTCTAGCTGGCTCGGCTGGCTGGCTGGCTGCCTCCCTCCCTCCCTCCCTCCCTCTCGGCGCTCTGTTATTATCTGCAGGCTTCCCTATGAGCCAGGGCCATTTCTCTCGGCAAGCGGGCCTTTTACCGTGCCGACACGAACGCAAATGGTGCAGCTTTCCGTTCGGGGGGCAGGCATCCGGGATGCCGACTCGGCTCCGCGTGTATGTTTCCTTCCCCTTTTTTCTCTTCTTCTCCCCCTCCTTTGCATCGCTTTGGTTTCACCCTCTCAACTCAGCTTTTGAGTCCGAGAGGAAAAGGGTAAGGAGGGGGGGGGGGGAGAGACAGATTTCAGGTTTCATGAAAGGAAGCCTTTCTTTCAAGTGAGGAACCACGCACGGAAGGCGGTAGAAAAAGGATTCTTGATGCCATCATCCTCAATCCTCGTCTCTGTGATAAAAAATAAAGCAAGCGAGATTCTGAAGGTCGTGGGTGAACATAGAGGAGCGGCACGACTTTGCCTTTCCATTTGCGTTTGTTAGCACGGATAGATAAACAGAATGCTGTTTATCTAGGGTGAGGAAGGCCCTGAAATGCTCTATGCGTGGGGCATTTCATCGTCTCTACCTCCTCGTTTCCGTTTCCACTCCCATTAGTGATGAGGCAAATTCCACCCGAGCAAGGAGGAAGTACGAGGGGCGAGCCAAGGTGGGATTTCGGATGTAGATCGTGACCTCGGATTGAATATGGGATCTCGATCGAGGGGAAGTGAATGGATGGAGTAGAAGGAAGACGAGGAGAGAGAGAGAGAGGGAGAGAGGGCCCTACCCGGCCGAGCAAGAGCCAAGCTCTTCCACTCTCTTCCTCCTCCCCCATGTGCTCCAGGGCATGTGGCGGCACTGTAAAAGAAAAAATAGCGGTCATAAACAGCCGCCTGTGCAACCATAAAGGCAGCTGTCGTAAAGATATAAAGCCTTGTTTTTTTTTTCGGTCCCTCTTCCCCCCCCCCCCCCCCCCTTTTTTGGCGCGTCCCATTGCCTGCCGTCATTACGCAGTCTCAGTTTTCCGATGCCATGATAATGAAACAGTGAAGTGACCCCATTTATGTCTAATGCTGTATCTCCTGAAAGACATTTGCCACTTTTCAAGAATTTCTCGGCTAGACTCCAGCTTATCTCATATCCCACCAGAATAGACCCCACGTCAAGCATGACGCCTGTCTGTCTCATGGTTGCTTTGAAAATGTCCCGAGCTTCACATCTTCCATCAACCAGTGATATGTCCAAACATTTCCCGCAAGAGATATCCCACCGTTCCCAGCCTAAGAATGAAGGCTCTTCAAACGTTCTCCAAACGACCCAGGGGAAAATGTAATATGGAAAGGCTACAATAAAATAAATAAATAAATAAATGAATAAAAAATATATATATATATATTGATGCTTTTTTTAGCCTTCACAGGAATTCCAGAAGATTCCTATGCTCTCTAAAGAATAATCAACTTTAAAAAAGAAATTGTATGTTTGGAGACTCCTTTAAGAATTCATATCAGGGATTTTATACCTAAAAACACTGCAGAATATTGCCAAATCTCAAGAATTGTAAAAAATAATTTATATTGCTGATTCTAAAACATCTATATAGCATTTCTAACACGACTATAGAGGTCTACAAGTCTGTACAGGCTAGTTGGGGGGTGGGGGGGGCTACCCGAACGGTAGCCCCGCGCTTGTATATCGTTCGCATCGCTGTGACTCGTTTAGTGACAGAGTGAACGTGTGAAAAGAAAAGACTCCTTCGCCCTTTTCGCGGCGGAGAGAAACGTAATGGCGAGAGTACCGACCGGGGATCTCAAGAGGCTAAAGCAAAGAAAATACGTTGCGTTGGAGTACTAGTTGGCCAATTAACACGTCCTCTGCTTTACGAGTCACCGGTGACTCGTACACGTACTCGTCTGTAGCTTCGGAAGCCGATTCAAAGACATTTTCTTGTGCTCCTCCTGGGCGTTAATTTCATTTTATTTATTTTTTGTTCCCTTCAGCCATCGTTGGAAGCGATTGTATACTTCCGTTAGATGGACAAAATTATAAGCTGTAGAGATTTGAAACAGAGGTTCAACAACATTAGAATATGAATGTGATGGTGTTGGAAAAAAAAAAACTCACTTCCAGTGAGAAAGGTACGCTTAGCATTTGGGTTGGTTAAAGAAGGAAAAGCAGTTCGTTGTAGCTCTCTAGGAGTGCAAACGCTAATTTAAAGGTAGGGACCTGCTTTTCCAATGTCGTCGCCATTGTCAGTACTGTCATTTTTTGACGAATGTCCTCAACGTCATCAATGTCCTGTGCTTTTTAAAGCTTTCGTAAATGGCTAGTCCGTGTCTGAGGCTTCATAAAAGCGAGGACTCAAGTTGGACGTGGAACTGATGAGAGTATTCCATCAAAAGATACAGAAGACGATTGGGATTCCTATTTTAAGGCGCTTTAGTCTCCTGAACGGTAATGTATGATGAGTTCCTGGTCTTCGGTCCCTTTTCGGTATCACATGTTTCACTTGTAGAGGTTAGTTATGACCCGAGGATAGGACGACCGATAGTATTTAGGTCTGGACATGCGATTATCTGATAGGGGATTGTTTATTTGCCGAAGGAGGAAATTCGTGGCTCGCATGGGAAGCATTCCCATTCCCCTTTCCCTCCCTTTTCGCTTTTCCTCGGGGCAGACAGCTCCCTTTTCTCATTCTTGCCCCCGTCTCTGGATTCCCGAAAGAAAGGGGGGGGGGGGGGGGGGAAACCCTGTCCCTGGCAGACGTGAAAGGACGCATGAAGCGAAGAACGACCGGGAATTCCTGCATGTGCAGGACAGGACGAAGAGGAAAATCCTGAAGTCCCAGGAGATAATATCTCTACAGTGGTAACTCGTGAACGTTAAGAAAGCTTTGTTTGTTTGCACGTGCATTAGCTGATGGTCTTTCGCTTTGTACGCATTCCCTATCGAGAGCACGTTCTTGGTTATCTCAGGAATAATGGTATTAGCATCTTGCTCATCCAATAAAGAGCTTAAATAAGTGAATACGTAATTTCTTACATACAAGAGGAGACTTGCAACTGGGCAATTTTCTCTTCATTCGTACTGAAATGAAGTAGTATTAAGACTGCTCTATTTTGGTGACTCATCGATGAGATACTGAATCGCATCACCCTTGTTTTGCCTAATGCACGGAGTGGAGTGTGGTGGAGAGATTTTTCCCAAGTCAAGTGAATGAAAATATTATTTTACTTCTTTAACGATTAAGTCTTCGTGACCCAGAAGCGAAGAAGCTGGAAAAACGGGGGATTCTTATTGTGCAACTGGCTATGTCATCCGTTCCCACTTTCCCTTCGTAATGCTTTGTGACGAAAGCCTCTTTTATCCGGTCCCACTTTCAAATCAACATCCTCAGACGTATTTTCAAGTTGATACTAACTAAACGCACGACGAAAATTTCCCGACATTGCGTGAAGACGAGCTGATGACCTTTCATGGTCATCGTCTGTTTCTGGTTTGATCCTCGACGAGAGAGGCGTGGATTTTTTCTTTTTCCTTGTTGTTTTGTTCCTGGCGGGGGGCCCATCCATTGTGAGGCGTCCAACCAGCCGAGCAACTGGGGGAAAAAAGTGCGTGCGCGCACCGTGCAGCCCCCATGATCATGTGGCATTTCTGTCATGTCTGCCGCCGGCCAGCCGCTCCTTTGATCTTTGCCGCCATCTCCTCGCCTGTTATTTTGATGCATTAATTCTTCTCCCGGCCTCGTAATTATTCCCAGATCATTATTAATCGCCAGGAGAGTCTTTGGGATAGCGCACGTACGTGACCGTTTCCTCGTTGTACCCCATGATCCGGGAGGAATGATTCCAGACCCGAGGGATAATGAAGCAGAATGCAGGATTTCCTCACGCGAACTTCCGAAAGTAGAGGGAGTTTAAAGATATTGTCACGGGCTCCCTAGAACAAGGATCTGTAAGTACTAGTCATATTGCCAAGTTCTGAATGACTCGTACGTGCGTAGCATGAGAGAACTGACTTATCTCCGTCTCTAAACCCGGCTCCAACTGGCATCATCCCCTAGATATTTCCTCTCGGTTCTTCTCTCTTGGTTTCATATACAACCAATAGATGGCATTAATGTTGCCGAAGAAACAATTACCAGAAATCGTTATTCCTATGTGAAGATAATTCATTAAGGACATGACAATGAAAGTTCTGCAGTCTTCGATCACCTTTCTCAACATCGTTGATTTTCCTTATGCGTTCATTATCCGTTTTACGTTTGTATCCAAACTGATTTCAGTTATATTCAGGTGATATTGTCGGATTAGATCTAGAGGAGTCGCAGGTGAAGGAATCAGCTAATTCGCTAGTCCTTGCAACTCGTTGCTGATGCTGAGACACAACTGCAAGTACCCTGTATTCATCCCGGGGGACTTTCCACGCTTGCTCTGATGTTCTGGATGAAAACTGTTGAGGGGGTTGTGATTTGAAATAAAGCTGTATGATTGCGAAGTTTGTGCAGTCCTGCGGAATCCTCCTCCCAAAAAAAGAAGAAAAAAGACACGTACTAAGGTTATTTAAAGAATAGCGAATTCATACATTTTTGAATTCATCAAATGGGATATACAGTAGAATTAAGTCATCAGACATCAGTGGCTTAACGAGGGGGGGCTTCAGCCCCTCCAAGTTTTGCCTATCTTCCCCCTCCCCCAAACTCTAGTCTTAAGGAATTTGTATCACTTACCCTAAGTGCTTTAGATGAAACATTTTTTATTTTTTATTTCAGCAAATCGGGCCAAGGCCAAGCACCTGCCAGTCCAAGGGAGACTCCTTACGTTAGAAGATTCTATGAGACTCTGCTCTCTAGGCCATCTATGGTGAACTGATATCACTGAGTGTATTCCGAAGAGAGCGCTCAAGTATGCACAACGCAAACGCTCCTATGTACGGCCCACGTGGTGCCATGGTTGTGGTGAGTGTGATGATTTGGTGCATCGTTTAATGCACCCAAATGATACATTTGTTGTTTTCACCGGCTAGAAGGAATCCCCTGAATTTCCCCTCTTGTCTAGTGTGATCAATTTCAACTAGGTTTGTGTTGTTGTGAGGTTCAGAAGCCTTTGTTAACGTTAGGTCTATTTATATAAATAGGAGTGTTGTCTATTTAACAATTTGAGCGCCACAATTTTTTGTGCCCTCTGGACCAAGAGGATTCTGGATTTTGGGATACTTCAAAATTTTTCAGATACTTTTGAGAAGTATTTTCCTCCTACTGATATGCAATACCTCAATTGTGGATGAATAGAGTTAAGTATTTCTCTATTTGCAATAAATCATAGATTGATGATTAAAGTGTAATGAATGTTTCTTAGAGTCATTGACTCTAATATTATTAATAATTAGAGTCATTGACTCTAATTGGTCATTGACCATGGAGTTATACATTGCACATTACTCATCAGTGCTATGGTTTTGCAGGTTACACCCTATTGATGATGGCTATTTTTATTTGCACTTTTGTCCCAAACTATATGTTTGCCTAATTACCCCTCTCCCCAATAAAAAATGATCAATCAATTCGCTGTATTTCCATGAAAAAGGAGGAAATAAATGGAGACAATTATACTACATAATTGATAAAGGAAACTAGAACAATACCAAGTACAAAAGTTGTAAGAAGAAAGGAGGATAAAAAGAATATACAGGATGGTATTGGTTGAGAGTGAAACTTCAGTTCTTAGGCTTTCTTATATTAAAAAAAGAAGAGATTAAGCATGTAGTGTAAAGATTTACACAGTTCTACAGAAGATTTGAAGGCCTCAAAGTGTGCAGAGCCACCCATATTTGCAGGACTCGAGAGGCCCAATCAAATAGCTGGTTCATAGCCTTTATATAACACATTGCAATTATTCTTTTAGGTGCTACCTGGAAGAAAAAGTGCCTACTGGACATAGCTGCACCAGTTGGATGATGTTCCTCTTCATTTCCTTTGTGATGATCATAGATGCTGTGGTGCATGTGGTCTACAGAGTTCAAAGGTGTATAGGTAGTGATAGTGAAATGGTGGAATTTTTAGTGTTTTCTTTTAATGGTTAGGTGGAGCACCCTGTAAATATATTCACAGCTCCTCAGCTTGTTCAATCTCAGAAAATAGTCTTAAGGATTGAAATTTTATTTGACTTTCATATACATTATGTTTCTTTCCTGCCTGTTACTTGTGAGCTTTTAAATGAAAAAGTTGGTAGTTATGTAAAGTAATGAATTTTTGCAAGCAAGGGAGATATTTCATTATTAGCTAAGTATCTGGTTGTGTAGCTATGGTAGTTACTTGCTAATGGATTACTAGCTTTTTGTAAACTATTTTTGGTTTATTGAATTAGTTCTTAAAATATGTATGTCAACATTTAAATGAATATAATATATTTTCAAGGGCAGAATGGGATCAGTATCTCAATAAGAAAAAATTAGGATACAACACTGGAGTTGTCAAAAGAAATTTAAAAAATGAAAGAAAACAAAAATGGGATCATCAGCCTACTTCTACTGTGCGGCAATTGGTGGAATCAGAATGACATGCTATAAGTTATCAGGTGGCAGTCTTCTCCATCATCATTTTGTCTTTTCTCTTTATTCATCCATAATCTGTTTTGGCAATTTCTGCATTAATGAAGATTATCTTGGCAATAAAGCTTCACCCAAAGTGTTTGCCCCTCTACGTCAAAGGGGAGTTTTTCAAGAAGGGCATTCCCTGTATAGTAAAGAATTATGAGATTACATTTGGCTTTTCCATGTTTTCAAACTTTTCCTGGAACTTTTATTCAAATGTTATAAAGATTGCTTTTCATTTTTTCAGAGGTTGCATGTCACTATTTGTGATTTTAAGCCTGGGCTACACCAGTGCTGGTCTCTGGGCATACATTTTTGCATAGGATGGAACTCATAATTCCCTTCTTGCAAGGGTTGTTTTGATGAAAATTTGATTTCTCTTCAAGGTTGTGTTGCTGTTGGAAGTATGCAGTTTGATGCAGATGATCAAGAGGTGTTTGAAATCAATGATTTCACCACAGCAACAAGCTGGGAAAGATTCACTGCTGCTCTGGAAGAAGTGATTTATGAATGGAAACTCAGTGAAGTTCAAAGGCCCAAGAATATAGCTAAGGGTGAACTTGTCACTGGGAAGTGGATTGAAACCAGGACAGACATCAGCTATGGCAGTAAGTCATATTGTTTGTACCTTTTGATTTGGTTTAGAAGCCCTAGAGCCTGGGGAATCTAGGTATCAGGAAGTGATAACACTCATTTGGATACTGTGTGTTGAGGATGAGTGTTCCTTAATTTTAGGGTAGGCCTACTCTTCTTAAAGCTAAATATTTTTATATTATTATAATTTTTTTTTTTTTTAGCATATCCTAGACATTACTGCCTAGTCCCTTTTGTCTACATTGCCCCCCTTTCTGCTTTTTCCAGAAGGGGGCAATGTAGACCATAACTGGAATATAGAGCTCTCCTGATGTGTGACCACAGCTTTTGGGGGAGGGGTACAGCAAGGTGCACAGTTTCACTTACACATGTGATCTTAAAATGACTCCACAAATGGAATAGTGGTGCTGTGCAAAAGAAAGGCATGAGAATGGAGATGCTCTTTCCAAAGGACTGCCTAAAAGAAATTTAAAATTCGCATAAAATAAGTAGCCAGCCCATGTTATGATGATTTAGCAATAAAGTTTACCGTGTATCATGGAGAAGGATCGAGTAAAGAAACTCCAGAAGTCTGAATTCAGGTTTTCGACTTCGGAGGGAATCACAAGGAGTTCCTTAGGTACCTGAGGATATCCTTTTTCTCGAGAAGTCCATATAGGTCCCATTATCTCGCCTAAATGTGGCTTAGGCATTCACACTTTATGGTATTACTGTTCCCCCCAAAAATAATATTAATTTGTTTAGCTCATGCAATACAAGTGTGCAACCTATTAATCTAGAATTTCTTGAATTTCGCTTTTACTCTGTTCTTGCATGGAAACTGACCCCTTTGCAGAATAGATGGTAATGGGTTACATTCTGGTTTTATCTGTTATCTTGTAATTGGGACTAATGGGAGCAAGGACTAAGTATACTCCATATTTAGGTTTAAATTTGTACTCCTCATATGCTGGTGGAGAATGGAGGAAAAATTGATTTGAGATCATCTGATGATCTACAAGATGTTTAGCTTGCTTTCTGGCTGGGTTGTTGATAGGTCAGTATTGTGTTTTTTGGTTGAGTCATGAAGAATAAAATTATTATTTTTTCTCTTGGAGATAAAATAAAGGTAAACCAAGAGCATCAACAGGAATGACTTTCAACTCTCAGGATCTATCATAAAAAATTTTTTGCCACATTTTCATATATCACTAAATCCATCAGGTCTCAATTAATTGAGAATAAATAACTGATAGTATGTAAATCGGTCACTGCTAGGAAGTTTTGCATGTAACATCTTGATGTTATGAGATGCCATAAATGGGGCCATCAAAACATTTGTATCTGATTGAAACATATTTGCTACAGCAGTTGAGGATGATGTTTCATTCATCATGGACCATTGCTGCAAGGTAATGATTAGGCATACTGATTTATTCATTCAATTCAGGTACAATACAGGAAGCCCCACATCAAGAAGAGACCTGTATAGGAGCAAGATATAGCAGGGCAGTTCTAAAGTTACTGACTTAACACTATACTCAAAATGAAAACTATATACTACCATATGGAATTTCAACCAAACAAGGCCTTTAAGATGAAGGTTGTCACGGAAATATCCCGTATCTATGGACATGGTTAAGACCGGTTTTACAAGAGTCAAGAGAGTACCTACTTTTTCAGGAAATCTATTTTTCTGCTTCTAATCGTTCTGCTGCTCCCTTCCAATTCTCTTTGATTTGGCCTGACCTGATGCTTCCATATTTTCAAGAAAGAAGGCATAGACCATCACCTTTATCCATGCCAAATGACATTTATTTTTGCTTAAAAACGAATTGGCTGGGAGAGTTTTCCAGCATTGCTGATGTAACAAATTAGTCAAAAAGCAAGTTTCACCAAATAAGTGTTAAATTTATCAAAAGGGGATGGTGCAGGAGTAATGAAAAAGCATCCCTTGCCAGGTGATGAATGTTTAGTGGAGCTTATTTAGTCCAAGTTTAATATCTATATAATGCAGGAAAAGCAAGTTCGATGACATTTTTGTAAATACATTTTTTTGCCATTTTTGTCCTAGCACTCAATTGGACAAGAATAGTGTAAGGATGCAGTTCAGTAGAGACTCTGCCACTGCCAATTGAAAGGCTACAGTAATTTTAATGAATTCCAGATATTGAGGAATTTGGCATGGGTCAAGGTGTCAAGAAGGATCCCAACCACAGGTGCTTGACTTCCAGCTCTGTTTATATTGGCTCTGGCTAGGCTGAGATTGGAGTTCCAATTTTCCTGTCTTCTTTCCCATCTTCTGATTGTCTTCAAAGGCCAAGGCTTCTTGCTCTTATTCCTTCATTTATTGTCTATATACTCTGTTCTACTTTCCTTGGTGACCTTTTTGTGCCCTGTCATGAACTTAGATGTTCTTGATTTATATTCTTCAAACATTCTGTAGGAAATGCTAGCCTGTCAAGTCTGTCAAAATGATTCTCTTTAGGACTGTGGTGGTAGCTGGAGTGCTCTTACTTTCTGTCAAGTCAGTCTAATGTTTGACAATTAAGCAATAATTTTACATTGCCCTTTCAGCATGAAAAAGAGAATGTGAAGGGAGGCATTTTATGGAATTCTTATTGTGTAAGATTTTTAGAAGAAACCTGGTGATTTTCTGTCTTGACAGATTTTCAGTTCTCAGTCACGAGGCACCAACTACAAACCTATGATGGGGAGACCATAGAGAGCGAATGGCAGCCTTTCTTTGTTGATTCCAAGCATGACTTCCCCTCCCGAGCCCATTGCCTGGTACGATGGTATGGTATAATAGATTTTTTAGTCATCGAACATATGGGGGCAGAAAATGCAGTGGATTCTGAAACAAGAGCAAAACTGCTTCTCAGCTCTGCTTTCATTGCTCTCCAGAATTCCAATTGGTGAGTCTTTTGAGATCCTGCATTTATTTGGGAGCCAGTAGAGATTGCTTTTTAATGGCTAAAATAAAAAAAGTGAGAAGAATGATTTTTACTTTGGGCAATTTTTTATGTACAGTATCAGTGCTTAACTTCTCTGTGATAAAATCCCCCCACTGCCTTGTGACATAAAAGCTGTTTGTAAACATGAATAATATATGAATAAGGAAATTTATTACATATTTCTCAAGTTCAAGAAACTTGAAGCAAGCTATCAAGTGCTGGCCCCATTGTCTTTTTCTGGGATTTACTTATGTAGTTACCTCAATTGATATTGAAATTTGCAATTCATTTCTTCCTTTCAGTCACCTGCCAATTTTCATCCAGCTATATGACAAGAAGCAAAGATACTTCCTTGGTGTTGGCAAATCTGGAAACATCAGAACTGATTATGAAATGGTGAAATTGTCCCAGGCTCCCAAGGATTGCTTGCATATTGCAGGTGAGAGTTCATCTCCACATGGACTGATTTTGGCTACTGAAATATGTGTATGCATGAGGGAAGATATTTGTCTACAGGTCTCATAGATATCTTCAAAGGGAAGATCAGTCCTCCTATGCCTCTTCCTTCTGTGACTGCATCCATACGATTAACTTATATACAAACCAATTTTGAGGATCCAGAATGGTGTCCAAACTACCCTGACTTGGATTCACGGCTTAGTGAAGCACTTAGAAGTCTTCCTATGGGAGCTCTCTCAAATCCCATGAAGTAAGTAATTGATTAATTTTGTTAGATGTAGGCTTCTATCCTGGTCTTTGATGCTCTTAACTCCCCAAGTGGTACATGTTCTATTGTTATGAAAGTTGAGTTTTATTTATCAATGAGAGGGACAAAGGTATCCCCTCATGGATCCCCCATTTGGCTTATCATCCTATGATAATCCTGACCAATCACATGCCATTTACAGCACCCATTATATTTAAGAAATATTTGGATTTCCAACTCTATGTTATTTTGAAACTCCATATATAATCTACCCATGTCAAATCATCCACTTCTGTGCTTGAAACATCTTTCTTTTTATGTACAGGGTGTTCCTAAATTATCTTTCCTATTTTGAATGCAAATAAAAAAATAACTAATAGGCATACAAAAATGGAGTTTGCACCATCTTGTAGCCTGACTCAGAGATTTTATTGACATGTCAGTAGTCTTCCACATCTGCTCCATTAGTGGCTCTCAGCACATCCAACTGATATTTCAATTTCAGTCCACGTTTGCTGCAATATGTCCACAGTCACACTGGCAATAGCGTCTGTTATCCTGGTCGGTAGTTCCACTATGTTTTTTACTATAGGAACAATTTTTGGTCCCACAACTGGAGGAAATACATCTCATGTTGATGTGTCCATTTTCTGTCAGCCATATTCTGCAGCAGGAATTGGTTGACTACCTGCACCCAATGAGGTCTCTTATTGTCATGTTGGAGGCTGGCCCAGTGTCGCATGTTTCACAAGACAGAGAAACAGGTTGCAGAATTTCATTTCTGTAGCATTGCTTTGTCAGATATCCATGCAATATCTGCAGAGGACTTCTACCAATGACATTGATACCTCCCCACATCATCAGGTTTGGGGAGGCATGGCCTCTACCAAACAATCAAGTTCCTGACAAGTAGCATTTGCAAACACTTTCCCCTGCATCTGGACACTTGTCACCCATCATCATTAAAGCATAGAAAGAAACAAGAACCAACTGTGAACACCATGGAATGCCATTGTCCTTGATTCCATTGATTGTGAGAGTTCTGTGCTGTTCAAACTGATGTCTACAGTAAACTTGTGTACAGGAGCACCCTCATGGCTAAATGGCGAGCTAGGAGACATGTAGCTTGCAGATGGTTCCTGAATGCTGTTTGACCCCTGTAGTTGCCCATAAGAGCTTTCATGAAGAGGCTATGGTCCTATAGAATTTGTGTTGATGTAAACCTCTCCATTAATCAGGATATGGTGCTCTTTTACACGACAAAATTCCTGGTAACTTCTGCATTTGAAAATCCAGCCTCCACCACACCAACAACCCTTGATTGCTGATGTTCCCTCAGTGATCTTGCTCTGAAATTGTGTTGATTGGTAGAAGTGGAAATGTTGGTATCAATTCAGCATCTTTTTATCTGTTGTAAACATTAAAAAAAAAGCAAAATTTTCACTAAAGCTATTTTACCCTATATTAATAGAACATAGTGCCCATACTATTGACAACACCAAAAAGCATGTTGGAATGTGTTTATTTGAAGCTAGATGCATTTATAATTCTACCACCCATAAACATTGGGGTTGCTAAACTTTTTGTGAGTTGTATATATTTCCATGCTTTTGATATAGTCAGTAAGAGTATAAATCTGACATTTTTGTTTCCTATGGGACATTCCAAGATAGTAGAGTTCAAATTTTTGAACAAGTGGCTAAAATGATGCATAATTAAAAGTTAACAGCTTATTTTGTAATTATATTACAACCTTAAGTAAGGTATCATGTGAAAGCTCTTTTCAAGAGCTTTCCAAATGAATTTGTGACATTTGCTTAAATTTAATTGTTAAAAGTTTATTTCACTTTGAAAATATTCAATCATTTCCAATTTTCACCAATCATTATACCATGTGATGAGGGCAAGGGGAAGGGGAGATTGGAGGTGCTAACAACACCAGTTCTGGTGGATTTGTATTTCCCAATTAGTTTTAAATGATGCAATAGAAGTTGAGCTGTCAATTTCATCACAACAGTGATAGAATTGAGATTGATGACTTAGCTGCTTTAGGCCAACTTTGACCCAATCACCCATACCCAGATTTGCAGGAGGCTTTTGAAAAAATTTTAAAATAAATATTTGAAAACTGCACTTTGTCCCCATTCCAGTGTTTTTAGTTTAATTGTTTTTTTTTTTATCAAACTCCTAAAAAAAATTCATAAAAAAAATTGACTGAAAGGGGAATCTTTGTTTTGCCATCGTTTTAAGAATATTACTGAAATACTCCAGTACATTCTCTCTAGTCCTGAGAATTTTCCCACACAGTGCTCTATTTTAACTGTTGGCTGCACAGCCTTTAAATTGAAATTGAATTCATTATTTGTAGTTTGTTTGCCTTCTTTCACTCATTGAACTAGATTTTCATCTAAAATGAATTCATATTGGATAATATATAAAAGCACAAATGTCCAAATTTCTGGACTCTTGGATTAAGGGGGATATGTCGAAATCAGTAGGAAATTGTCAAATGCTACCTGATGTAAGTGTGATTTTAAGCCATGCATGAATGTATATATTAATATTTTCAAGTATATTTGGGTTTTGGCAGAAGTAATAAATAATTATGTCTCTTAGTGATATTTTGGGCATATGAATTTGCCATGCCTAAACAGTAATAGTGTTTATTGCATATGTATGAGACATGTTTTTAATAAGTTGACCAATTCTGTCATTCTGTTATATATTTTGACATCACCTATGGCAATACATGACTTCAAATATGTACACGTTATAACATGGCAGACATGAACAATGCATGGACCAGCATAGGAACTTAGTATGGTTCAAATGTTATATTCAGACATGATTATATATTACTCATATCAAGCCTCAAATATGTTCCCAAATTTTCATACATGGCTAATTTCTATGTGGTAATATAAATAAGTTTCATGTGGGTTTCCACAGATGGGTGTGTTGGAGCAGTACTCTTGAAACTATGGTGATTTTCTGTAACTTTCTTGACCAACAAAGATTTCAAATTTAATTTTAGAAAAATTCTGTTAGATTTTATAGGAATTTGAAGAACACCAAGAAAATATCCCTGGAAACTAAACTAAACATGATTTCCAAATATTTATTGCTCAAAAAGTTGATTGTTTCTCAATGGATAAAAATTGGGTTAAACCTGACCTATAACAGCTGAATTGTCAGCTCCCAATTTTCTCACTGTCATGATGAAAATAACAAGTCAGCCTTTATTGCATATTTAATAGCTAATTACTACCAAGTCCACCATGACTAATTTTTTTTAACCAGCCTCATTACATAGCATAATTGTTGAAAACTTTGAAAATCCTTTGAACATTTTAGAACATAAGAAATTTATTTAAATTTAAGTGTTATATTTATAGATTCAGATTATGCATGATTGGAAAGCTCTTTTCAAGGGCATTCATATTGCTATTTATTTAATTTTGTATGGCAAATTGTAAAAAAGTTTTAAATTCTATGGTACACATCATTTTTGTCATATTGTTAGAATTTTGACTTGCTATGTTTTGGGATGCAGGTACATTATTTGTTGGATTTTTATTATTTTCTTCAATACCAATGAGAATAACAATTTTAAAGAAAATCCATAACATTTGAACAACAAAATTCCTAATTTCTGAATGTTTTGATATGGAATGACCCTCCAGAAACAGATGTCACAGAATGTTTTCACACTATGAGGAAGGGAGGATGGTTCAATCCCAATGGGATTAATTTATTTCTCCCTACTAGTTTCCCTTTTCCCTTGGGAATGTGTGCAAATAGGTTTGTGTGGATATTGCTTGAGGGGTTGCTCTCAATTCGTATTTGTCTATTTGTCATACTTCTTGTGCTAATCTGAATAGCTCAGATTGAAATATTGTTACATGGCTAACAAGAAACAGGTACAAATTTTGTGTCAGGACATGGCAGTTTTGACAGATTTTCAGAAATCATTTGAAAGCTTTATACATAATTGTATATTCCATACATTATCTATGAAGGACTTCCCTGATAGATGTGAGTTTTGCTGCATGAACTTCACAGTGTATAAATTTGTGTCCTATGCAATATAGCTAATGTTTCTGTTTTGGAGTTTTTCAATAATGAAGAAATCTAGGATTGAAAAAAATTATTAGCCTGATATATATTCCAGATGTAGGCATGGTAATCCAGCTTCAAATAGAAAAGTACCATTACTAGTGTTGGTGAACTCTGGCTGTACTATGAGAATGACAAAAAGGTTTTTTTTTCTCTTACAGGGAGCTTCATCTGTCAGCCACATGGTACAGTGTTCATGCTGAAGATGTTTGGGATATTGAGGGTCACACTGATCTAAATCCTGTGAAGGTTGGTTGGATTGCACTCTTTAAAGTGCCTTGAAAACAAGGAGTTCATTGACTCTCTCAAATAGTTATGTATTGGTTTAAGATAGTGTGATTGTAGAGCCCACATAAATTGTTCAAACCTTCAGATGTCAAGCTCTCCAGATCATTTTAAGGTTGCCTGACTTTTCATTTTCTTGTAGGCACACACTTGGACAATGCGTGCCCACCTAGATGCACCCAAGACTTTTCTTCACTCTTACTTAGGGATCTTCTTGGATATGAGTAGGCGAACTGAGTCCTTGAAGCAGATACTTGGTTCTGCTGGTGGATTTGATGACACAGGTGGAGTTCTCTCTTTTCTCTCACAGATTCAAAATGAGCCCAAATTACTTTTGTTCACTTTTATAGGTGTTTATCATGTTTTGGATATTGGAATTTATTTCTGTCCTGTATAGCAAAATCTATAGCAGCAAAATAAAAAAATGAATATTTAGTCTGGCAAGAAGAGTGGGAGACTAAAGTAACACTAGAATGATACCATCTCCAAATAGATCTTGTGTTAGTCGATATTAGGGCTGTCGTGATAGATCGATGCATTGATACCACTATCAATGGTTGGAGGTATCAATTGTATTTTTGACCATTGCAATGTATTGAAAAATGATTTTAAAGGGAAAATGTCCCATTGGATTGAGGCGAGCACAGTATGATACAGTCTGTCCAGGTGGGGAAAGGAGGAGGCAATGTGACTCACATGGGCTTGCAATTTCTGTCATGATCAAATTCTGCAAATCCTGGGACTGACTATATGAAAGAATGGAAGGGGGAAAAAAAACATGTTGGATTGGAGACAGGAAGTGGGAAAGGAGAGGGAGGAAAGACCAGTAGTATTTTTTATCTTCAGATTCATTCCTCAGCTTGATCTCATCAGGTGCTTCCTGCAAAAGTGAACTGTTCTCATACTCCCTTGTTGGTGCGATTTCCAAAGAAGATTGTGTAGAATGAAGACAAAGAGAAAAAAGGGTGAATGGGCTTGGCAACTGATTCTCAATGCCAATTTTTAAAAATTCAGGCTATCCTGATGCATCCATCAATGAATGGATGTCATCTTCAATAGTTGGAGACATGGTAGGTTTTATTACTCCCTGCGAAAGTCACACTTTCCCCTCATACACCCCGCTCACAAGCATGAGATTATGGCAGACAGATAGAGGTCTGTGCTCTGATCAAGGCCAGACAAACCTCCGCCCAATCGCGGTGAGAAAAGATTGAATCCTTCTGCTCAACCCCCCCTCCCAATGCAATGATACACTTTTGATAGTTCAAGTCAATGCATCAATGTTTTGAAAACTGCTATCAAGACAGCCCTAGTTGATATTGATTGATTATGCTCACACAAAATACTAGCATAATAAATCTGAACTCATTCACTACAACAGATTCTAGCATAATCTGCACAACTTGTCAGTTGCAGTGCAAAGTGATTCAGAATGAGATTCCTTACTGAATAATCCACCTTAGATTGCACCCACAGAAATCTTGAAGAGCTAGCTTGTCATCAGAAGAATGTGCTTGTACTTGCTCTTTCTTATCAGGTAAAAAGGGCAGTGACTACTCAGGGCTTCTGGGGAGACTGACTGAACCTCTACCATCCCTGAGTTCAGTGTTGGAAACTGCTCACCAGAAGTTCCTTCGTCCAGCATTGTTCCAGATGGATTCTCAAGGACCATTGCCAACTAACATCCTCATGCCGATTCTTCTCTACCTATTTCCTGATGCAGATGAGGCTCAGGTAGAGATTATGAAAAATGTTAATACAAATGAGTTATCCTAAAAGAGAATCAATGTTGTCTTTTTTATGCTTGTTCTTCTACTGTTCTTGCTATTTAGACAAAGGGATTATTAAGGACAAAACTGATGTGATACTATTGCATTTCTGAATCCTTGTTTACTTCCAGCTGTTTCCCTATCCTCAGAAGGAGTTGCTAAGCAAAAGTCAAGATGATCCAATCTATGTGAGAATCTTTTTTCATTTTTGTTTTTGAGTGATTCTTATTTCTCTAATATTCTGTCTGTTGGCTCAGTAGGATACAATTCTTGGGTTTAATTTTTCTGATAGACCAGACTAGGATCGATGAAGTCCAGTCCTGAGTCTAGCATAGTATGGCGGTTGGCCCTTGCAATGGCACACCTGGCAGCAAGCTCCCGGTCTTTGGTACGAGTTGCTCACATGTGGCAGGAGTTCATTCTGGAATTAAGATATCGTTGGGAACACAACATGCTTATTCCTGGGTGAGTTACTTTTCATGCAATATCTTGAACTTAGAGGATCATAGACAAAGGTTTAATAAGTATTACTTTAGCAAACTGGGTGCCAGCTGATGTGCCACAAGTAGAATTAAGGATTCATATGACTCAAATCTAATTATTTGCAAACTTATACTCAGGATGGCTCTTTGCTGCAGATTATAGCAGTAAACTGAATGTGATTTTTTGTGAATGGAATGTGAGCCATGGAAAGTGCCATCTGGACTTGTAGAAAGCAATCAGCTTGACTTCAAATGAGTTCTACAAGTTCATGCTGTTTCATTCAGGAGGCACAGTAGATACCATTTATTGTGATGAGTGATTATTTGATCCAGTTGGTTATCATTTGATGATATGATCAAATCTCAAAACCCAAAACCTATTTCCATTTCTCATGTACGTTTTTCCTCCTGTTTTTATTATGTGGGATATTGTGATCAAGTATAGTCCAACTACTCTTGTCTCAATAGTTACTGAATCTCATGAAAGGAAAGAAAAGGGTAGGGAATCTCTCCCTGTGGTTATGGCATACTCTTCTTCTCTGCTGTAATAAGAGAACTGAAAACAGTATTGGTTAACATTGTAATGTGTGTTATAGCCAGGAGACAAAAATTGATAGCTTGTAATTGCTGCCTGCAGCCAGATAACTCCAAATGATTAATTCCCTGAGTAAAGGCAACTTGGAATTAAAAGTACTGAATTTGGTTTTTTATTGATTGCTGCATGTTTTTAATGTTGACAACAGGCATCTGCTTAATGCTAAGTACCCTTGGACCAATGTGATCACAATAAACAGTGCCCACTGTATCTATCAGTTGTATGGAGAACATGCCTTCCTAAATATCATCATCATTGTTGCTCCACTTGACAACAGAACAATGTGCTTGCCAGAAAAAGGAGTGGTTTATTAACTGCTTGCCATTTCCAAGTAAAATTTAATAAACATATCTTACTCACTCAGATGTAGTGAAACTCCTTCCTGTTCCATTAAAATTTGTTTCACTAGCATAAAGCATGTGATCAGGAAGCAATTGCAATTAAAATTTAGCAATCTTGTCACTTTGGGGTATACTCTTGCCATTGCACCATAAGCATACCTTCTGTCTAGCCATTTGCAAGACCCAGGCTGGGAATCCAACTGCTAGGCCCAGGAAGGAACAGGCTGAGTATTTATCCTTTATTAATTTGCAATGTTGCTTCTTAAAGTCACCAGACTCATCCTTGACAAAGAAGAGGAAGTGCTGACATCTCATGTCAGGAAAAAAGCAATGGGGCTAACAAAAATGATTCAAGATTTCCCTAACTGTTGTTGAAAAATGCAAACTCTCTCCAAATTGCGAAAAAATAATGATGCTAGGTTTGTGCTGTGGAATACTCCTCGAGTTATGTGCAATCCATAATTATTGGAAATACGAGGCATAAGCCAATTGTTTTATTTTCTGCCGTGCTTCTACTTACTTGGAGCCAGCAGTGAGGCTGGTAACACAAGACTTAGCTCTGCTTTTGTAAAGCATTAATTTAGGGCTGTACTGATGGCCACCTTTGGCCGGTGGGCCGATGGCCGATTTTCATCTCTATAACGATCAGCCAGTGCCGGTACCGGTACCGATACCGATGGTCGTCTGAAAATTCAGAAATAACACGAAATTGCCTAATTCAAATAGGCCTGTTTGGAAGCCTTATGATACTTGTCAGGGGAACCCCCAAAAACGACAAAGACCATATTTGGTACTGTCTGTCTTTTTCCATCAGTTGCTAGCTTGTTACCTATTCCTGCTATTAAAAGCGTTTAACGACACATCTCTCTCAAATGCATAACATAAAAGGTGGTGCAAGGATTTCCCGTTCTTTACTGCTATTTTTCTCCACTAGTTTCTAGAAAAGGGCTGAAATGTAATCCGATCAATATTTTTCGGGTTCATACGTTCACTCTAATTTCCCCCCATAAGTTTTGCCTTTCTTTGAAACATCGGCATTGGCAGCCTGCAAACCTGCCGATGGCGCCGATACTGGTGTTAGCTGATACATCGATACAGCCCTACATTATTTATTTCCTATGAGATTAGTTTCCATTAAATAAATTTTTATGGAAAGAGCTGTTCTGCATCTGATATGAATATGAAATGTTTGTTTTAATTTTTCTTGGAAATGGGAAGCAGTTGGAAATGGAGGAACTGTTTTCGGGCCACCCCATGTTCAAGTTACTAGTAGTACCTCCAAGGACTGTAGATGTGTGAATAAGAACCAGTGATACAACTTTCTGTAACCAGGTATAATTAGCTCTCTGCTCTTGAGGAGTTTATCTTCTATGAAAAGTTTGGAAGATCTTGAGGAGAGAAATGCTCAGAACTTGTGTTGACCAGAAACATGCAAGGACACATCGCATGTTCAAAATGCCTTTGAGATGAGTCAGGAGAAAATCATTCCCAGAGTACTTTTTGAGCTAAGTATTTTATGAGAAAGAAAAACAGTGGAAAATCCTCATCACACTACGAGGGACTGATTCATTTACAATTTTACATGATTACATCTAGTCATGTTATGGATATAGTGCAGAAGATACTTGTTTCATAGGTTGTTTGTGCCTGTGAAGTTGACGTAATATGAAGAAAGTCCTAAGTGACTATGCTGTTGTGATGAAAAAGCATTGGAATGTAGTATTTGTAGACCTTTTTGGGAAGCCTTATAAAGATTTTGAGATGAATAATTAACGCATTGACCGCCAAGGACGAGATATCTCGTACTATATTTCCATATGTCAGACGTCAAGTACGAGATATTTCTGATTTCTAACATTGCATGATGGAGTACTGGATATTACTAATTGCTTTCATATTTTTTCGAATTTCTGTGACTGAGTAAAAAATATGAAAGATTGGATATTAATAATTTTTTAGTACTTTTTTTTCAAATTTCTGTGGGGTGTGAATGAAAAAATGGTGGTGGTAAATGTGTTAAGGAGCAAAATTTTAAATTATTATTTTAGTAAAGATGTTTGCTTAACACGTTGGCGACAATGCGTCCTGATGCCAGGATGCAGATTTCATTTTCAATGAATTCTTCTGGAACTGTTGAGAACGTTCCAGAAGATTATGATTTCGTAATTACTGATAAAAATTCAAAAAANTTCATTTTCAATGAATTCTTCTGGAACTGTTGAGAACGTTCCAGAAGATTATGATTTCGTAATTACTGATAAAAATTCCAAAAAATTCAACATTTAAAAAAAACTCGGCAAAAAAAATGTTTTCTGGGACCATGCGTCCTGATAGCAGGACGCATTTTTTGGCAAAAAAAATGCGCGTGGTCCCACGCGGCGGACAAGCAAAAATAGGCTGGTCGTCAACGTGTTAACTCAGATCTCGAGTGCGAGAGTCTGACCTTTAGGCGTGTTTCCAAACCTTGGAATGAAGCATGAAAATTTTTCAAAATGAAATCTAATGTCGATTTTTTTCCTTGCTTGACACTACTAAATGCAATTTTTTTTAATTACTAATGTTGCCCAATGTCCCAATTTCTGGAGATCTTGACCGTTGGGATCAGACATATTCTTTCAATATATTTATATTTGATGATCTCTATTTGACACTTGACTTTCCATATGGTGGGTCAAAATCTTTCAAGACAAGCTGTGAGCAACATTTTCCTGTTCATGGTCAAAACTTATTTCATAGATCAATAATTCATCATTTGTTGTTAGTTACAATTAGGCAATCGCATCTATAATTTAAAAAATACTTTCAGTTTTATTTATGCATAATGCGTATATAAAGTGCATCTGTTGAACCTGTTCATACCCAGCCAGCCCTGTAGAATAAGGAGGCTAATACGTTTACGTTTCAAAATTTTGATGCTTGTGTTTTAATTCCTGAATAATCACATGATAATTGATTCCAAAACAGCACCACTGACAATCTTTTTCACATCTTTAGATGATGTCGGCGATGCAAGATTTCCTCTTAAAATTGCAAAATTCTTTGTAATTATCGATGTGGTGCGCCTACCCTGTAGTAGGTACATAACACGATGCATTGAGGGAAACCCTCCCTTGTTTGCATCTGCTTACCACCCACAAGGGTTCCCACTTCCGTTTCCTCTTCTTTCCCCCTCCTCAAAGGCATAACATCGACATTCTGAGTTCGGAATATAACACGCGCGTGCTGATCGGCCTCTACATTGATTTCTGTAGGCCCATGAGACCGTTTTCTCCTATATAATTGAAGGAAAAAAAACATCACACCAGTACAAGGCACACGAGATTCTGTGTTCATTTCTATGTAGATGAATATTCAATGCGCGTACAATCAAGAGCAAGCAAACACTGCGGAATAGACACCATGTCAATAGCATCTCGTCGAAGATAGGCGGAATTCATTTTAAGCGTAATCGCAAAGACTGGGAACAATGATATCCCAACTCTGGGATGATAAAATTGTCAGTCGCAGAGAGAGAAAGAGAGAGGAGAGGTGAACTCAATCCCTCTGCCCTCCTCTTACAATCTCCACATCCCACCTCTTCCTTTCTCAGGCCGCTCAGTCTTCCATCCAACCGCAAACTGGCTCCATTGTCACACGAAAAAATGGCACTGTCTTGTGTCGTCCAGCAACCCCTAGCCGATCTTCTGAGGCCTCGTTTATCTTGTTTCGGTCCAGGAAATCTTCATGCACATCAGGAATACTGGTGAAGCCATCCAGGAGATGTCGACCTCATCTCACTCAGAAGGAAAGGTGGCTCAGGCTACACAGGAACAGTGTGCATGTGTGTCCATGTCGCACATGGAGTTGGATGATAATTTAAAAAAATGCCCTGGGAGACATAACAGTGAGGATGATCCTCTGTTCACATGTCGAAGTCGCTATCACCACCGCCGCCTCGCGTTGGGTTCCGGGCCATATAGATGTCCATGTCATGATCGGTCCAATTAAATTCAGTCTCATCAGTAAGGGAGCGAAGGGAAGGGGCAGCAGAAGGTCCCCTGGAATGACTCCTTCCACGTGACCGATCCCTCCTCTTCCTGTATCTTTTAGGCCCACTGCCCAGTGTCTCTCCCGTCCCACTGATCCCAGACGCTCTCGACGGCACTCGCGGCTCTGTACATGCAGACGTGAAACATCACTGAAGCAGAACTATGTCCGTGTGAATTGTCCATGAGAAACTCATGCTGATAAAAACACATCTCAGACAGAGCAGAAAATATAGATTGAACATTCATGATTTGTCCAAGTTTGGATTTAGGAACTTCGTGCGTTTATCAGAAAAAAGCGTGTAGGAGTATGGGAGGAAGCATGCAAAGCTATTGAACCGAGAAAGTAGGAAATAAAAAAAAAATTCTTGCGATGGCAATGGCCTTCTGTGGCCCTGCAGGGTTTAGCCTAGCCGATGTAGAGGCCCATATGAGAGTGAGAAAGAAGAGGCGAAGAGGCCTCAAGCTCCCTCCATTCGATACGCTTGGATGAATGGACCTAACCAAGGAACCGGAACGGAGAACGCAACTCAGCCTCTCTTTTCTCGCTCTTGCTCCCTCTCCTAAACCTAGAGCAAGCAGCGTAAGCTGCGAAGGTTTTTTTTTTTCTACTTTTCCTTGGTCATACCCCTGAAGATTCCGTAGATCAGGAGTCTCACGTTCAATCGTGTCTTTTTTGTGACTCCATTTTCCGTGGTATGTCCATTCCCGCTCATTCCCCTTTATTTTTAACATGGAACCCCTCGTGACCACTAAAAAATACTCTTTCTAACGGACCGTCAGATGGACTGGATAGAAAGGATAAAAAAAGGGGGTTCGATTGACTTCATTTCCGGGTCTTTCCGCGGGAGAAATGCACCCCTCATCAACCGTACTTTCACACGCAGCCGGATAGGGAGGGAGAACATTTTCCCAAATACCGTAGGGACAATCACTGGAACAATTTTCAAGCATGGAAGGAAACAGTCAGGAGTGCACATCTTTTTGAGACCTGGCCACTACCTTCTGAACTGTTGTAATAGAAGCTGAATGAACTTGAAATTGAACCCTAATGCGCCATCGGACACTTTCGAGAAGTCAGAACCTGGAATACTCATTTTTGTACATTTTTTAATCTCGGTACTCCCGCTTTCCTCACACTCCTGCTCCTCATAGGCACCATGGCTTACCGCTGCCATCTCTAAGTTTTCGAAGGAAATACATATTGACAACTTTGAAAGCAGCGCAATTCTTGATCCTTTTCCTTGAGAAAGCATAGCCATGAAAGATCGTGCTGTTCTTTCTGGAAACAACCATCTCGTCCTCACAGAGGAAGGGTTTGGACTAATGCAAGCGAAAGTACTGTCTGACTTCTGTATTACGGCAGGAATCTGCACATTTCATGAAAGAGAGTCGGACTTTCCGAAAGAGCCGATTTTGTGGTTATACCAAGAGATTCAAGTTGTCATGCAGTGCGATCGCGGGGAACTTTGAAAAGTGATACCTCATCCCAGGGTCCGCCACGGCCAAAGAAACGAAACAAAAGTAGAGGGAGTGTACGGTAGAGAGATGAGATGACATGTTGAGAGTCCCTTCACCTCTCTGCATAAGAACGACGTTGTTGAAAGGGAAAAGGGAATGTGTGAGATGGAAGCAGGCATGCGTGACGCCCTGGGCCAGGATCAACGTACGCCAGATTACCAATTCAGTAATAAACATCAACGTGGCTGGGCCAGGAGCTTCCTGGCTCCTTCAACCCAGCCTTTCCTGTATCCTCACAGATCCTCTTTATTTTTCCACTCGAACCCGATCACCCCTTTTTTTCCCCTTGTCCTTTTTTTCTTACTTGGCAGTTGAACTGTGGCGAAATCCTTTGCGACAGTTGAACAATCCCTCTACTTTTTCTCCACGCTTGGATGGGACTTGAATGATACCAGCGAATATTAAAATGGCGTTTCTTCTCGGTCAGTAACACGAGCAGTTTTCTCACTGTTCGTTCTGGGAACTTGACTCAAGGAAACTCAGTCATTAATGGGGGTAAAAGGAACATCGGCGTTGACGGGCTCAGCTCACCATTACAACGAGAAATTTTCCCAAGCGCCGGCCGACTGTGAATACGGTCGTCCGTCACGATCATTCTTGAAGGCCACAACGGAGAATGAGTTGAAATTGAATGCATGCTCAGCCCAAAGGGGGAGAGGAAGGGGAAACCAGAAGCCCACCTTGGGAACCCACATGATACTCACTCGGTTAGAGTTGTACGAGTCCATGGTCCCGCAGATAGATGTCATTATTAATGAGGGCCTCTTGCCACAGACTGGTTACTGACCCTACATGGAAGATACAGACTCTCATAAACGTATATTAGGGAACTCAGTCGCTGTACTTTGGATGACCCTCTTGAACAGAAATCTTGCGGGAATCGAACCCGAGATTCCACTTCCTAGGGGGTGACACAAACTGGTCAGTAGTCATGATTGGAAACAACGAAACCAATTGACAGGCATTTGAATTCGATTCCCAGCCTTTGCTTCATTTACTCCATTTTTCCATCGCTTTGAGAGTCAAAAAGAGGACTTGCGAATACGCTGAAGATAACCGTGGATCCTGGACGAATGAATTTGACATCAGTTGAAACGGGGAAAATGCTTGATTCTGGACCATATTTAATTTTCCTTATGAAAATAACGAATTGCCATGTACCTTTTAGATAACTTCACTGGAGTAAATTTGATATATCCATATGTGGTTCTTCAAGGGCTTGTATAGGACGTTCTAAAAGTTGCTGTGCAGTGGAATTTACTTACTTTGTGGCATTTATTTTATAGTGTGTAGTTTGTCACACGTCACCGCAGACATATAATACCACTGATTGCATCATCAACCATTAGCACCATTCCATAAGTGCATCATTTATCGTCAATACTTCCTGTTATAATAAAGCATATCATTTCATGTCATGAATTTCACTGCACGGCGACTTTTGGAACACCCTGCATATGTCAAAACCTGAGGAATTTTTATCAGGGACTTGAAGAAGTTAAAGAAAACGCTGTTACTTTCAGGGAAAGAAGCTGCAAATGTTGGGATTGTGCACTAACAGTCACGATCCTTCCAAGAGTAGCCAGGAGGATTCCCGTATATTATAATTTGTTCCCCTTGCAGAAATGCTCCTATCATCATCCAGGACTCACGGTTCCGTAGAGGTCCCCTTTCCCCGGCAAGGCTTGAAGAAGGATTTTCATTGATTATAGGAGTAGTTCGACGTTTTCATTTCTCATTTGGTCGCTTGACAGACGTGCGAAGAAGCTGGACGCTGCAATCAACAGCTGTCCAATTTTTTTAATTATTATTAAGATGTGAGAGTGGAAATCTAAAGATACAGAATGTGTGAAGAGGCTGTTCATACGGAAAAGCGTGATACCTGATTTCCCAGATGAAAAGGTGCCCACATCACGTGCGGATGTAATTACGATTATCTAAGAATGTATTGCATAATAACAGTAATGGGATTGTATTCAGACGAGGACAGGTAGGGGAATAAGGAGCTATCTCAATTATCTGGGCAATCTAGATCACAAGAGCGCAGCTGGGGTAAGCCTGTGTATAGGTCGATCCCATGTCATTTCTCTTTCTTTGAGGGCAAGAGATACTGGAGGGGTTCGTCTATTGTCTTCTAATCTCCCGTGTCCATTGGACTCAGGGACATTGGCGGGAAAAGCACGGCGCGAAAAGCGTGCAAGCCCTGGAATGCGATTCTGAAGTTTGAAGCCTGGGCGGGGCACCGTTCGAAGATCCAACAGGGTGATGTGGCAATGCTCATGCTTCTCTTCAAATCTCTCTCTCTCCCACCAACGCACGCCTCCTTTCTTTTGCGCTGTCTGTAGTAACGCTTCCATTCGGTTCCGTCACTTCGATCCAGTACCTATATCTAAGCTTCCATTACTTTTTCCATACCTTTTTATATACTTTTTTGCATTCACTTGAGGCGGTCTCCGAATACACTATTCCCCACCGTGGTTTCATGGATCAGATTCTGAAACGCAATCGTTGGAAGTTTCACAATCCTCATGATGTCTTGGTTTGCCATTGCCACGATCTAGTACACATGCGATTTGGGGTTAATTAGGTCCTGGTTTTTCTTTACAAGTCTCTTCTTGCCCTTTCCCATTGACGAGGAGACTTGATTCAGACGAGTGCGCAAGATAGAAGGCTTGCCCTGCTCGGATTGTGATTTTATGGGACACGACGGACTTGGGTCGGCTTTTGTCCATTAACACTAATTTGTCCCTACTCCCGGTTGCACGTGACTGGGAACTCATTTTCAGCTACAGTGCCAAAGGGTGACTAGCGAATTCCTCCCAATGCACTGATCCTCGCATGTTCTGGTACTGCTGCTTGAACTTAGAAAGAACTAGGCTGTTTTGCTTCTTTCGTCTTGCGACTTACATCTGAGCTGTGCGGCTAGGATAGTCTGTCTTAACGCCCACGATAATTGACGTATGCAAAGATTTTCATTGGATGGCTGATCCGTAGCTCTGAAACATTACGTTGGGTTCCCGGGCCCGAAGGTTTCGAAAGCCGAAGACGACTCCAAAGGACAGGCAATCGAAAGGTAAGATTCAGGAAAGACAAAGCGACAGGTGAAGCGGAACAAGTGAAGGGGTTACTGAAGCCGGTTTCATAGACTGTCAATGTAAAAAAAAAAGTTGAGAAGGATGATGAGAAGGAAGGGATAGGGAATAATAATTCATGGCTCATACTTACCCGGGCGGGAAAGGTTCCCGAGGGAGCCATTGGCAGCGAGGAATTTGCCGGACATGGCCGAGAAGGACCTGGTGCTTTGGCCGTCGGCCATGGACCTCGGTCCCACGCGGCTCTTGTTCGCAGATGCGTGCGACAGGTGCGAGACATGCGACACGTGGGACCTAGCATCGTCAGGGATATAACCCGCATTGATGGAGCCTGCAGTAACGAAGAAAGGAGACGTTGATGTCATGCCCTAACCTCCTTCCGATAGGATTATTATTAGAATCTAGGGGAATTATTTCATCATGATCGTCAGAAGGAGATTCGGGGATGCAATTATGAAGACGGTGAAAGTGGACCTTGAGCTCCCATCTACGCAATCCCCGTTATAATAGAGAAAAGACCATCCAGGGTTTAGCCTAGGCCTACTTCATGAATCAAAGCCGCTCCAGTGGAAATTGAATTCAATTGTAATCTGGATGACGTTTTCGCTTCGTCATACCGTGCTGTGATGATAGCGGATATTCAGATCATATCCTCGCAAGGTTCCTTTTTCCACGTTCTAGGTCACTGATTGGCACACCACCGAGACTGTATTTAATACTTTTCTTTTTCCCAACCTAGAGGTTTCTGAACACCGTTATGGACTGCCGAGCACGGTCGTTGGTCACAGACTTTCCGAGCAATCTCACAGCTCTGCTTCTTCTTCATAGTTTCCCTTTGATTGAAAAACGGCGCTACCAAAGAAATAATCCGTCTCCGTCCAAGCCCATCCAGTCTGTTACCTCCCTGTGTCACATCTTGATATTTTTCTCTTGACTGCCCGGTGTGACTTGTCTGGTGATAATATGGCGTTTCATATTTGCCGTAACCCTGAGCATGAAACAGTTGCGCTCTTACCATGGAGAGACGATGAACTGTCCTTTCCTGGCGGCTTTCGCCTGAGAAATTCGAACGTACTTGCTGTACATACTGGGAATTGGACTCATCAGACTCGAAAGCGCCTTGGTAGGTCAAGATCGCCGGATACATACGCAGTGATGAGCCATGATCTCAGCATGAATCCATTATTACGAAGCGTCTCTGGGGATCTCATGATGACTCATAAAATAGAGTCCGCTCAATGAAGCATTTCTTGTATATTTCACAAGTCTTTTGTATTGGCTCTTACTTATGACGTTTAACAGAATTCTTTGAAATTTAACTATTTGAACGTAATGTAAAGACCGTTCCCAGTGAACGAGAATGGTGGTATCGATTATCAAATTCTATTCTGTCGAGGATTCCGAAATGAATGCTACTTCCCTGAAGATACAGGAAGAGAGATTGTGAAATTCTCAAGGGCGAAGGGAAGGAGAAAGAGGAACGCAAATTGACGATGGAAATCATTATCCTTGATTGATCCATGTCCGTTTCACTCTTTTCAAGTTCACAGCGTTCATGCTTGTTCTCGGTGTGGGAATCCACCTTGTATTTGGCATAGACCCTACACATTGACATGGGAACTTAAGGAAGGATGATTGCGAGATAGCTAGTCTCTAACCTTTGTCCATGTGATACATCCTAGCTCGAGGAATGCTTCGGCTGCTGTACATAGAGATTTGATCCCAGTCCTTGTGCAAGGCTGTCAAAGAGGCGAGAGGCGGACCAGTGGGAGCTGGGGTCGTGGCCGGACCTAGCACCAATGCTCCATCCTTTTCCAGAACTCCTGAGCTGTTCCTTCGTCTGTTGCAGCAGATGAACACTATCACAGCTACGACCACTGTTCCGCATATAGCTGCACTGGCTGCTATAATGATCTTGTCCATATGGGTCTGGGACGTAGATTCCGTTCGGATTTCGCGACACTGGGAATAGGGTACTGATTCCGGTTTAATGTCAGTGTCTTCCAGCGATACGACACACACGATGATGCATTCCTATTGAGAGAAATTCGAAGCTTTTGAGACATAGAAAAAACTTCAAATATATCCTGATGTTATAGAAGTTTAATCCCATATTTACGTTAATGTCATGGTATTCCAGACTTCAACTCACTATCCAACAGACGAAAGTGAGGCTCATGCCTTGTCCACCTACAGATAGGAGGTTCATCTTACCTGAGATGGCACATTCTTGATCTTGAATTCTCTTTCTGAAGAAGCTAAAGGAGGCCCTTGCTTGAAAGCAGGGTCTCCGAACAAGCGGTATACCACCCTGAATCCGAGGAGATTTGCAACCAAGGCATCCCATTGAATGATGACCGAGCTATCTTCTCGGAAAGCATCTTTTACCAGGACTTCCGGCTCAGTTGCGGCTGCACCGTCAGGAAGATCAGGGCGAGGAGGGCGTCTCGTCAATAGGGTCGGGGGTCGAAGTGGTCGCTGAGGCGGGGGCACGAGGGGAATATCCGGATTCGAGGGAATGAAGGAACCTTTCGTCGGACGGAACGTCGATGGGAAGCGGTCTAGAATGATAGGTAATTCCGACGTCACTAGTGGAGGAGGTGGAGGAGGTTCTGTTGTCGTCGTCGTCGTCGTCGTGGTTGTACTGGTAGTTGTGGATGTCGATGTTGTGGAGGTGGTAGGAGATGGGAGTCTCGTTCGCACTGGTAGTGACCATCTTGTGCTGGGCACTGTTGGCTTTGTGGTCGTCGTTGTAGTCGTCGTCGTCGTCGTCGTCGTCGACTCCGGACACACAAATTCTATAAATGATCGCAGTTTTTCAGCAGTTCGTTCGTTTTCCTCTCTGCTTGCAAAATAGAGATGAGAAGTGCTTACCTGAGGGACTGAGTTGATAGAAAGTTCTGTCCCTGAAACTTTGAGGTTGTCCGCAGAATTGGGGATTCCGTTCGCGACTGGTCACTTGCAAATCGAAATCTCTGATCCACGAAGCAATCCATCGGATACGACAATCACAGGTAAGGCTTCTGCCTCCCACTGAGAGTCCTCGCAGACTTGTATTCAAGTGGACGAACGCTTCCTCAGGAATAGACTCAAGAGGGTTTCCATCAAGTGCCAGAAGAGTCAGTGATGGCATTTGCCGGTATGCATTTAAAGGAATCTCCCTAATTTGATTGAAGCCAATATCCAGGACCTGTAAAACGGCAAAACCGCTTCGCTTGCATTATTTCAAGTAAAATTCTAAAATTTTGCAACAGTATATGCGTCGTCCTTTCTTGCGTCTCCTCGTAAACGAGCGGGTTCCAGAAACGTTTCCAGTTACGCTGGGCAATGAACAATAATTCATTCTATCCGTTCTTCCAGTCTTTTCATTGACACGAAACGTTGCATGTCTATTGATACAGGATAGTGTACGTCCTGTATCAGGCCATCAGAATGTGCATGCTGGCATGCCGTTGAGCTCTGAATATGATGTTATGGAATGAAGGATGAAGACGCAATGGTGCTAGAATTCGGACGAAGGTTAATTAAAGCACAATCAGATCAATTCCCACGCCTTGTGACCACTGGTAGAGTATCATTCATGCTCCAATTCTCTCTAACCTTTTTACTTTTCCTTTCTCGTGTGAATCGTATTAATAGGTGATGTAGATCGCTTTCATTGCAGACGAGCCTGCTCGTGTTCCAGTGAGACAATCCTGAGTATTTCGAAATTCTATGGCTAAAACTCACCCTTAGTTCATTGAGAGACCCCAAAGCCTCGGTTGGATACTCTCGTATGAGGTTATTGAGGAGACTCAACGACGATAAAGTGTCGTTGACTCCTTCGAAGGCATCTGGCTCCAGAATCGAGAGCATGTTTCTCTCTAAGTTGAGCGCGGTGAGAGAATGCAGGCCAGACAGAACACCCTTATTAAGAGTCTTCAGATTATTCTGCGAACGAGAGAGAAATAGCATGAAAAACATGAAATTTATTTAGGAACTTTCATGAGCTGATAAAGTTACCTGCGCCAGGTCCAAGAATGCTAGAACGCTGAGATTCTGCATTGCCAGAGGAAGTGTCTCGAGCCCCGTAGCTTTGAGGTTGAGATTTTTTAGCGTCCCTTCCAGGCCTCTGAAGGCGCGTTCGCTGATGGTGAGATTATTATCGGCTAGCTTCAACGTTTGAAGCTTGAGAGTGACGAAGGCATTGTCTGGAATAAGGCGAATGTCATTCCGACTCAGGTCCAACAAGGCAAGTTTCCTTAAAGTTCTCAGTGCTGTGACTGGTGCTTCTGTTAGGATATTGTTCTGGATATTGAGATTCTTGAGCGTCTCCTCCTGGCCGATGAAGGCTCCTCCTCGAATTTCAGAAATCTGACAGTTGGATAGCTGAATGTTCTTGATCCTCATGTTCCGAAAAATCCCCGAACCGAGAGTGCCCACGGTACTATTGTTCACATATAGCAGGTCGATGGGTAATCGGCCAATGTAAGTCTGTAGGGCTGTGAGGAGGTCGGAGAAATCGATAAGACTGCACTGAATCGAAAGTTCCTGGCCAGCATTGTAGGCACATATACAGCCGGCATTGAGGTCAGTGAAGTTCCTCGGCCATGGGCATTGAGCGTTGGCTGGTGAGATCAGAATAAGCAGAATGGGGATGACTGCCTTCCATGACACAGGCAGTGACGCTAAGGCAACGGACAGGTGAGCAGCACGTAACGTTGGCACCATTGTGGAACAGCCTTTTCTGACCCTGGAAAAGTCAATATTTAAAGCACTAAAATTGCTGTCACATACTGAGGACGAGGTCACGCGACCCCATCGGCAATGAAATTACTATCTTCGCCAGTTGCAGGGCTGCGCATTCGTACATTGAACTGTGAAAGTGAATGTATTTGTTGAGCTTGAATGGCTTCGCACACTCCGTGGCTTTCCTAATGGCTTTAAAGAGACGAAAGTTAAATTTTGCATATTCATGTCAATCACACCATTGGGTGACCATGAAGGCGAATCTGACACGAGAAAGGCTCACGTTCAAAGACAAAATCAAAGAGCACGACAGGTGAGTCGTGATCACGAATCTAGAGTCACTTCATTACTCGTTGCATTCTCTGACAGTTGTAGACAGCCGACTATCCGTGCGAAGATGATTCTCTGTCGTCTTGACTCGGAAGGTTTCGAGTAATGCGAATTCGCTATGTCCTGCTTTCCGCACCTGGAGTCTCGCGCGTTTCTTTTTTTGGACATAGGTCAAGTCCATGGCAGGAAGGTCTGAGGTGCTGCTTCTGCGAGAGAGGAGATTAAAGAAAAGATACGAGCGTCATTCCTTGGGCGCTTAATCAGTACGCTAGTAATTAAAGGCTATGTCTTACAAGGGTGATGGATATCGGAGGTAAGAAAAGGGGCATAAAAAACACGATTTTTTTTTTCGAGAGCCGTTATGAGCTAGGGGTCGCGAATGGGTCCAGTATATCTTTGACGGGCGTGATGATGAACGATGGAGATCGTTAGTTCATCATGCAGTGTGTGCCTCGTCAATAGACAGAAGCTAATTATGATCCTGAAGGGGTGGGTTTCGGATAATGGTAGCATTCCCCCTCGAGTTGCGACACTTCCCTACCAGATCTCCCTTCCTCTATATCTCATGACGAGGCTAAAGCAACTTCTAAGTGTCCGTGTGACATTGCATCACCTTTGTCCTAATTATCATCGTGACAGGAGAAGAATGCAGATTGATGGCGGTTTAAGTGTTTCGGTATCGAGCCTTACTCTTCGTGCCTTGCCGAGAACAAAGGGCGTGGCGAAATTTCGATGAATCGTCACTTTCATGTTTCATCAATCTGAAATACGTCGTCATGCCAGGGAGCTGAGCCTCTTTTATTTTCATCAGTCATGCAAGACGTCAAAACCGATTGTGGTACGGTACCGTTTCTCTCGCCCTCATGTTGGTTCAGTTTCGCATGAGGTGTAGGACTTGTGAGAGCCATGCGCGTAATGGAAATTGAATAACAAGGAATGGGTCCATACCTCTTCGAAAAGTTATTCATGACGGGGTCTGTCTGAGGAGTGGATTTGTTACCCGAGGCAATGAAGTTGGTCACTTTCTTTCTCTCTTGCCCCAATAGCTATCTATGTGTGGATGCAAGTGATGCAACCGTCCACGCCCTTCTGCTCTAATAGAATGGCAGGCAGTGACCTGGCTATACATATCAGATAAATACGTTTTGTTGCTATACCTTTGGTAAATCTGCTCCTGCTCATGAGACATGAGCAGGAGTATGCTGAGTGGCAACGACATTCATGCGCAACTTTGATGTTTCACACCCACTTCGAGCTGTTTTGTCTCTTTTTTAGATTATGTCGGCATTGAAGTTGCTGCACCTCGTGTATGACTTCACGTATGGTTGGCCATCATCTATCCTTTGCTTCCTGTGATTTTTCCCCCCTCTTGGTATTTGAACTCCTGGAATGCTGACTTGTGCAAACACATCAATTGTATATTAACACAATCTGTGATGGAAGTCGATCTGTATGGGAGGGGTATGACCCTAGTAGTATTGAAACAGTGTAAACAGTATGAGGGGACGATGTGTTGAATCCCCCCGCCGCCGCACACCCAGTCAGGTTTTTCGGTCAGGTTTATAATTTTTGTCAGCCCTAACAACGTACTCGGAGCAGGTTGTCACTAATTCCAAGAGCTCGTATCAGCCGTAATGTATATACATTTTTTAAGTTCTTGCAAGAATTATGGGAGCGGCGTTCCAACTCCCTATTGGAGAGCATGGGGGAATGCCGTTCCCACACCGAGAGGTATGGGAACGTCATTCTCACTCGTTCCCACTTGTTTTCTTCACTGAATACAATCTGAATGTTTTCAGCAAGTTCCTTATCAAATGGTTTTACTTGCTAGACAATGTTTAAAAGTAATCTGCTTTTGTAAAAAAAAGTTTAAGTGGGCCTAATTCATTAAAGTAAATAAATATTTTTCCTTCTCCGGATGTAATCACATGGCTTTTCATGCAAATATCCAGTCCAGTGTGCATGAAACATTGAACAACATTGCATACACGTCCATGATGGTACTGCTGCGGAACGGGAGTAGAACTCCCATACGGAATTCCGTTAATGTATTCAAAATCGTGCGGCAAAAAAATGCGCCGTTGATTGCAGATTACTGTTGCCAGGAAGTATCCTGAATACTGTTAAGGGGTTAGGGGTTACTTTCTTCTCTCCATAATCAACTTATTATTTCTTTAAATGTATAAGTAACTCTCACAATTTTGCTTCTGGGTCTAAATACCGTGACATTGGCTGGTTTCCTCTCAATTACTAACTTCCTGGCATTTGTTTGCGGTGTGGAGGTTTCCCCAGTGGGAACGGGCTGTTCTGAAGTAATTAGCGAATGTGGTTCTCCCAGCCCCAGCCCCATCATCCTCATCAAGTCATAAGTGATAGCAAAAAATACCAATTGAATATCCCCGTAGTCCCTTGTACCTGACTTGCGATCCATAATGACCGCTAAGCTTCAATCTTGACCTATATTCGTAATGAATTTCGCGAACTTTCGATTTTGAACAGTCATTCATATTCGTTCGTGAGGTGAGAAGTCATTTTGATCCCAATTAGTTCAATAAATCGAGTGAAAAATGACTTGAGCGCTCGCTTTTGCGAGCGATTGACATGCGAGGTGAAAGAGGTTGGGAATTAACGTTCCCTATCATGTTTGACCAAGAGTGAAAGAGAATTGACCTTCTTCAGCTGGACTCGATACATTTCTTTGTTTGCGGTATCATGGGCAGCTGTCGAGGGTCTGCCCTTGTAACCCATAATCATTCCAAATTGCCGTCTCAGATTGTCAAGCATGCATTGGCTAGGAAACACATGGTTGCGCCTCAGGCCACGAAGAGATGTTTCCTATTGAAAAATCCACAACGAACAACTGATGCTCCATTGTCCCCATGGAAGTCATTAACCCTGGAGGTAGGAAGATGGTTGGAAGAATAAAAAAAGGAGGGGTGAGAATCTTGCCCGGGTTTTTTCAAGGCCACTTCAGCAAGCACCACAGAACCCTTCCTCCTATTCTTCACCCCTCCCCCTCAACAAATTGCGCTGAAACAGCCTCGAGGTGGTCATAATGCACCTGCTTTCCAAGCTGAGGTGGGGGAAGGGGACTGCTGGTTTATTCATCTGATCTCTCTGCTTTAACGCCTTGCTGAGTCCTCTTCCATTATCTATGAACTGAGTATTCACGTCCCTGTGGACGTGAAGACTCTTTGCAGTCATTAACATGTCCGAGAGAAGGCAAGTCAATAGGAATGATCTCTGATAGCAATAATGGGGTCCGAAGAGGAAGAGGCAGAAGTAGATGAATGGTGGTGTGAAAAATATTTTCGAAAGGAGAACGAAGACTCCGGGAAAACTGAACGAGAAATCGATCTCACAACTTGAGAGGGCGTGGCTGGACTCTTGAGAGTGGCCTTTATTTATATGATATTAAGTGTTTTCATTAAAGGCCTGCCTTATAGAGCTTTTTTCCCCTTGCAACTTCCAAGTGAAGAGATTCCACGATCCGCTTCTGGCTTTCCCTTTTCGTGAAGGGCTGACTCTCTTTTCTACCACTTCCCTCCTGTGGTGCTCAGCCCAATACTGTATGTGCCCAGAAGGGATGGGATGGGAAGGGAAGAGAAGGGAGAGGAGAGAGGGAAAAAATCCTCTCCCAGAGTGCATTGGCGCGGATGAAGAAGCAGCTTGTATGCTAGACAGCTAGAGGTCAGTGAACCACAAAATATGCCTTCCTATTCCTCAGCCATCCTACGTATCTGTGTGTTGAAGCGGTAATAGGAAGTAGACAAAAAAATTTTGTGAAGCTCACGTTGTAATTCCGGTCTGGTTATCTGATCTGGTCTGCGGATCTTCCGTCTCAATTATCTCAATCGCACTATCTCAATGGGTGGTTTTATGTGCTCACGGCGGGCTGGATTTTATTTTCTCTCTCGTCAACTTCAGGGTGGGTCCAATAGTAAGACATTCCTGAGTACCAGTCATTGGACCTCGGAATGTGAAACTGCGAGCCGGAAAAACTTCATGGTTTTGATGTTAGCTCTCACTAAGTGCAACTCAGCCTTGGGTTAGTAAGCTGAATTCATTGGACGTACACGGAAGAACCTCTTAAGCCTATTCCTGATAGATAAAATGATAGAAATTTAAAGTAATCCGATGTTGGCATTTTTGGTAATCACCTTTACGAAGGCGCAGCTCCACTTCAAGCACTTCTCTGTCGACTTTAATTCAGATTTTTTTTTAAATTGAACGAAAAATTGGACGCTAAATTGAACGTCTCAATTACTTTATTGTCAGTTCGTAGGACGTCCTTCAGTTTCGTCAAAGCTACAGGTGACGCTGAAAACCAACATGTATTCGTCTAGAAGTGGAGAGTTTCACAACTCTGATTTTGATTCCCCCGCACTTGTGCAATTTCAAATCGAATTGCGGTAATTTTCATTCTATGGCGGAAACATGGTCGAACTGGAAACGGCACTCAAGGAAAGAGGGAGCTGCTACGGTCTTTGTTATTGGGCCAAGCAATTGGAGGGCAACAACAGTGATGGGAATAACACATGCCGAAGAGGAAATGGGGAAAAACAAGGGCCAACGTACTCATGGAATGTATCGCCAGGTCCGGGATGAAATTCACGTCTGTCACGTAGTAAGATTCACATATACCTCGAAAA